AGACAATGATCCAAAACATAGCCAAGTAAACTCTCAAATTCTTTCAGAGAAAGAAAATCAAGCTGTAGAATGGCCCAGCCAATCACCCGACTCAACTGTCAGAACTTTCAAACACTTCAGTGCTCAGCATAAATATGTATATAAATAATAGGGCTGGGGGATTTGGCCAACAATCAAAGTCTCAATTAATTGAATATTTTATCAGGCACATGCACAAAAATTACATTAACCTCAAAAAGGAAAGATGCATTGTGCCAGGTTGCAGCAAGATTTCTATTTTCCACCTGCAGTCTCTGGACAGGTAAAAATAAAACAGTAATGTCCAATTAATTAAAAGGTCAGTTTAAAACACACAGGCATAATCGCATATAAACTAAAACACTGACCAATCAAAAACATCTCAATCAGTGTGTACGAATTTGATTTGACAAAAACCATCTCCTAGTCAGGCGTGAAAACATCTTTTGATTTGTACATGTGATTGTTTCTGTTGGGAGAGAATAATATAGATTTGTGGCATTAATAAATAAAAGAAGATTGACCAAAAGAGGTCTTGCGTCTAAGGACAATACATTCCCCTCTTACCATAGAACGTGTCATTCGTGATGTTTTCTCCAACTTGGAATATTTTTTTTTTTGTTGTTTAAGGATGGAGCAGAAAGATTGTGATTAATTAAAAAAACAAACAAATATTGGGATATTTAATAATATTATCTTTCCCAGTGATGGGTCGCAGCTTGAAGGGCATCCGCTGCGCATGGACTGGATAAGTTGGCGGTTCATTTCGCTGTAGCGAACCCAGATTAATAAAGGGACAAAGCTGAAAAGGAATGAATGAATGAATAATTATATCAAAACTTACGATTAATGAATATTTCATTTATTTTATTTTTTTGCCTTCATAGTTTATAGACAGGTTTTGTACAATAATTTGCTCACATCTTTCAAGTGAGAGATTTTTGAATGAAGGGTATTTACTTGATATTAAGATAATTGAAGGAAAAACACACTATCTACTGTCTATGAGTATTTATTGAAAATCAACTAAAATTAAAACACACATTTCCTAAAACCAACAATGACTTTTTTCTCATAAAAAAGTGAAAATAAATAACTTTTGTAAACAAAGTAAATTATTTTCAGTGTTTTTTTCATATTAAAAGTATATGTATGTGTATATATATATATATATATATATATATATATATATATATATATATATATATATATATATATACACACACAGCCCTAATAAATAAGTATTTTTATCCATTTCTCAGTGAATTTAAGTCATATATTTTGATGCATTTAAACAAAACATATTTATTAAACAGATATATTTATTAAAATAATATTGTAGTCACTGAACATCTTTAAAAATAGAAAGGTAAAACAATTAAATTCAAGCCAAATATTAGGAAAAAAACATTTAAACTACAAAATGTCAGCAAAATTTTCTACGTTTTGTGTTTCTTGTAAATTTTTATTTAAAAAAAAATGTTATGTAATATTTTTTTCTAACGCATAAATTTAGGTGTACCAATTTTGGACCATTATAACCATAGTTATTTCGTTAGCCTCCTCACTGAATAATCTAATGTATATGCACAAATATAATATTGTAAAGCTTCCTTTCGAAAATATTAATCTAAATGAGAGATCTGTGAGGGGTGTATATTCATCTATGTTGAGCACTGTATATGCTTATTACCATATTTGATATCTCATAAAAAAAAATTGCCGCTTTTCTGATTCAAATAACGATTTTGGTTAAAAATGATTAATCGTCCAGGCCTATGATTGGTTATTAAATTGTAGAGAGCAGGGTCTTAGTGCCCCTTACTCTCTCCCGAATGGGGCCTGTTATGACAGTTAGCCAATAGGCAGACCATCTGTCTAAGTCTGACTGCCAGTGTTGGCACCAAACAGCCCAATTCCTCGTGGTGACATGCTTTGTTCTGCACAATCTGCTCTTTGTGCTGTTCATGGCCTTCATTTAGTTCTCCCTTAGTTCTCCCTAGTTTTGTGGCCAACTAGCACATCTCACTAGCACGTTAATGAGCCATAGATCAACACGCTAAGTCATAGTGTGTGCATCAGAGAGACCAGATCAACTCTAAGCTCTTTTATTCCATTTCTCAATCAGGTTTAATTATATTTCTTAATTAGGAAGCGTACAACATTTCAGTTACAGTAAGTTGTTTAGACAAAATGGTAACACTGTTACATAAGGTTGTATTAGTTATTGTTTTTTAACTAGCCGGAAGAAACAATGAACAATACATTTATTACAGTATTTGTTTGTGTTTTTTAATGAAAATACAGTTCGTTAACTCGAAGTGCAGGCGACGCAGTGGCGCAGTAGATTGTGCTGTCGCCTCACAGCAAGAAGGTCGCTGGTTCGAGCCTCGGCTGGGTCTGTTGGCGTTTCGGTGTGGAGTTTGCATGTCCTCCCTGCGTTCGCGTGGGTTTCCTCCACAGTCCAAAGACATGTGGTATAGGTGAATTGGGTAAGCTAAATTGTCCGCAGTGTATGTGTGTGAATGAGAGTGTATGGATGTTTCCCAGAGATGGGTTGCAGCTGGAAGGGCATCCGCTGCGTAAAATATATGCTGGATAAGTTGGTGGTTCATTCCGCTGTGGCGACCCCAGATTAATAAAGGGACTAAACTGAAAAGAAAATGAATGAATGAACTCGCAGTGCAATGTTAACAAGCATGGATGTTAATGATGCATTAGTAAATGTTGAACTGGGGGTAATCAATGCAGTACAAGTATTGTTCATAGTTAGTTCATGTTCAAACCTTATTGTGGGTCTGACCGATAAAATAACCAAATAACCTATCATTTTTATGTTAACATCATGCGGGGAGAACATGCAAACTCCACACAGAAACGCCAAGTGACCCAGCCGAGGCTTGAACCAGCAATCTTCTTGCTGTGAGGCAATTGTGCTACCCACTGTGCCACCGTGACGCCCAAGGATATTTGTGTTATAATAAATTTTTATATATACATATTTGTGTATTTATAGGGGAAAATCTTGCTGTGTTCACATGTGTATTACTGCATGTAATTTATTCCAAGTTTTTATTTAAGCACAAGTTGATTTCAAAATGCATCTACAGATTTACATTTTAGTTTTTCAGCTGAATAAAAGATTATGTTTTACAGTTTTCTCAGTCGCTTTGGTGCGTTTCTCACAACACCAGTGCATTTCTGCACAACAGTTAATGCATTTCTCAAAACAAGTAGTACAAACTGCAAAACCTAGATGATAACCTGCAAAAGCGTGTCACATGCTCAAAATGGATAGTTCATTCCTCAAAAGCAAGTATTCATGTCAATCAAAGTGTCAGTGTCATCAAAATGAAAAGTCCTGACACTATTGTTTATGAGCAATATAGTCAAATGGCTTTGTCATGTTTTCATTAGGAAAGTTTACGCTGTACAGTTTTTTCAATGCAAAAAAGTCATTTTGGTGACACTTCCTGAAAATGCCCAAGAAAGCACTGTATACTATTTGCAGAGCCATTTGAAAACTACTGTAAAGTTCACTGCATTTAGTGAGGTATTTGTGTACAAGACACTGAATATGTATGTTTCACATTTTTACTGCATTTGCTCTTTACAATTCTAATTTATTCACAGCATTGTGCAAAATAATAAATACACTCTTATGTACAGCAAACATAAACTTTCTTTGGGTAGAGCTGTGCACAACTGTAAACAATATTGCAGTACATATTGGAACTGAGCCTACAACATACACAAGTCTTTACAGTTTTTCTCAGTCGCTTTGGTGCATTTCTCACAGCACCAGTGCATTTTTGCACAACAGTTAATGCATTTCTCAAAACAATTAGTGCAAACTGCAAAGCCTAGATGATAACCTGCAAAAGCGCGTCACATGCTCAAAATAGATAGTTTATTCCTCAAAAGAAAGTATTCATGTCAATCAAAGTGTCAGTGTGATCAAAATGAAAAGTCCTGACACCATTGTTTATGAGCAAGATAGTCAAATGGCTTAGTCATGTTTTCATTAGGAAGGTTTACGCTGTACAGTTTTTTCAATGCAAAAAAGTCTTTTTGGTGACACTTCCTGAAAATGCCCAAGACAGCACTGTATACTATTTGCAGAGCCATTTGAAAACTACTGTAAAGTTCACTGCATTTAGTGAGGTATTTGTGTACAAGACACTGAATATGTATGTTTCACATTTTTACTGCATTTGCTCTTTACAATTCTAATTTATTCACAGCATTGTGCAAAATAATAAATACACTCTTATGTACAGCAAACATAAACTTTCCTTAGGTAGAGCTGTGCACAACTGTAAACAATATTGCAGTACATATTGGAAACTAAGCCAACAACATACACAGGTCTGTAAATCATCCATGAAATTGTTCAATTTTTAAGGCATTTTCAGGAAAATAATGATTTTGACAACTAGTTCATCATTTTTGTATGTAAAGACTCAAGTAATGAAATGAGGACTGTTAGTTTTATTTGCAATGACTATTCAGCATTTACAAGTTTAGTTAATTTTGACTGACATGACATAAGCAAATGGTAATGTTATAAACAGCAGAGAGTTGTATAAAAGCAATTGATGCTTGTCCAAAAGTATTGGCAATTTGTTGAATGGAATGAGAAACTGCTACTAGGATGTGCCCAAATGACTAATTGTTTTGAGAAATGCATTAACTGTTGTGCAAATGTAAATAGTGTTGTGAGAAATGCACCAAAGTGACTGAGAAAAACTGTAATCACTGAGAGTTTTCTTAATGTTTTAAAATCTTGTCTCGTCTCATTCTTGTAAACCCAGGCTCTTGTCTTATCACACACCTAATAGGCAGAATAAAATTTTTTGTGCAATTCTTCCTGTTTTTAATCTCATGTCCCACTCATAAAGTGCATAGAGAAAATAATATTACTACACAAAGTCCTTAGTAATTTTTCTTCTTCTCTCTTTTTCTTGTTCTTTCCTCTTTAGCTCAGCAGCATCAGCAAGGCAATCAATTCCACAGAGACACCACTGAAGGAGAAGCATGCACGCAGTATCCTTAATTCAGACATCCATTTGTTATTGTTTATTCAACTATTATTAGACCACCAGGTAGGTCAACTGCAAACTATAAAGCCTGTGGCAACATCTACACCAGTGTTTCTCAACTGGTGGGTCGCAACCCAAAAGTGGGTCATGGGAACATTTTTAGTGGGTCGTGGAGTGTGTGGTCAAAAAAACAAAAGAGGTTTAATTTTTTAACTTATTTAGACTTTTATTTTGAAATGCATGCACGACAACCGTACCGTTTGACATGTGAAATTTCATTTAATTGTAGCAACAAATATGTCAAAGCTCAAGTACGACCCTGAATATGTAAAGTATGGATTTACATATATTGACGGCAAAAAAGACTTAAAGCCTCAGTGTGTCATAAGTAGCGAAGTGCTCTCACAAGAGAGCACGAAACCTTCAAAATTAAAACGACATTTAGAAACTAGACAACATGTTTTATTAGCAGTTCAGTTTAGTTAATGGCAACTGAACCTTACCTTACCCTAACCACTGTTTACAGTATTTGTCGTTTTTACTTTGTAATATTTCTATAATTTGATACATTTTGTTAAAGGGCACCTAGGTTACCCCTTTTTTTAGATTTAATATAAGTCTTTTGCATCTCTAGAATGTGTATATAAAGTTTCAGCTCAAAACACCCATCAGATTTTTCATTATACCTTTTACAAGATGCTGTTTTATACTGATTTCCAGCAGGGGGTGGTTTTGTTCTACTGCGCCTTTAAGGCGAGTTCTGCCCGCCTACTGTTTCTACGTGCCTTCCCGTGTGCTTTAATCTCCTCCCTCAGCTGCGTCAGACAACAGACAGACTTAAAGGAAGAAGGTCTCACGTAGCGTTTGTGAGAAATACTACAGTAAGAACTAATCTTTACTAATCTGTATTGTGAAGTTGCATTGATTAGTCACGCACACACACACACACACACACACACACACACAGAGAGATACACACGCACACCGCAGCTGACACACACACACACACACATGCAGGCAGACAGAGCACGCTTAGTTTAGCACTGTTTTGCACTCAAATGTGACAGGATACAGGCTAACCTCCAGTGCTGTGTGGATATTTGTTATGCTAGTGTACAAAATAAACCTGATTTAACTTCCACAAACCGGGATTGAAGCGTCTTCTTTTATAATTGTTCTGAAATGCGGCTGTGCTGAAGTAAGTTAAAGCTGAAGTAAATCGCTGTAATTTCATTACACACTTTTAAAACACTGTTTTAAAACACTTTAAACATGTGAAACTTACTCTTAATCACATTTGATGATGATTGCTGATCCTAGCAAACAGAACAGACCTTTTATTTCCGGTTGCTTTGCGTATGTCTGTCTGGTCTTGTTGACATATACACGTGACTACCGGAACATGTTAATGCGCGCAGCTGTCAATCAATTCGGTGGGCAGGGGGACCGCACTCCTACGTAAAATTGCGGTCGGTCTGAAAACCGCTCTAATTGGTCCACCGTTTTTATGTTGTTAAATTGAAAAAAAGGGCTGGGTGTGTTTATATTACCCCAATATGATGGTCTATACACTATATATACATATATGTTTGTCCAAATAGCTTGAAAAGTAGATTTTTCACCATAGGTGCCCTTTAAATGATAGCAATAAAATATAGTGTTTAGGGTTGGGTTTAGGGAAGTGGGTGGGTTAATCGGGGCTTTTAAAACATTATTGATTGGTTTAGGAAATTGGGTGGTTGGTCAATCAGTGATTTTTAAAACACTATTGCTTGGTTTAGGTAAGTAAATTGCTTGGGGTGGATTGGTAGGCCAGTCAGTCAGTCAACAGCGGCCTCAGATGGATTTACACAAAAAGAGCAGGCACGAATGGCACTCGCAAGAGAAATTTGAGATCTCAAAAAGCGTACACAGTGGCCTTTGGTGGATTTGGGAAAACAAAAACTACAAAAAAATGTAGCTCCTGGGACATATTTGGCGCTCTCCAGAAATTTATATAGGGGTACGTTTTCAGAATTGAGCCTGGGTTGAAATTTTCACAATTAAACATAAAATAAGGTGTCAGTTATTTAATTAAACTAATGAGTAATTTAATGCAGTGTTTCCCAATGCTGTTCCTGGAGGCACACCAACAGTACTCATTTTCAACTTCTTCCTAATCAAGCACACCTGAATCAACTCATCAGAACATTAGAAGAGACTCCAAAACCTGAAGTTAAGGGGTCAGATAAGGGAAGTACTGTCGGTGTGCCTCCAGGAACAAGGTTGGGAAACACTGATTTATTGTATACAATGTATTATTATAAAATTGGTACACAATAAAAATGTGTATGTATGATCTGTTCATTATCAAAGTATTCAGTTGTGCTTTTAAGTGTTTTCCTTAAAGATATGAACAGGAATTATTTTGGGAACCCACAGAGAGAAAGGGGCCTATACCTTCTGGTCATACGCCGTTGGTCTGCCCTTGCCAAGCAGCGCCATCCTCAGCTGGAAGTTCTGTCATGTGTTACACAAAATCTTGCGCGATGGCCACCGAAATGTAAGTATGGTATTTGAATTTCTTTGTAATTATCTGAACGGGTGGCTCAGTGGTTAGCACTATCGCCTCACAGCAAGAAGGTCGCTAGTTTAAATCCCAGCTAGACCAGTTAGCATTTCTTTCTTGTTGACATGGGTTTCCTCTGGGTACTTCAGTTTCCCCCACAGTCTAAACACATCCACTGTGTAGAAAATATGCGAGATAAGTTGGCGGTTCATTCCACTGTGGTGACCCCTGATGAATAAAGGGACTAACCCTAAGGAAAATGAATGAATGAATGAAGTGGTAACACTTTACAATAAGGTTAATTAATTAATGCATTTACTAACATAAACTAATCATGAACAAAACATGTACAGCATTTATTAATCATAATTAAACATTTACTAATGCATTATTAACATCCAAGTCCATGCTTGTTAACATTAGTTAATGCACCATGAGTTACCATTAACTAACAATGAACTACTGTATTTCATTAACTAACGTTAACTAACATGAACAAATACAGTAGTAAATGTATTGTTCATTATTTGTTCATGTTAGTAAATGCATTAATTAACATTAACTAATGAACCTTATTGTAAAGTGTGACCAATGAAGTTAAATGAACTAAATTCTAAAGCTAAAACTATATTTGATCTTTCAGTGCAGCACTTTTCCTCACTTTCACATACCTCGGTTGTTTTTTTTCCATGTGATTGTTAATTTAAAAAAAACATTTTACGTCATATGATCATCTAATTTTGTAAATTGTGAAAACTGCCTCCTGAGTAAAACATTGACCCATTATAGCAGTGCCATCTCGGTTCAAATAGACATGTTAAGCGCTGTAATCTGGATAAGACCGCAGCTGCATTAAGGTCAGCTTTTCATGCCGTTTTACATGCACATTTAGATTTATTTCATTTCGCAGATGCTTTTATCCAGAGCAACATACAAGTGACGTTTCTGAGATGAAAAAGCAACAAGAATTTGCTGTCTTAGCCTCCTAGCATAACAACTGTCTCAATAACACTGCAGCTGCCTACGCGTCTAAATATTTAAAGAATTTTCCTGCTCAGACTAAATTAAAGGGAGAGTTCAACCAAAAATGAACATTTCCTCTTAATTTGCTCAGCCACAAGTCATCCAAGATGTAGTTTCTTTTTTCAGTGGAAGACTTTGTGCTGTTCTTGGTGATTCATCCAGTATAATGGTAGTGAATAGGTTTTTAGAGGTCTTGTGAAGCTAAATATTTGGTCTGTTTAAGAAATTAAATATTTTTAAAATATTATTAGCTAGGGTTAGGCGATGTCAACCAATTTGTCAACATCGTACGATGACTAATGTGAAACATCGCGATGGACGATGGCTTTGTCATCGTAGGTGGCAGTGAATTCATTATTTATGAATAATTAGTTAATACATAATGATTTACTTATTTGTAGCCTACCGTTTCAACTACCTGACATGCATGGTCTTTGTTTTACACGTAACTAAATCATAAATAAATAAAGTTGCACACAAATTACCCCCTCTGGCATGAATAGGCAGAGTGATCTGTGTCGTTATAATGGCGTCGACAAACTTGGTTGGTAAAAAAAGGTGCACAACCAACAGGAACCAACCAACAGTATCTGAGGTTTAGCTAAAATAACTAAGTACAAGAGTGAAAGTGAAAGACTGAAGCAGTGTACTGACGCTTGTGGCAGTATTTTCAGTGTTGTTGTGCACCACGGGGGAGAAGCTGATTCTCACGGTGTCCAAAATAAAGGAGGGCTAAAGCAATAGCCTTTTTTTCTCTGTGCGTTTACATGGTTTAATGAATGAATGAATACTAGAAACTCACAGACCGCTAAAATATTGGAGGGAATGTGGGAATAACATTAAAAAATATATTTTTATTACTTTCTTACTTACATTTTTGAACAGAAAAGTTTTTTTTTTTTTAAATAGACTTTTTATAATTAAAAAAATAACTAAATAAACTCTTATTTCTCATCTCACGCGCACTGATCTGCTTGGACAACACTGGAATACATCATATCCGGTCGGCAGGTCGCAGGTCGCATACAGTCTAGTCGCAGGAGTTCAATTATTTTAATGGATCTGAAGCTCAATTTGGATCCTAATTTTAACGCATACGGAGATGATCGGAACTCAGCGCAGCTCCCGGACTGCTCTCCGCTAGAAACGAATGACTTCCGGTACGAATCACAGCGGTATATCATTGATAAACCGATAACTTTCACTGCTCGCTGGGGTTTTATGCTCAAAACACCCGCTGACTGCCTGTAGCTCAGACGTGCGCAAGTGCTAGAGCGCATGACTGTATGTGTGTGTGCCATTTTAAAACTATAACGTATTAGTGTAACAGGGCCTAAGTGTGTATTTTTCAAAGCGGATTGCTGCTACGGGGGCAGGGTGGAGGATCTTGATGCCAGCTCAGCATCGTGATGTCTATCTTGATGGCATCATTTATCGACCCAACCCTATTATTAGCTTTAATCCACAACCTGGTCAATTGGTTCTCGACATGTGCGACGAATGTAGTCGGATTGTAGTCCGATTACTTTAATGATGAAAGCAGAAGAGCGCATGATTGGATGGGAGGTCAGGTGACACAGTTTGTTGATAGATATTGGTGATTGCGTCGCCAGCACTCGCACATTCACATAGAACTACATTCGGACTACATTCGTGAAGGGCTACTATCGCACATGCGCCAACATTGAAGCTAATAATATTGTAAATAATGTTTAGTTTCTTAGACAGACCAATCATTTCACTTTACAAGACCTCAGTGTGCCATCAGGAGCCGTGGCTATTGATTTGGACTCACTTGTATGTGTTGAATTTTAATCTAAAAAACCTGTCACCATACACTGCCATTATATTACTCACCAAAGACCCCAGATTCTGCTCAAAATCCTTTGTGATGTTCTACTGAAGAAAGAAAGTCACTTACATCTTGAGTGACCTTAAGTGAAATTAACAGGAAATGCTCATTTTTTGCGTGAACTACCCCTTTTTTATTCATTCATTCATTTTCCTTCGTCTTAGGCACTTATTTATCAGGGGTCACCACAGCGGAATGAATCACCAACTATTCCAGCATAAGCTTTACACAGCGGGTGCCCTTCCACTCCAAACCCAGTACTGGGAAACACCCATACACACTCATTCACACACACACACACACACAGTCATACACGATGGGCAATTTAGCTCATCCAGTTCACCTACAGTGCATGTCTTTGGACTGTGGGGGAAACCAGAGCACCTGGAGGAAACCCATGCCAACATGGGGAGAGCATGCAAACTCAGAAATGCCAACTGGCCCATTCGGGACTCAAACCAGTGACCTTCTTGCTGTGAGGCGACAGTGTCAACCACTGAGACACTGTGCCACCACCATCCTTTCAATGTTTCTTTTTTGTTCTCGGAGCAGACTGTTTTGTTTGTTGTCTTATTCTTTCTTCTGTCTTATTCGTTCAGACGTTACAAGACTGCATGAGGCACTACAGCGACATTGCCGAGACAGGGTTATTATGGGTAAGTTGCATTAATACGTAGTGTTTTGTTTTTTGGACAAAAATGTTTTAATGATTTGTTTTTATCTTTAGACTAACACACGGGACAGACACGGATATGCACTGCTGGTTTCCCTTCATGCCAAACTCCTCTGTACCAAGATTGAGTTTCACACTAAGGTACATTTCCAAGTGTTCTCAATTTTATTTCATTCATTAAATAATGTATACAGTTGAAGTCTAAATGATTCGCCCTCCCGTGACTTTCTATATCTTTTTTTTTTTTTAACGCTTTTATTGTTTCAGAAAAATGTTATACATACAACCAAATACCAATGAAAGAACACCCGCCCCATCCCAACAGAACCATTAAAATTTTATATATATATATATATATATTTAAAGTATTCTCATGCGAGGAAAGTATTACATAAACAAATAAATAGTAAATAAAAAAATTAACAAAAATAAGATAAAATAATAATACAAATAAAAATAAAAAGTGGGCAATTTTGTTAAAAATAAATAAAAAAAATACCATTAAGACATTGACATTTCAACATATACATTCTAATGAAAGTGAAAAATATATTAAAGTTAGTCATTACAAACACAGTGCATATTAACACAGTCACATTGTTTGGGATTACTAAACGGTCAGTCCACTCTTATTTAAAAAATGAAGGAAGAAGTCCCAAATCTTGAAGAATATGTGCATTTTTTGTTTGATTGAATAAGTCAACCATTCCATTGCTAAACACGAAGACATTTCCTTAATCCAGAGTGACAAAGATGGAGCATGAATACTTTTCCAGTGAATGGCAATCAAGCACTTCACATGCAATAGACACAGACTTATAAACTTCTGTTCATATGACTTCAGTGATAAGGCAGGTGGGAAAAGACCAACAATACAGATTTTAGGGCAAACAGGCATTTCTTTACCAATAGTTTTAGAAATTACACTAATTATTTCTTTCCAAAAGAATTGCAAGTGCTCACATTGCCAAACACAATGGAACAGTGTGCCCTTGTAAGTCAAACATTTTCCACAAATGTCCAGAATATTTCTATTAAATTTATTTAACATTTCTGGTTATTTATGTTCTCATTATCTAATTATATTGGATTAGTTTAAAACGGGTATTGATTGATAATGTTTGCGCTTGAACACAACTTTCTCCCCATTCATTTTCTGTAATATCTATTTGAAAGTCATCAATCCAAGCCAGTCTTTTATGATTTGTAGATTCTTTCTTTATCTTTTTTAAATATTTCCCAAATGATTTTTAACAGAGCAAGGAATTCTTCACAGTATTTCCTAAAATATTTTTTCTTCTAGAGAAAGTCTGATTGATTTTATTTCGGCTAGAATAAAAGCAGTTTTTAATTTTTTAAAAACCATTTTAAGGTCAAAATTATTAGCCCCCTTAATCAATATTTTTTTAAATGTCTACAGAAGAAACCATCGTTATACAATGACTTGCCTAGTTAAGCCTTTAAATGTCACTTTAAGCTGAGTATCTTGAAAAATATCTAGTCAAATATTATGTACTGTCGTCATGTCAAAGATCAAATAAATCAATTATTAGAAATAAGTTATTAAAACTATTATGTTTAGAAATGTGTTGATAATAAATCTTTCTGTTAATCTGAAACTGAGGAAAAATTATAAAAGAATTAATAATTACAAGAGGGCTAATAATTCTGACTTCAACTGTATGTAAAAGTTAGCTGTGGATGATATACTCTATGTAGGGTGATGATCTGTAATAGGTTTTGAACACAAATGGCAGTTCGGCACACATGGGATGATTAAATGCAAGTTTCTTTTATTAAAATATCCAAAAAGACATTAGAACTATATTATATATTTTGCAGCCATATGTGCTTTATCTTAAATGTTTCAAAAAATGTTTAAATACAGGGAAATGAGCAATTTTAGCTTGTCAAATGAACCACAGAGGAAGATCATCTGGATTTTCTTTTGCAGCATTCTGAAATTCCAGCCAGTCTAGAAGTCACGGATGAACTCCTGGAGCGTACAGCTGGAACAGACATCAATAACGTGTATGTAAAGTTACTGTATATTTATTTCTTCATCACAGTGTTGACCTTATTCTTCAATGCGGAAGTGCGCTCATTTTTGCGATTGCTTTCGAACTTCCGATTCAGTTGCATATGGGAGAAATGACAAGGAATAATAAATGGCAGAAAACGGTCAAACTACTTGCTCTACAAACAAGTGTTTGCATGACCAAGTAGAATAATATAATAAGAAAATATCAGTTTGCAACATCAAGCAGTATAACTCTGCTCTTACGTGAAGAATAAGGTGAATACAGTTGAAGTCGAAATGATTAGCCCTCCTGTGATTTTATTATTATTATTATTATTATTATTATTATTGTTGTTGTTATTGTTGTTATTATTATTATTATTGTTGTTATTATTATTATTATTATTATTATTATTATTGTTGTTGTTGTTGTTGTTGTTGTTGTTATTTATTTATTTTTATATATTTCCCAAAGTATGTTTTTGGGAATATTTTCTCAGTATTTCCTAAACTTTTTTTCTACTGGATAAAGTCTTATTTGTTTTATTTTAGCTTAAATATAAGCAGTTTTAAAAAAAATTTTTTAAACCATTTAGAATTTCGTATTAGCCCCCTTAAGTAATATTTATTTCTGATTGTCTACAGAAAAAAACATCATTAAACTTAACCAACGTACTTAACTTACCCAACACTGCTTGCCAGTATATGATATATAAGTTTTCTGAATGCAAGTTTGACACTCTTATTGGACTTTGAGTTACCTGAGCCTGGTGGGAACGGAAGGGGAGAGAGGAGAGTCTTTCACACTGAACATGATGTGGGAAGCAAATGACTGATGAATGGTGCTTTCATAGCAAATACCAAACCACTGATCACCTTCAGCTAAAAGTTCAGAGCTGCATCACAGTGCATGCATTTTACCCCGGGTGAAATACTTTTCTTTGTTCAAAACCTGCAACAAAATACATTCTTAGATCTTAAATAAATGATTAAACTTACCATCCATTCCCATTTTCTTTGCAGATCTTTGCCACCAATTTTTTTTATAGATTACCTTAAAGATTTTTTTATGGATAAACAGAAAACAACTGGATTTTTATTTATTTATTCATTTATTTATTTATCTTGACCCTTGTAGATTTATTGCATGGTTTTATGTTTCTGAGGAAGTCCAGTTTTGTTGGGAAATTAAGCCAGTCATACAGTTGTTCGATAACACTTTAGTATAAAGAACGATTCCCATTATTTACTAGTGGCTTATTACCTGCCTATTATTAAGATATTAACTGTTTTGTAATTAGTAAGGTAACACTTTATTTTAAATGACAATTTACACCATTTACTAGGGGCTTTTTACCTCTCTATTATTGAGATATTAATTGTTTATTAGTAAGGTAACACTTTATTTTAAATAGCAATTTACACCATTTACTAGGGGCTTATTACCTCTCTATTCTTAATATATTAACTGTTTATAAATAAGGTAACACTTTATTTTAAGCAACAGTTCACAGCATTTACTGCTGGCTCATTACCTGCCTGATAATAACTGATTATTATTACTTATAAAGTATGGTCTTAATCTACATCCTTAATCCTACCCAATACTTACTATACTATTAATAATCAGCTAATGAGTCGTTTATTGAGCTTAAAGTCTTAGTTAATGGTTTGTTAATAGCCTGAACTGCACATTAAAGTGTGGTCAGTTGTTCTATTGAAGCTAGACTCGCTTTCAAAATGGCATTCATTTTAATAAAATATGTTTAGTTTAGTTAAATCCTCTAAGAAGACAAGAGACTACATATAAGGTGACTTTAAATAGACCTGGAGTTGAAGTCAACTCCACCATAGGAATCAGCCCTCATTGTTGACTGTGTCCACTCACATATTTACTGTTTCTCTAATCCCAACATTGAAAACAGTTAAACTACTGTGTCTTTCATTCATAATAGATTTTTATATTGGATTAACTGAAAAAGCATGATTTCTGCAAACAATTTTTAGTAAATTTGCATTAAATCAAAAAACAAACCCCCTAAGAAACATTCAAAGCATTGTTTTTTTTCTCTAAAACAAGCAGTTTAGTCCAAAGTACAATTTCACTTCGATTTGGATTTTAAGTTGATCCAAAGTTATTTAATTAATGTTTTTTTTCCTTAAGCAGAATAAATATTTTTGGTTATTATTAAATTATTAGCCCCTTTTAGACTTTGATCCTCATTGTGCTGTTTTGGTGACTGTCGCTTTAAATTCAAATGAGATTGTGCTCTTTTCAAAAGAGGGCGGAGCTACAAATGCCTGTGTTTGAGCATCCGCTTGTTAAGTGGTGACGTGTTTGTGACGTATGTAATACTGTTTCCGGGTCCAAGCTGCCATTCATTTGAGTGGAGAAATCATTCGTTTATGATCACGTTTTATTCCTATTGTGGAAATATAAATTTCTATCAACTAATTCCAAATGAACAATAATCTACGTATAACTGAAAAGTTATATTCTTTGGTTTTTAATTATATAATTTCATTAACGTCCCAGCTAGGAGGGACATTTAACCTTTATCTCTCTGACTACAGGCTAAGCCAGTGATGCAAATGCTTTAAACGACTCTGTCTTTGTCTTCGGGTGTTGCTTTTATGCTACAGAAACCCTATGTTGATTAACTTGTGTGGTCAGTAGCTGGGCCGTTTTTTAACACCTATGCCATGCTGACTCCAATACTGAATTTGCATGCTTTGTTTAGCTATATCCCCTCTTCCTAAGAACACAATATAGCCATGAAATCATTGACTTGTGTGAGACTTGTGAGAGACTTGTGAAAGAACTTGCAGACTGCGGACCTCTAGTAGGCTCCTGCAGACATATGGACATCTTAAAAGACGCTGTATGACTGCAGATTAACCAACACGTCTCAATAAAGGAATTCTGCTTGTTTCGAGTCTCCTGGACTGGGTTCTCTCTTCTCTTTTCACTCATTTATTTTTTTTTTACAACACTATCACACATTAAACTTAATTTTATATAAAATCATATTGTACACAACAATCTCTGGGCTTGCAGCATAACAAATACCAAAAATTTAACAATTTATAAAAAAAATAATCACTTTCTGGCCATGGGATATGAGGCATGGACATATTTACTGCGATCTTGATTTTCGAAAGCCTTAAATCGCTTTGTAAATGTTTATTATTACCATTTCATCAATCTCCCCATTCAGTTGAATAGAGCGCTTGGACCCGGAAGCCGCTTCGCGTGACGTTGGATAGGGGCAGATTCAAAAACAAGACTAACGATCTATGCTATGTTTTTTTTATCAAGTGTGTTTATAAAAATTTTAATTAATACATTTTTACCGTTAGAAGCTGATTATATTCACAGACTGTTGCCACACAACTGTGTTTAAACCTCTTATAAAAGTGATTTTCGCATAATAGGTCGCCTTTAAAGAAAACTCTATATATATAATGTGGAGTTAGCGACAATAACCACACAATCTGATACTGTCTCAGGCATGCAGAGTGTGATGCTGAAGTAAAGTTGTCCAAAGTGAAAACATTCAGAGAATGCATGCAGATCTTCTATGGCTATTTTGCATCCTTTGCATTTCCTATGTCAGAATCTGCACGCATGGTTATTATTGACCAGTAAATTCAACCTGGAATCGAACACTCCAAACCTTAATAATTATGTCATTTTGGGAAATGACACCCGCTTCCAATGTTATCACTTAATTGAATGGGTGCTATCAGTTGTTATCAGCTGATAGATATGGGTCAGTAGGGGCTTTCTGCGCCTACTAGTAGACTCACAAGGCTGTAATCATTTATCCACATGGTTAAGCAGCTATACTAACAGAGAACACTCCAGATCCATATCTGTTTTTACATTACTGTGACGTTTGGGTTTAGACGTCGATAAAATACTATTAATGTGAAATGTAATAAATATTATTGTTAGCTTCTGGCCGCAGCTGTATCTGATCTATAGCTGATAAATCATGTGGATGGATGATAACAGCCTTCTGAGCCTACTAGTAGGCGCAGAAGGCCCCTACTGGCCCATATCTGTCAGCTGATAACCACTGATAACGCCCATTCAATCGAGTGATAACATTCGAATCGGCTGGAAATGAAGTGTATTTGATATATGCATCTATATTCAGTTTAAGCCAAATTATTAACCCTCCTGTATATTTTATATTATCTTTTAATTATTTCCCAAGTGATATTTCCCAAATTAAATTTTCAAATAAAACTTAATTAAAATGAATTTTATTGTATTTTGTTTTATTTTATTTTAATTTTGTTTTGTTTTGTTTTGTTTTGTTTTGTTTTGTTTTGTTTTGTTTCGTTTCGTTTTGTTTTGTTTTTTATTTTATTTTATTTTATTTTATTTTATTTTATTATTTTGTTTTATTTTGTTTTATCTTATTTTATGTTATTTTATTTTGTTTTGTTTTATTTTATTTTATTATTTTGTTTTATCTTATTTTATGTAATTTAATTTTTTTTTTTTTAAAGCTGTTTAAAGGTAAAAATTATTAGCCTAAACCCTAATTAATGGCAAAATTAACACCTAATTTACCTAATTAATCTAGTTTAAATGACACTTTAAGCTGAATACTATATCTTGCAAAATAACTAGCACAATATTATGAACTGTCATCATGGCAAAGATAAAATATCATATGTTAGAACTATTAAGTTTAAAAAGTGTTTTGAAAGAATCTGATTTTTGACTTTAACTCTATGTCAATAAATAAGAAAGACAAACACATTAAAGCCAAGGTTGGAAATTAGCGACTAACAACCCATCAATATTAGATTAAAACATCTGTTTAACAGGTAATGATTCATAAATGATTTCCTTTCACATTGCATTGCATTGGATTTAGCACTTCATAACACATAACTAAATACAGTGTATGATGATTTAACAGCAAATTCTTTTTGTGTGAGGATGCCTAAATCCTTTGAATTCAAGACATTAACCTTTAATGGGGTTTCTCTGCTCCAGGTTCCAGCTCACAGTAGAGGTGTTTGATTACATGGATGCAGAGCTGCGATTAGCAGAAGCAGGTGGGTGTCTGCTCTTTTTAAATGTTTCATTAGTCTTGATGCGATCAAACATACCAAATTCTGTGAAGGCCAGTTTTTGGCTAAGCTTGCAGTTTTAATGCTTACAATTAAATAAATTATATCATACCAGGTATTATTTATATTATTAGATATTATTTTGGCCTCCTGGATGATGAATGCATGTTTAATCGAACCTAAATATGATCACTGTCTGATCCTGAAGGGAACCAGTCTGTCAGTCGCTGGTCAATTCACATGTGAAAATTACATTTTTCATTTTTTGAGGTTAATTAATTAATACCATCCTAGAATATGGCCTTGGTGTATATTTACTAAAATGGCTTTTTAAAAGATTACAAATCTAGCATCACTTAAAATAATTGATGTCAAATACACACAAACTTGTTTCTTATATCCTGGTGGGGACTCTCATAGACATAATGATGTTTCTTTCTACTGTACAGACTGTGGAATCTTTATATCTCTATATATAATCTTTATTTATAGATCTCCCTAATCCTACCCATAACCTCAACTATAACAGGAAACAATCAACATTTTTACATTTTTGAAATACTTCATTCTGTGGGATTTATAGGCATGTTTACCCATGGGGTAAGTGTAGGTAAGTGGGTCAGGTGTAGGTCCCCATTGGGATATAAAAACAAGTACATGGACACCACATTTAATAAGTCCATACACACAGTGAACTTAATAAACTAAAGTGTTAATAGCACAATTTACACTAGAAACCCCCTCAATCTATTATCTTCATCCCTAAAACATTGTCACATTTACCCCTTAATGAGCTTTTTGAGAATCCAAAACACTGTTACTTGCGTTTTTATCTTAACATTTCAACTACTGCATTTCCTTTCCAGGCCTCAGTATATCCAAAACTCAGTATATCCAAAACTCAGTATATCCAAAACTCAGTATATCCACATTTCTATTAATTGTCTGTGATGCATGCAGCTATGCATATAGTTTTGTCATAATTATTAACACAGTCTTTGTTTTTTGTAAGGATATGCTATATTATTAAACTTTAGCAGTAAAAAAACATGCTATAATAAAACGCAATAAGATTTTTGTGCATACTTATGACTGCTCATTGTGGTTTTATTATTGTAAAGCATCTGGAGTTCTATATTAATAATATGGAGCATATTATTTAATTATTAGTCGCTAACATTAAATGGATAGTTCACCCAAAAATGAAATTGTACTCTCTATTTACACACCTTTAAGTGGTTATTAATAATAATAATTAATAATAATAATTCCTTAAATTTATATAGCGCTTTTCTGTGCACTCAAAGTGCTTTACACATAGGGTGGTTTCTCCTCTTCTACCACCAATGTGCAGCATCCTCCTAGCAGCCATTTTACGTCAGACCGCACACCACACACCAGCTGATTGATGGAGAGGAGACAGAGTGATAAAGCCATAGGAGGCCATGATGGACAGAGGCCAGTGGCCTGGATTCCAGGGTTAAACCCCTACTCTTTTTCGAAGGACATCCTGGGATTTTTAATGACCACAGAGAGTCAGGACCTCAGTTTATTGTCTCATCCGAAAGGCGGCGCTCACTGAGCAGTATAGAGCCCCCGTCACTATACTGGGGCATTAGGACCCATACAGACCGCAGGTTGGGCGCCCCCTGCTGACCTCACTAACACCGCTTCCGGTTACATGTGGTCTCCCATTCAGATACTGACCGGGCGCAGCCCTGCTTAGCTTCAGTGGGCAACCATGTGAGAGTTGTTGAGAGCTAGCTGCCGGTGAAAACTTCTAGGGTTTTCTTTATTCTGGTAAACACAAACGAAAGCCTAAAATCTGTAACTACTGACTTCCATAGTGGGAAAAACAAATACTATGGAAGTCAATGGTTACAGGTTTTCAGCTTTCTTCAAAATATCTTTTTGTGTTGAAGAATGAAAGTCAAACAGGTTTGAAAGAAGTCAAGGTTGAATAAATAATGACAGGATTTACATTTTTGTGTGAACTATCCCTTTAATAGGGTATGGGTTATATGGTATGCTTTTAATTAGTATGGGTCACGATACCTGGCCAAAAATCCAGATTTATCTATTTATTTATTTTATTAATAATGTATGTTAGATTCACATATATATTACAGTCTCCCTTTTTTAATCATGCCATGGAGGTTACTTGTGTCTATGCTCAGTGTTTGACATTTTTCGAACAAAACAGACCAAGCAACAGCATAATCTGCTCATTCACTCTGTATATTGTTTATATTTCTAGTGCTTCACCAGCTCAACATGTCGATCGCTATCTCCACGCTGACGTCAGGCCAGTGTAAACTAGCACCGCTCATCCAGGTCATCCAGGACTGCAGTCACCTGTACCACTACACCGTCAAACTGCTCTTCAAACTGCACGCTTGTAAGAGTTCCAGCTCCAGCATACATCTAAAACTAATTCCACTTACTACAGTATATTGCGGTGTTTCTCAACCATGTTCCTGGAGGCCCACCAGCACTGCGTGTCTTAGATGTGTCATAGGTCTGTCACAAACAATACAGGTCTTGCAGACTCTGCTAATGAGCTGATGATCTGAATCAGGAGCGTTTGCTTAAGGAGACTTGGAAAATGTGCAGAGCTGGTGGTCATCCAGGAATGTGGTTGAGAAACACTGGTATATTGCACGCTGGTTGATCAAGAAAAAAAGTTGTGTATGTCTTGATCTTAATCAAAGTTGATAAAGGTTTTGTAGACTGGCAGCTATGCATTTATGAGAATGTTTAGTTTAATTCATTTTGACTTGTTTTTAAAATTGTAAATAATAAATTATTATCATTATCAGTTAATAAGACGACTGTATATGACTTGTGTGTACGTCATTAAAGGTCCCATATCGTTTTTTAGATGTTAGTATTTTACAACAGTGACAAAATTTGCATTTAGCAGATATACATCTAAAGCTTGCAGTAGTTTTTTGACATCACCTCACCTCACACCAATCAAATGCTGTCTAGTATCTGACATGCCCCGCCCCATTCAAGACGCTTTTCAATTGCCTTTATTTGATGCACTTGAGCTCAACTGCTCTCAGTGGCAGAGTGGTGATCATACGAAACTCTATTGGCTGTTTTTTTTGTAAGGGGAGGAGCTAATTTATGCCCCGCCTTAATTGCATGTTTCAATTGAGATTATGGCAAACATTGAATAAAAAAGGGACATTACAAAGCACTTCATTGGATGTTCAATTCTGAAATTGCACTCTAATTAGATTTAATCGCTTATTTAAACAGGTTTATTTTAGGTTTACTTAGTATTTAATTTTTTATTTTTTTTTTGCTCAGGTCTACCAGCAGACACACTCCAAGGACACCGTGAACGCTTCCATGATCAGTTCCACAGGTACTTCAATAATTTGTGTGCTGTACTGTATTTACCAAAGAAAAAGGATTAGGATTTTAATCATACTATATTTACAGTGGGGTAAGTATTAAACACGTCACCATTTCAAAAGGTGCTGTTGACCTAAAATTTTTACTGTATGTTGATATCAACCAAAGAAAACTAAACTTAGAAAACTTAAGCTGCTTTTCCACTATCGTGCCAAACCGTTCTAAGAACACTTCGGCGGCACGATTACAAACCGTTCTCGGCCCGGATATCTCGGCACGGTTAGACAACCGTGCTGAACTGTGCTGACAGATTCTGTGTGTTGACGTCGCGACTCGGTTGCTAAGCTACCACAGCTGGCTCAGCAGAAGCGCGCTAGTCATCAGACATCCTTAATAAACTACAGTGCATTTAATATAAAATAATGATCCAGGTCTAAACGATACAGTTTCTAACTGTATATAGATATTTTATTCATTAAAGTTATTATTTTATTGACTTGAATACAGACCTACTTCGCCTGCTGAATGTGAGTTTATTGCACGCAGCGCTGTATTTCACAGCACAAAACTCGCTCTGATCCGGGAGAGACATGCCAGCGACTTGCGCTGCTGACTTTTTTTTCCTGCTGCGCATCGAATAAAGCGAATAAAGTCACGCTTTGCATCGTCGATGTCCAAATTCCACAACAACATCACTATATTCATGGAACACGAACTTGCAGACTCTTTTAACAACGAGGAAATCATTGCACTTTTTAATTCAAAGCCAGGACAGCTTGTTAATACCGGCGAGACCACCTGAAGGACGGCGTGTTCGTGTTGTAATGTCGGCCGTTCAAAAGACATTGCTTGAAAGCTTTACGGAGCGGCATTGTAACTGTCCAAGGTACTGTTGTATGATTTATATTACAGCATATGCACTAATAAACAAGTCAAAAGAATGAATGAATTAAATAAATATGGATTCTTAAATGTCAGTATTGCTTTTACTCAAAAAATATCAATAAGTTTTGACAAATGTTTTATAAAAATAAAATGAGCAATTTTCATCATTTCAGCTATAGGCAATTATATGATTCAGTTATACACAAGTTATATGACATTTATGAGGCATGTAACATGTTTCTGTGTTTTTTTTTTTTTTTTGTGGTGATCTTTAATATAGCTACGCAAATATTTTCTGAAACGTCTAGCAATATTTCGCCTACAGCTTGTTAGTTAATAATGAACACAAAAATAATTATAAAAATAAAAATAAAATGATCAAAATAAAAAGATAATAAAGCAGCATTTTAGTGCTTTATATGCTTTAAATCCTGCTAAATATGTGTTGTTTCATATTCGTTTTTTTCACTTGCTGCATTCGTTATTTAATGTTTGTATAGTAAAACAAATAACAGCCATCGCTTAAATGGTTTCATTTTACCATCAAAATGTAGTATATTTTATATCATTATCAACTTTTGATATAAATACGCAGTGTAATTTAATTAATTGTTAAAAATGAAATAATTTATGTGCTGTGTTTTTATTAGTGAAAGTGCCCCCTCACCTTTGACAAGGCCTGTCCAAAATTATATTTTTGCCACTATAATGCAAATGCACTATTATTGTTGTCTTATCATTGTTTTTTTTTTCTGTTATGTTCAGAGATTTTAAATATTATTTATTTCCCCTCCAATTATTTTTAATCATCACGTTACATTTTGGTAATTTTTCCTCCAAATAAAATTTAGCCAGAGCTGCGCAACATATAAATAAATATGGGTGCACATTTAGCACCCCTATTTGATAGAGCAGCATAACAGTGTTTAGTCACATGCTTTTGCTTTTATGAAAAATAAATAAATAAATAGTTTCGGCTCTTATTTAACTTTAATTGAACAAAGGGAGCCGTTTACATTGCGTTACCAAGGCAACTACTGATGCGTTTTGTGTAATGTTTTAAAGAGCTTTGTCGCAGCACGACAGTGGAAAATGAAACCGTATCCGTGCTGTCTGGCCCGGTTTGGCACGGAATGGAACAGTTCTGTTTAAAGAACGATTCAGCACGATAGTGGAAAAGCGGCTTTAGATAAAACTATTGAACACATGAAGAAAGGGAGGTGTAGAAAGGCAGTGAAAGCCCAGACAGCAGCTGAAATCTCTCAGTAGTTCTTCATCAACTGTCCACCCTTCGTCATTGTAAATAAATATTAGCTGCCTCAGTCCAACATATACATTAGCAGAGTGATGAAGATGAAACCAGGGTTGACATTTCAGCAAGACAATGATCTACAACACAGCCAAGGAACCTCTTGAATTCTGTAGAATGGCCCATCCAATCACCTGACTTGAATCCAATAGAAAATACAAAATAAGGATCAAATTTGATAGACGAGATCCACAGAACCATCAAGACTTTTTACACTCTGTTAAAGTCTGTAAAATATATATATATATATATATATATATATATATATATATATATATATATATATATATATATATATATATATATATATATATATATATATATATATATGAACAGTATATATTGTAGAAAAGAATAATCTTTTTTTTTCCCTCATTAGAGTTATCCTTGATTCTCTATTGGTATGTTGTGTATGCTTTGTCTAAAGAGATGTTAAATCATTTACCTTACAGTCATTCTTTACCATGTATATTTGTATATTCTTAACTATATTTTGTATTCTCTGTCAAATTATATGTTAATCGAAACTGGCCTTTAAGGAAATGTGTTTTGCATACTACTGAGGCATTTTGCAGAAAGAGCTATCATGGACAAGAAATATGCAGCAGAAACGATCAAAATAACGTGTGCCTAGCTTCTGATTTTCTGTGTAACCATTTATGAAAACATATTGGGGCCTGAGGAGGTCTCTAAGCATGTGCATTTAATTGGTCCAGTTCTTCTGTACAGAGCTAACAGAGACAACCTGCCTTCTCCTTCTTCTGTGTATATAAACTGGGTCTTTAGTTCAAGAAAACACTTGCAGATTGCCTGTTGTGTTCTCTTGGATAGCATTGTATAACCTATATATAGCATATATATAATATTGTGCGACCCATGGCCCTAATCAAATTATTAGTTTGTACTTAGTAAATTACTACTTCTTCTTCTTTGGCCTTAGTCTCGTACGGTTGCGGGGTCGGCTCTTTGGAACAAGCCATTTTAGACTTGTCCATATGGTAACGACTTTTTTACACATTCCGGTCGGCTTGTCGTCTGGGCCTGTCACCCTCATACACTCGCAGTCTTTGGACTGTGGGGGAAAACAAAGCACCCGGAGGAAGCCACGCAAATGCAGGGAGAACATGCAAACTCCTCACAGAAATGCCAACTGAGCCGAGGTTCGAACCAGCGACTCTCTTGCTGTGAGGCGACAGCACTACCTACTGCGCCACTGCATCACCCTACTTAGTAAATTACTAATATTTTTAAAATTGATCTCCGCCTTCTGAGTTTGTATTGAACACGCATGGAATAACAGACCACTTATTCCAACAATATAAAACAAAAAACAGGTAATTTTTAAGAGCCAGCCACCACTAAATTCTTGACATGACTGAAACTTGACTACAAAATTAAATCGCTAATCAAATCCCAATCTCAATATCTGTCAAAAAAAAAAACGCAATTAGATGTTTTTCCCAAATCGCACAGCCCTACTAACATCTAAAAAAATGGTTTTAATTTCACGGGACGTTTAAGTAACAACTGTTTAAACCAATCGCCATATCTTCTAATGACCATTTGATGTTGTTTTTTGTAGTCTCAAAACATTCCTCAATAAAGCACGAGATATGCTGTACTTCAAGAGGCTCATCCAGATACCGAGACTGCCTGATGTAAGAAAATCTGTGTATTCTGTTTATGTCTCATTATCAGCATTTTCCTGAATTTGTACAATTGAAGTCAAAATGTTTAGCCCTCCTATGGTGCTTTTTCTTCTTAAAATATTTCCCAAATGATGTTTAACAGAGCAAGGAATTTTTCACAGTATTTCCTATAATATATTTTCTTCTGGAGAAAGTCTTTTTTGTTTTATTTTGGCTAAAAAAGTTTTTAATTAGTTTTTTTAATTATTTTAGGGTCAATATTATTAGCCCCCTCAAGCTAATTTTTTTTATGGTCTACAGAGCAAACTGCTGTAATACAATGACTTGCCTAATTACCCTCATTAAACTAATTAACCTAGGTAGGCCTTTAAATGTAAAATGAAAAATATCTAGTCCACTATTATGTACTGTCATCATGGCAAAGATAAAAAAAATAGTTATTAGAAATGAGTTATTAAACTATTATGTTTAGAAATGTGTTGAAAAAGTCTGCTCTCCATTAAACAGAAATTGAGGGAAACAAAATACAAGAGGGCTAAAAATTCAGGAGGGCTAATAATTCTGACTTTAACTGCATTTTCAAATCCCTTTTTTAAAGTCTCCACCCAACTTCCTTCGGGCCTCTGCTCTGGCCGAGCATGTGAAACCCATGGTGGTCATCCCAGATGAAGAGGAGCTTGAGGAGCAGGAGGAGGATGAACCCGAGCCTCTGATAGATGTTAGCGAGGCACTGCCAGTCGCAGCCTCTCAGCCGCTGCAGGTACCTGAAGCGATCAGCATGTGATGTACAGCGCTCTGCAACAGTACACCCCTCACAGATCTTTATCTTTTGTCCATGTACATTAGATTAGTCGATAGCAAAGCCAAAACTGAAACTAATCTAACAAAAATTAGTAATTTGAAGAAAATTGATATTAATTTCAATATTAACAGGGAAAAATAAAGAAAAACAAAATAAATATAAAATTTAGTTGCAATAATTGTGGTTTGTTATTTGTTTTTTTGCAAAAGCTTGTTTAAATATAATTTTATTCTTATAAATATATTAAATTATTAGGGAAGTATATTAAATATATATTTTATAAATAGTGAAAAATCAAGAAAAAAAATAAATATAAAATTTTGTTGCAATATTTGTAGTTTGTAATTTGCTTTTTGCAAAAACTAATTACCTTAAATATATTTTTATTCCTAAAGATGACCACACTAATGGATATAACTGGTCAATTTGCAATATTCACTGAGAGATAGATACAAATATTCAATTTTAAAAGCTCATTTATGCTGAGCAATGTATATGTTGTAACATGTTGAGTATAAAATGGTTGTTAGAGCTCTAAAGCTGCTTCATTGTGTTGGCACAGAACAATTATGTGCAACCTCACAGGTTGGAGCTTTACAGCGAATGCAGTCTGAAGCCCTGGACCTTTCTTTCTCGAATGCTTTGGCTCCTGTTTAAGCCACTTCTTAAATGTGTCCTGATTTGTTTTTCTTTTCTTTTTCAAGAGTGATATATTTGATCAGGCCTTTGGACCACCTAAAGATGGATTTGATGATAGGTAGGTCATTCTTGATAATCATACCCTATTCTCCTACACACACACAGACGCACATACACATCAGAATCAGAAAGAGCTTTATTGCCAGGTATGTTCACACATACGAGGAATTTGTTTTCGTGACAGAAGCTCCTACAGTCCACCAAAATTACAGAGACTGGACAATAAACAGATAATAAACATATTTTAAAAATAGAAGTTAGTAGTGAATGCAAATATACAAATTGACAAGTGTATGTACAGCTATATTACTATATACAACGTTGTATGTGCAGCGGTTAGGTATGTGCAAAATGGCATGTCAAGTGTGTTGTTAAATAAGTGTATATGTGTTTAAAAAGTGTATAGCAAGTGATGTTTGTTTCACAATTACTATCATCAAGTATTCATGAGGTGAATTGCCTGACATACACACAAAAATACACACTTACCCTACCCCTACCTCTAGCCCTACTCCTAAACCCAACCCTCACAGAAATCCTGTGCCAAAAAAAGGCCTTGTTAAGTCTGATTTTTAAGCATTTTGAATTATGAGAACACTTGCCAATTACAAATTTGTGGTTTATACATTATTCAAGATTCATGGAAGTAACATTGTTTATTTTGACTGTACTTTGTGCTTTTCTGTAACACAGAGACCTCCAGATCGAACGTTTGAAACGTGAAATTGAATTGCTTCAAGCTGAGCTTGAGAAGATCAAAGGAGAGGTAAGACACTGTCTTTATAGACCCATAGACCCATTATGTACCATATGCTGTATATATATTTTTATTAAGTTTTTGCTTTTATATACATATAAACAAATAACAAAAAAATAAATAAAAAAACATCCTCCAAAATAATGATGATCCAATGACAACAACAGTTAAACAAATAACAAAAAACAAACAAAAAGGTACAGTTCAGCTCACAAACACAAATCGGGCTTTACATGTGCCCATATACATGGGAGTTCAGTAGGTCTGGAAAACTGAACGAATATTGAAGTATTAATAGTAAGTGTGAAACAATCAATAAAACCAAACATGACATTCTTAAATAAATCCTCTTGTCAGAATAGAAGCGGTATCAAAATCAATATATGCCAGGAAAGGATCCCAGATTTTATGAAAAACTCCACTTTTATTATGTACAATAGAGGTCAGATAATCTAATGACACGCATTCAAGAATAGTTCAGTGCCACGTCCTAACAGAAGGAGCCTTATCTGAGATCCATTTTAAAAGTATACATTTTCTTGCATTAAAAAGAAATTGAAAAGCCTCATTTTGTGCTTATCAAGACTTACAGTACAGGAAGGGCCCATATGCTGTATTAAAGAGCAACTTAATTTTGTTTAAAAGCATAGTAATAAAAATGATAAGAATGATAATAGCTGCATTTCTAAATCAGCTGCAATACAGTATTAGATGGAATTTGTGGCCCTTCACATTGAATGGTTTAAATGTTGGCCTGTTAACCGAAGATGCTAATTGTGTGATTAACATTAACAGTTATTTTCTGCGAAGGCACTCACACTTGTTCTACCGTTTAACCTCTGGTGTAATTTCAGGCTCAGCGCTATATCACGCAGCTGAAGGCACAAATCAATAGCCTTGAGGGGGAACTGGAGGAACAGCGTATGCAGAAGCAGCGCACCCTGGTGGAGAATGAGCAGCTGCGCATGGAGCTGGAGGCCACCCATCGCCGCAACACTGAACACGAGAGCATGCAGACCAACTTTGTGGAGACAGAAAGTGAGTTTGTGCATGAGTACACACATGGATTACTGATGAATCACAAATGTGCCATCTGATACTAATGGCTTTCTCATTTAGAAAGAGCCCAAGCAACAGAATTGCGTTATAATAAACTGAAAGAAAAACATGCCGAACTGGTTGCCAACCACGCCGAACTGCTTCGAAAGGTATGACGAAAAATGCATGTGTACTTGTTTTAATAACTAGATTTTTTAATATAAAAATATGAATAACTTAACTGGTATAAGGCTGTATAAAAGGTGCCATAGAATGAAAATCTGCACATACCTAGGCATAGCTGAATAATAAGACTTTAGTACATTGAAATCACATGGTCATTTATTTATTTTCTTTTCAGGTTAGTCCCTTTATTAATCAGGGGTTGCCACAGCGGAATGAAACACCAACTTATCCAGCATATGTTTTATGCACTGGATGCCCTTCCAGCTGCAACCCATCCCTGGAAAACACACTCATTCGAACACATACCCTAAGGACACTTTAGCTTACCCAATTCACCTATAGCGCATGTCTTTGGACTTGTGGGGGAAACTGAAGCATCCGGAGCAATCCCACGCTAACGCAGGGAGAACATGCGAACTCCACACAGAAATGCCAATTGCAACTCGAACCAGCGACCTTCTTGCTGTAAGACGATCGTGCTACCCACTGCGCCACTGTGATGCCCGAAATGACATACTTTGAGGCTTAAACACTATTGTTTGCTCATTTTTTATGTAAATCCCATAAGAGTAAAATTCCAGCGAAAAACAATTAGAACAAAACAGACTCTTATAATCCAAATGGGATCATTAATATGCAGCGTTTGATTGGCCACAATGATTCCTAGTGAGATTACAACAACGGTATACCCCCACCCCCCTTATTTTTAAGTTTATCTAAGCTTTTCATAAACACACTATGTATGTGGGGCTCTTATTTTGAAAACGAGGGAGGCAGGGAGAGTAAAAAGGAGCAGTTTTGTGAAGCAGGCAGCCATGTTCACAGCTCATCAGAAAGCAAAATGCAGGATATATGGATTCAAATCAATTTATTTAGCGCCACCCCAAAGAGACTTAAGGTCTGTTTAATTGTGTATATTGTTAAATATGTTTTTGTATGTTTATAATGAGGCAACAAACACATATAAACTGCTGAAAATAAGTGTATAATTTACGTTATCTGTCGTGTCATGTTACTCCAATTTTTTGATTGAAAGGATACCAATAAACTTTCTAAAGCTCGTCTGTTTTAATGGAGGTTGATATTAAATCATTTTTTTCATATAGGTTTAAGCTTTAAAATACACCTCCTAATAAATATTTTTCGGCCTCCTTTGTAGATTATAATTATATTTTGCACATATTTTATTCACAGCACAACAGGCGCAAACTAGGATACCCTAGTGACATAACTCCTACTAGCTAAGTATAAACAGTATAATTATTGCGGCACGGTGGCTCAGTGGTTAGTACTGTCGCCTCTCAGCAAGAAGGTTGCTGGTTCGAGTCCCGGCTGAGCCAGTTGGCATTTCTGTGTGGATTTCTGCATGTTCTTCCTGTGTTCGCATTGGTTTTCTCCAAGTGTTCCATTTTCCCAGACAGTCCAATGACATGCGCTATAAGTGAATTAGGTAAACAAAATTGGCCATAGTGTACGAGTGTGTGTGTGTGTGTGTGTGAATGCGAGAGTGTACTGGTATTGCTCAGTATTGGATCGCAGCTGGAAGGGCATCCACTGTATAAAACTTCTGCTGGAATAGTTGGCGGTTCATTCCGCTGTGGCGACCGCTGATAAATAAGGCACTAAGCAGAAGGAAAATGGATGAATGAAGTATGATTATTTTGCACATGCATATATCAAAGTACATTACATTGTATCTAAGAGCAGGCGCTGACATGAGCTGCAGAGCATCGGAACAGATCTCATTAGTATTCATGATCATTCCAAATACGGTCAAAGCGAGGTTGTCATTCTAGGGCTAACTCATTTGGTTATAAATTAGCAAATAAAAGCATTCCTGGCAAATTTTTTGAGTTTACCTAAGCCACATAAATCTATATAGAAAGATTGAAGATCAATTGACTATCAATGCATGCACATCATGATTTTGCCAAGTATGATGCGATCCTAATTAACATCTATGTTGATCCTGGAACATCATTTTTGTTTGAAATTGTAATTCATACCTATTCCCTACTTAAACCCTTCCATAACTGTAAATTATTCCCACATCAGAGGAGAATAATAATAGATAACATTCAAGTAGAAGTGCATAAACCTAACTGTAAGCCTAAACTTAACATAAACGCTAAACATATCACTTATGTCTGATAAGCTAAATTAAATGTTGTTCCAGGATCAACATAGATGTTAATCTAGGAACATGTCCTACTTGGTGAAATCAGCTTGGCGATCAATGCACTCTATGCCACTTGGAATTGTCTTATGCGCTATGGTATATGTTAATGTTTATCTTTTATAGAGTGCAGACACAGTTAAGATGCTGTCGGCCACGCAGCAGACTCAAGAGGAAATTGAACGAACTAAGCAACAGTTAGCCTTTGAGGTAGACCGAGTCAAACAAGAATCAGACATGAAGGTAAAGTGTGTCCTCATTCATCTGAACTGACACCAGCCCTCAAAGACTGATTTCACTTGTTCACGAACTCTTGTTCTTGTTGCTTTAGTTTGACGAACAGAAGTTTGAAATGGATAAGCTGAAGAGGGAGCTTGAAGCCAAAGCTGCAGAGATCCAAAAAGTCAGGAGTTCATTGCAGACCTCTGAGATGGTATAGTATTTCTTCCATGTTAACAAACTTATCTGGATTGTTTAACTTTATTCTGCACCCTAAAGCGAACTGTCTACATACAGTTAAAGTCAGAATTATTAGCCCCCCCTTTGGATTTTTTTTACAAAATATTTCCCAAATGATGTTTAACTGAGCAAGGACGTTTTCACAGTATGTCTGATAATATTTTTTCTTCCTGAGAAAGTCTTTTTTTTGTTTTATTTTGGCTAGAATAAAAGCAGTTTTAACTTTTTTAAAAACATTATAAGGTCAATATTATTAGCCCCTTTAAGCAATTTTTTCGACAGTCTACAGAACAAACCATCATCATACAATAACTTGCCTAATCACCCTAATTTGCGTTTTGATGACAATTTAATTTTATATTAAATCGAGAAATTGCGATTTAAAAAAAAAAAAAATTGATACATTGTAATGGCATCAATGCGATTTTGTTCACTCTCTGGGCCCTATCATACACCCGGCGCAGTGTGGCGCAAGGCGCAATAGTCTTTTGGTAGTTTCAGCTTGGCGCAAGAGTTGTTTTGAGGCGTTGCGCTACGCTGTTTAAATAGCAAATGCATTAGCGCTCAATTGTGCGCCCATAGGCGTTCTGGTCTAAAAAGGAAGGCGTTCTGAGGCGGACCGCTGGCGCGTTGCTATTTTGAGAAACTAAAATAGATTTTTCATTAGACCAAAACTAACCCGGTCTAAACTCCAGCGCAGAGTTGCGCCTCGCTTACACACTGCTTAATACACACAAGAGAGCAATAGGCAAATATCTTTACATATGAAAAAAATTAAATATTAAGGATATATATAGGATATAATAAGAATAGATATAGAATATAAATATAAAGGATTAAAATATTACAAAACATATTATTTTCTAGCCTATATAAATATGAAAAATCACTGCTTTTATGTCTTCTTCATCTCGGGAGGCTTTTTCAGTTCATTCATAACAATTTGCTTTTGTATAATGTTATTATTATTAGCAGTATTATTTATTATATCCATATTTATATTTGTTTTATTAAAAATGTGCTTAGATTTGCACCTGTCAGGTTTTAGACCATATGGGGCATGGCAGGTGTATTTGGAAATAACTCAGTATTTTGACCACACTTGGTTATTATTGTTCATTTATTCATTTGCTAGAAATTAGAACTGAATTTAGAAACAGTTTTAAAACAAATCTTTGCGCTTAAAAAACAAAATTAATTATTTATAGACTAATTGATGTCTGTGCGTCACGCCTGGATTGTCAAGACATATTCCCTCATCAAGTCGATGAACTCGATCTCAACATGTATGAAGGACGTAAAAACCTGCCATGTGAAAAAACGCGCCGATCTTAGTTTGAACTGCGCTGATATTTTGGTTTGAACACTAGCAGAGGTCAGGGCCAGTAGCAGTGAAAATGAAAGTACCCGCCCCCATGACGTCATTGAGCAGACCTAGTTGAAAACCAGACAGATCAGGCAGCATAATACAGAGAGTGGAGCAAAGCGCATGAAATGATCAGTATTTAAAAGGGGGAAAAAGAAAAATAGATTAAACATATTATTTTATATTAGACACACATCTGGTGCTTGTATTTGCTCCTGCTATACGTCCACAACTTCACACATTGGGTTAAATTAAGCTTTACAGTTTCCATGTTCAGTCCTTCCACTGTATCTAAGGCAGCAGCATTACAACCTGTCATTCAATCAGAAGAAGACAAAGTCAAAGCCGAGGTGACAGCCAATCTTTCCAAGGCTCAGCAAAACTTGCAAAAAATACCCCTGTATTCCTGCAACTGCAATATTTACACAAATATTTTGTATTTAAATCTTCTGCAAGGATATTTAACTTGTCAATTTGTTTTACATTTATTTACACCTTGTTGACCAATTTATGTATGGCATGGCCATTAAAACTACAATGTTCCTTAACCAGATGGTTTTTCAAGTTATTTATAAAGAGAATGCCACTTCAGTCATGTTGTTGTAATATTTTAAGTTGACTAGTAACAGAATAAAAAAAAAAAAATCGAAATCGTGAATCGGTCAAACTTTATAAAAAATCTAGATTTTTTTTTTTTGCCATATCGCCCAGCCCTACCTTAAGCTGTATAGAAGTGTCTTAAAACATATCTAGTCAAATATTATTTATTGTCATCATGGCAAAGATAAAATAAATCAGTTATTAGAAATGAGTTATTAAAACTATTATGTTTAGAATTGTGCTGAAAATTTTTTTTGTTTCCGTTAAACCGAAATTGGGGAAAAATAAACAGGGGGGCTAATAATTCAGACTTCTACAACTGTAGACTACATAGACAGGTGCAGTTCCTGGAGAATGTACGGTGGCCGAGGAAGCTTAATGTACTGGAATTAAAGAAAACACATGCTATTACAAACAGCACAAAGAAAATGTTTCAAGGGGACCCAAAAATGTGACACACCCGGCTGGAATTTGCTTATTATGGCGTGACTGTTGCTCTGTGAAGTTGTAGGTGATCATTAAAAGAGTTTTTTTTTGTTTATTTTGAACATCCTGATTACACTATTGTCCTGTCTTTTGTATATTATTAGCCTAAATAACCATAACCTAAATAGCTGGGTTCATCATGTTTTCGAGTCCCCTTTCTGTTGTGTTTCATGCTATTTGTTTGCTTTGAGAGAAAATGCAGGCATTTTCCTAATCTGTTCGCATTGTGAGAAAATGCAGTGCATTTTTAAAATGTGTTTGTGTTATGAAGATGCTGTAGATTCCTTCTGAAATGTCTTTTCTTGCTGTGTTTCCTTCAGACAGGAGTGCATATGAACAGCTCTATGGCTGCACTTCAGGCTGAGAAAGACAGGCTAACACAGTCTATCAGTAAGAAAGATGCTGAACTGTCTTCGCTGAAGAAGGAGTCTCAGCTGAAAGAGTCTTCTCTACAGCAGGAGCGAGACAGGACCATCAGAGAGCTGGAGGAACTGCAAGGCAAACTCAAAGAGAAGGTACAGACAGATCTACAGCTTAACATTAGCAGGCCTTTTGTGAAATTACAGTTTTTTATCTATCTTCTTTATCATTCTAATATTTACCAAGTGCTGTTTAACAGAGAAAGGACATTTTTTTACAGTATCTCTTATTAGGTTTTCTGGAGAAAGTCTTATTTCATTTAGTTTCATCAGAAAAATATATTGCTAATAATATTGACCTTAAATAATTTTAATAAAATTAAAAAATGCTTTTATTCTAGCCTAAATAAAACAAACAATACTTTCTCCAGAAAAAAAATATTATATGAAATACTGTGAAAAATTCCTTGCTCTGTTAAACATCATTTGGAAAATATTTAAAAAACAAATTCACAGGAGGGCTAATAATTCTGACTTTGACTAGCACTGGGTTGACTGTAGTGAGCTTGTGTGTTCTGTGTTTGTAGTTGAGTCGTGAAGAGCAGCTGCAGCAGAAGTTGTTAGATGAGCAGTTCACGCTGCTGCAGGCTACAGTCACGGAGGCTGAGAACATTATTCAGGACGCTGTGGCTAAACTAGACGACCCCATACACATCAGCTGTTCCAGCTCCCCAGGTAGTTTCATGTGATTTCAGTGGGCTAAATGCATAGCAAGTGTTTTTAAGCCACCGATAAATTTCCGGTGAAAGGTTAAAGTGACTATTTTAAATTTGATAAGGTTTTACAGCATCTCTAATGTGATTTAATCAAAATATAGTTAGTTAAATCGACTTTAACATTCATTTAGTTGTTTAAGCGTGAAACGTGATGAAGTGCTTGTTTAAATGCAATCGCTGTGAGGAGAGCAGAAAATCAATTTCGGTTAAGTTGCATTTAACGATCATCAGCATCTTAGAGTGCTTTCACATCTGTAGTTCGCTTCATTTGGTCCAAACTAACATTTGGTCCAAGCGCAATAAATGATACATTGTTGCTTCTTCTGCCGTCTTTAGGTCGTTTTCACACCACACTGCTGGCTTTGGTCCGAACCAGTTGAAACGAACCAAAATGCAGTCATCTGACAAAATCCACATCTCTCATTGGCCAGATGTTTTTGAACATATTTCCTAAACTGCTTATTGATTGGTCAGAATTCACGTGCGAGAAAATGCCAGTGAACTCCCGCAGGTAAACAAAACCTTTAACTCTGGAGGGACGACTGCGCTGGCTGATTGTATCCCTGCTTTAGACAAACTATACATTAGGAAAATGAAGCGCGGCCGCGGCTGGAAAACAGTGTTTATACATCGCTCGTCACTTCAGGAGGAGACGTGAATTAATTTAGCTAAACTGCAACATGGTCACCTTGCGGAAATATTACCAACGATCCATCAGGTAATGTTTTCCCCTCTCTCTCTGTTGGTAAAGCGCTGTCAACAAATATTTTTCCTCCATATCCCATAATGCACAGTGCATCGGCCTACGGCAGCTGAATTAGTCCAAAACGCTCAGTACTTTTTGCGGTTGGACCTGTTTTAGTACGGATCATATTCTCACCGCAAACGAACCGCTCCAGGGTTCGTTTGAAAGCGTACCGAGACCACCTCTTCTAGCAGGTCTCGGTACGCTTATTTGGTTCGCTTTTGGTGCGCACTCGAGTACGATTGCTGCATTCTCACCTGCCCAAACGAACCGCACCAAAAGGGGAAACGAACTCTAGTGCGATTCAATCGAACTAAATAAGGCAGGTGTGAAAGCACCCTTAAACCCTTGTAAGTTTTTAATATTCAGATTTTTAAAAAATGTATATAGGTACATTTATAAAGGTGTACCTGTATTATATCATCTTTGCATCAAATTACAAAAAAAAACTAATTACCGTTTCTAATTCAGTGTTTATGGGTGGGACAGTATATTTGACATCTTTATTGCTTTTTCCTTGTTCACTAAGTCTTGACAACATGACAACACTAAGTTGAGTTTTTCTTTAATTATTTGAACCAAATGAAATGCCAAAATAGTTTTTGTACTCTCTTATTCACTGCACTTAGTTATTTACTGCACAAAGTTATTTTGACGTCCAATAACGACGTCAAATGAAGTTTATATTTAGTTGTTTTCAGGTTATGTTGGAAAGTGACCAAAATCCAACGTCTAATTGATGTCAAATACTGACATTTGTTCATCAGGGATGGCAACCAATGTCTGATAGAAATGTGAAAAGTCTTCATTGAAAATACTGTGGTAAATAAATGTCCATATTCTAAAAGACATATGGCTCTTTTTTAATGATCTAAGCGTCTAAAGTTCATGGCGCAAAAGCATTAAGGGCTTGTCCGAATTCACTTTAGCTATTTTAAGGACTGAAAAATATGCTCTGCACCCACCTCATGGTCTAACAGGGTTGTGCTTATTTTCTTAATGAGTTATGGGTGTGTTTTGAGCATAACGTGCATTAATCGGAGTCTCATCTCCCATTCCCAAAAGTCAGCTGCGTCGCGTCATGGCGCATTTGCTATTTACATGACGGACTTTGTAAGGGGAAAAACTGAACGCTTTACTAGCGAGAAAACAGTTAAACAGACCATCTGCAACGCAAGGATAAAGAATGAGCCTCCTACAATCAGTCTTTTTACTTTCTCTTTACTTTTACTCTCTATTTTACTCCTTTACTTTAATGGATTTAGAAACAGTGTTTTACTCACTCCACTGAAGACATCCATCAGCTTACAAATTTAGCTTTGTTTGTTAAGCGCCAACATTTATTTCAAAACTATTTCTAAATACCGTTCTAATTTCCAGCAAATTAATAAATAAACAATAATAACGAAGTGTGGTCAAAAAACTGAGTTATATCCAATCACACGTCCTATTCTTATGCCCCATATGGTGATGCAGACGCCTCCAAAACATGACAGGTGGACAAATCTAAACTGTTTATTATTAAGACAAATATAAATATGCATATAATAAATGATACTACTAATGCTTCTAATAATAGCATTATACACATGCAAATTGTCATGAATAAACTGAAAAAAGCCCCCCGAGGTAAGGGCATGCAGGTTGTGGTTTTTATATTTCATTCATTCATTTTCTTGTCGGCTTAGTCTCTTTATTAATCCGGGGTCGCCACAGCAGAATTTACCGCCAACTTATCCAGCACATATTTTTCGCAGCGGATGCCCTTCCAGCTGCAACCCATCTTTGGGAAACATCCATAAACACTCATTCACACTGCGGACAATTTAGCCTACCCAATTCACCTGTACCGCATGTCTTTGGACTGTGGGGAAACCAGAGCACCTGGAGGAAACCTAGCGAACGCAGGGAGAACATGCAAACTCCACATAGAAATAGCAAATGACCCAGCCGATGCTCGAACCAGCGACCTTCTTGCTGTGAGGCGAAAGCACTACCTTCTGCGCCACTGTGTCACCCTGTTTTTATATTTATAATATAAAATAATTAAAAAGAAAATAATTTTTTGTAACATTTTATTCCTTGAATTTCATTCATATGTACAGATATTTCTGCATCGCTGTACATCTTGTGTGTATTAAGCAACCTGTAAGCGCTCCACCTGCATAGGCCCATAACTAACACGTTCTGCGCTGGACTTTAGAGCAGCTTTTACTTGGTCAATGGCGTGGTCCAATTCAGTTCCTCAAAAAACAATGTGCCAACAATGCACCTTAACACACCTCCTTTTCAGACCGGCACACCCATTAGCCCACAAAGTGGCACGAATGGATTTGCTATTTAAACAATGTGGTCGAAAACATGAAAATTAGAGTTGCACTGATCTGAAAATAGCAACAGATCGCACCAAATACGTCTTGCACCTTATTGCACCGGGTGTATTATAAGACCCATAGTGTGGAACAATGGAATTTAGTACAGAGTTTGTTGTCAGGTAGGAACCCCACTTCATGTCGTACATCAATCAGGCAGTGAAGATCATTGAATTTTAAACAAACCAGTTCTTCTTTCTTTCATGACAGTTCACCGGAAGCGATTGAGCAGGCATATTCAAAATGAATAGTCCTCTTACATATACCTCATTATAACATTTAAACCATTTACATCTGTCTGATTATAGTACAACATCTTGTCTGTCATTAGATTACCTCATCAGCCGGGCTGAGGCCACGCTGGGCTCTGTAGAGAAGGTGCAGGCAGGCCACTCTGAGTATGTGAAGAGTATGAAAGGTATGTTCTGTCTCTTTTTCGCTTGATGATGTTTCCATATAATTTTTAATGCTTGTACTTTATCTCATTTCATGATTAACTTGTTTTTGATTCAGATGCTGGGGGTCTGGTTAGGGCTCTTACTATGTTTTCTCATCTTGCTGCTGACACAATAATCAACGGAAGTGCGACGGCACACATGGCCCCTACTGACCATGCTGATCGTAAGAGCACACACCTTGTGAAAAACACTATTATATTATATTATATTATATTATATTATATTATATTATATTATATTATATTATATTATATTATATTATATTATATTATATTATATTATATTATATTATATTATATTATATTATATTATATTATATTATATTATTTTGAATTATATTATTTTGAATTATATTATATTATATTATTTTATTTTATCTTATATTATTTTATCTTATATTACATTATATTTTATCATATTATATTTTATTATGTTATATTATTTTATTTTATATTATATTATTTTATCTTGAATTATTTTATATTATATTATATTATTTTATTTTATCTTATATTACATTATATTTTATTATGTTATATTATTTAATTTTATATTATATTACATTACTTAATATTATATTATATTATTTAATATTGTATTATATTATATTATTTGATATTGTATTATATTATATTATTTTATCTTATATTATATTTTATTATATTATATTTTATTATGTTATATTATTTAATTTTAGATTATATTACATTACTTAATATTATATTATATTATTTGATATTACATTATATTATATTATTTGATATTATTTGATATTATTTGATATTATATTATATTATATTATATTATATTATATTATATTATATTATATTATATTATATTATATTATATTATATTATATTATATATGCCAGTGTGTAGGGGTGCAATGAATCACAGTTGACCCATGTGGAACTAATAACACATATTTAAAACATCTAGATGAATCCTAAATTTAGTTTGAAACGCATGTCTGTCTACAGGTTTGACTGAGCAGTGTAAGAGTTGCGCCACCCAGAGTCTGCAGTATCTTAAGAGTCTTAAATCCAAAGCATCTCTAAGGGGGGCTGATCCCACCGCCATCCAAGCAGCGGTGCAGAAGATTCTTAGAATAGGAAAGGTAAGACACAAATAGTTTGGGTTATTTAAATGCTAATAATGCAATCATTCATTTACTCAAGGCTATTGCTGCTTGTATTTTACTTCCAGGATCTAAGGCCAAAAGGTTTAGATGTCGGCAAGGATGAGCTGGGAGATATGGTGGATAAAGAAATGGCTGCTACCTCTGCTGCTATTGAGGAGGCTGTTAGGAGAATAGATGTGAGTAGAAAAGTATTTATCACAGAAAATCTGTGCCTTCTAATGTTCCACTTGTTTCAAACCAGAGTTACTTTCTTTTTAACACATATATAATATATGAACAATATCACATGAGTAGCAGTATGCTATGGCTGTATATTGGCACTGGCGGGAGGCGTGCGTTGGTTTGAGGACACAGGCCGAGTGCCTTAGTGTCCCACAAGTGAGGTGGAACAGCCATATCACACTGCTACATGTGTGATATTGCATTTATAAAACAGTTCGACAGCAAAAGCGTGTATAAGAGTAGTCTTTTTGAAGAGTAGAAACTTTTCTCTCTGTTTAAAAGAAACAGTCTTTTTGTAAGAGGAACTACTTTCTTCCGCCATTCATTCACATCTGCAGCTGACATCAGAACAGCAGAAACTGTTTCTAATTCACCATCGTGACTTTAGAGCTAGTATTGATGAATGATTCTCTAGCGTAATGTCTAAAGTGATGACAAAACAGGTGATTTTGCTGACTTTTTAAGAGTATAAGACTGAACTGCATGAAATGCCATCAATCTACAGAGATATCCCAGTGTTTCTCTGTTGTGATCAGGAGTATCACAATAACTGACCCCAAAAAAGCCAAAGCAATGCAAACACTAGCAGATTACTGTTGTGTTCGCGATAAGGAAAAACACTAAACACATGCGGGCATTTCTTCCTTCTTTCTGTTTACTAAGAGACTCATTAGAAACAAACAGATGGCCAACCAAAAAGGTTATACAAAAAGTGTGCAACATAATACCCGAGTCCCATCTCACACTCAATACACTACAATTACTATGGTATAAAAACAGCCCTACAACATACAAAAGAGAGAGATCGACTTAGAATCTCTGTCACCCACCAATTTAATAATGTTTTGATCAGCTGTAGTTTGAAAATATGCAGATCTTTTCTCCTCTAGAGGCTTATTATGCGGCTGCCATCTTGTGGATGGACAACATCAACCGCCTTGCTCAATGACAGGCTGCCAATGCGGTGTATCTCGGAAATGATAAATATTTAAAATAGGCATTATTCTTATAAATAAACTGCATAGTTGCAATCTAAACAACCACATTCTCGACTTTAAAAAGTCTCAAAAGCACATTATGTTGTCCAACTGCAGCAATATTTGTCAAACTGTAGTGAGTTTATGGATCTGCTGTCACTATGTGGGCGGAGTAATACAGAAGGAGGAGGAGGCTATTTATATATTTAGATATACAGTACATGTAAATATGCAATTTACTAGTTAAAATGGGCTGGAAAATTCACCTGGAATGTGCTTGAAAGCTTGAAAGTTTCTTAAATTTGGCTTTGGAAAAGGTGTAAGAACCCTGAATATAATATAATAATTCTATATTATAATAATACTGTGTAATACTATATAATTTTGTAATAAATGTCGAAAATAAATGATCTATGAAAGTCTTTAACGGATTAATAACTGATGAACAAGCATTTCTGTTCACTTATTGTTTAGTTTTAAGGCTGTTTTAATTAAGCTTAATACATGGTTTTTGAAACATCCATATTTATTATATATATCTTGTATTGTTTTGATCTCAATTTTAATTGTTTGGCTCTATAGGAAATGATGAGTCAGACCAGAAAAGACGCAACTGGAGTTCAGCTGGAGGTGAATGAAAGGTTGGTGTTGTTGTTGTTGTTTTTTATTATTATTATTGTTAATTTTTTAATTGTTAAATGCAAATGTCACTCTTTTAATATCTGAATATAATAAATGAGTAATTAATTATTAATGTTACTATGTGTTATATATATATATATAAGTTATTAACATATAAGAGTTTTTGCATGGGCCTATAAAAATGCATTTTGTCTTTTAATATTTGTCTTGAAGGATCCTGAACAGCTGCACTGACCTGATGCAGGTGAGATTAGCACACACTGAATCATCGATGCCAAAAATCAACATTTGAGTTTCTACAGTACATCATGCACTTACTAAGGCATTAGAGTCAGTTAGTGCTGGCATTTGAGCTAGTTGCTTGCTTGTAATTATGAATGCTTTACTGTAATAATAATTGCATACAACACAAGGGCACTGCTAAATTAAGCATCACTGTTTATCAATGATGTAATTGTCTTAATGTTGATGTCCTGCAGGCCATTCGTCTTCTGGTGTTGGCATCCACAGACCTGCAGAAGGAGATTGTGGAAGGTGGAAGGGTAAAGTGTTCTTCTTTAAATTATTGTTGATTCATTGATTATTGATTTTCTATTGATTATTAGTACTTTTAAGTTTCAATCTGTTATATAATGCTGGGGAAACACCACAGGAGAAATTGGCTGGATTTGAGCTATCAAAATAATTGCAAAGACTGTCATTGTTTCTTCTTCATCGTTCGCCATTTCTGTTCTCAAGTCTTCTTTGTCACATTGTGGCAGGCCACGCACTATACGAGCAAAACAGTGAAATCTAGCATTTTTTTGTCCTCCTGTTTGTGACTTCTAACATTTTGAAAATCCCATAAGATAAACAACCTTTTAGTATGTACTAGTGGTGTAACAGATCACAGTTGATTTAGATCACAACCCACGGTTCAGAGCGCACGTGTCCTGCAGATTAATAACTTCTTCTTTACCTTTAGATTATTCAGAAGGTCGTGGTTTGCACTCATTCAATAATGGCTTCATACAGTTTTTATTTTACCACTTAATCTCATTTTCATTTCAATATACCATAATTAACCAAACAAGAAATGTTTAGCTTCACCTTCAAGAACATTATTTAACAGTTAAAAAACACATATCAATTATCATCATTCACTTATTTATGTCTACATCAATACAATGAAATTCCGACAGTCCAAAACATTACTTTTTTATTACATTTACTTTTAGATTAATCATACATTTTGTAATGATCGCAGAGAGATCGACAGTATGAAAGCATTTTTTTCTTTCCTGTAAAATAAAATTTTGAGGTAAGAAGTTGTGGTGGCACCTAAACGCTTTCTTAAGTTATTAAAGGTGTTTTCTGTCACTGGTTTAGTCTGCATTAATGCATTGAGTGTAAAGCTGCACAATTCATCTTTGAAAGTTCGGGATCTCTATTCAAACACCCACGCACAAACCTAAATTATGACCTAAATTATAAAGGATGATTTGCATATGTTTATTCATTCTTCGATGCGCTCCATTCAAATCTGCCGTTGACTGTGAAAGAGATTCAGCCTTTAGTTTTTCCAGCCAGTATTATTTCTAATTACATACTATCAAATAACACTGAAGATCTGGGAGATTCGTTTATAGTTCAGATATAAACACTGATGTATATGATAAAGATTAGAATCTATGTTTAATGCAACTTCACGCTCAAAATGAAAATTGTTGCAATTACATTGTTTGACCAATAGGTGGCATCAAAAACGTGTCACTGAATAATTCTTCAAAATGTATATATCTAGTAATGAACATGACGTTTTTGGATTATTAATTGAAAATAATTATGATGTGTTGTCGTACATGATTATAATGTTAAATTGATTTAGCATCATCACAGTATTGAATCATTTCTTTTTTTTAACCAGCTGGTTATTTCTTGATTATATTTTTATTAAAAGTGCAGACTCTAAGATATGTTTTTTTTTTTTAAACATTATTGTTTTTGGTAATAAATGGGAAGCAAATAACATTTGTCTTCTCTCCTTTTTGCCAATCCAAAAAAATGGTTTGATCCATGACTCAAAAACCGTAATGTGGTCTGAACCGTGAAATTTGTGATCAGTTACATCACTAGTATATACCCAGCCTATTTCTATTGAAAAATATTGCCCTATATGTGATTGTGTTTGCTGTGATATTACCACATGATCTGTTGTTGTTTTTTGTTTGTAGGGTGCAGCTTCAGTCAGAGAGTTTTATGCGCGCAATTCTCGCTGGACAGAGGGTCTTATTTCTGCCTCCAAAGCTGTGGGATGGGGCGCGACGCAGATGGTGTATGTATTTATGCATGTTCAAGAGCTCATTAAAACCTATACTTTTGCAATGCCTTGTTTGTAATGTTATCAGGCAATGATCTGTATCTGGAGAGATGTAAAATATCTGTTAATTAACTGTTTCTGTGTTTTGTGTTAATACGTGTGTTGAAAATCTGCCACAGGGGTAAGAACAAATCATCAAAGTCAAAACAATCATTTTTTTCTTACCCCATTGGCAGATTGTTTTGCTTGTTTTAAGTAAAAACTCACTTGATTTTGACTCATTATTTCTGAAAACAAGACAATAATTTTAGCTTGAAAAATTAGGAAAAATTAAAAAGCCTTTATTCACATGGCTAAATCCTAAAAAACCTACGTTTTTTTAACGTAGGGTAACAGGATGAAGGCAGATTCTTGCCGAAACGCGTAGGTTTTTTAGGATTTAGCCATGTAAATAAAGGCTTTTTAAATTTTCCACATTTTTTGAGTGCCGTGGACTGATTCCTGTTGTTGTATTGATGAATCCTTTACCCAAAGAGCACCGACCAAATATTTGAGTTACTCCTGAGCGCTTTTGGTTTGTTTTTCTGGATTAATATTTGTAGCTTTTCTAGAAAATCCTTTTTGATTCATGAGTTTTGCGATATTTGAACTAGAAACAAGACAAAAAATCTAAGTAAGTAAAGCAGTTTTTGCAGTGTGCTTATTTATATTTATTTATTTCTGTAGTAGTTTTCTGATGTTTGTATTGATGTTTGGCATTCCTCTGAACATTCATTTTAACATTCAGATTCTTTGATTATAAAGATTTGACTGTGTAATTTTATGGTTAGCTCTTTGTTTTGCTAACACAACTTTGCTTTCACTTTCCATCAGTGATTCTGCTGATAAAGTGGTGTTGCACACTGGGAAATATGAAGAGTTGATCGTCTGCTCTCACGAGATCGCTGCTAGTACTGCACAGCTTGTTGCAGCCTCCAAGGTTTCACTTTTATATCATTTATCGTATGTCTTTTAGAGCAATGAATCAGAGAAACAATCAGGCAAAAACAAAGTTGCCAGTTCACCTAGAACTGAACATTTCCTCCTTACCTTCAATTGGTTCAGAACAAATTATACGTTTTTTTCTGTTGATAAAAAAGACTTTACAGACCTGAAACTTGCCTATAGCACTTATTCATTGTTGCTTTTATAGTTGTGTAAATTGCTTCCTTGTCCTCATTTGTAAGCCGCTTTGGATAAAAGTGTCTGCTAAATGACTAAATGTAAATGTAAAAGAAGATATTCTGAAGAATGTTGGAAAAAGCAGCCACTGACATCCATAGTAGACAAAAAATATTCAATGTTTTTTCAGTTTAGATCTGTTATGGGTAAGAGGTGTGTGAGTTATTGTCGTCAGTCTATTACTGAATGTGAATATCTAAAACAAAACCAACTTCCCTCCGCTCCTTTAGCGCCCCTCACACAGCTTGATCCACGCTGGCATTTCTCCTTTTGGGTTTTTGCTTTTGAAAAGGGAAAAAAAATTCACCACCTCCTCCAAACTTTAAGGACGCCGGGTGTCCGATTTGCACAATCCATATGCACAACGCTTTGACTTGTTTCCCTCGCTCGAAAGCTTGACAGAGCCCCTTCGTGTAGCTACGGTTGCTAAGCCACGATTGGTGTGTGGCGTTTTTTGGGTGTGGGTTAGCGAAGGGTCAATCAGCTGACAAATGTTGTCAAAACAATTCTCATTTAGATGTTACATAAAGAAAGCTGCAGTGATTGATGGTAAAAATAAATAAAAACAATAATGTCCAGAAATAATGCACAAATAAATTACATTTAAAAATGATAAAAGTGATAAAACATTGAAAACAATAAAATAAGACATTATATTATAAATTATATATTATTATAAAATAAGAGAAAGTACCAACAATAACAAAAGACTTGCAAAACTAACATTTATTATATGAAATAGTCAATTATTAAAGTGTAACCGTGGTAATGTGTTAGGAAAAGGTCCTCAAATATAACCACAGTCTGGGCTTTTGTCTGACAGAATACAATATTTTCTCAGGGGTACCATTGTCTGAATGTTTAATGAATATCTGAATGAAGGTCTTTTTTTTCCCCCTCTGTAGGTGAAAGCCGACCGTGGCAGTAAAAGGCTTGGCAATCTCCAGCAGGCCTCTCGTCATGTTAATGAGATGGCTGCTAAAGTGGTGGCGTCCACCAAGACAGGGCAGGACCAGGTCGAGGATAAGGGTCAGTGTAATGCCATAGAGGGCTTTTGGTTTATAGTGTCTCATCTTTCACCTCAATAAGAAATAAAAAGTTTGTTTTCCTCTAATGTTTATGTTTAGACACCATGGACTTCTCTGGACTGTCTCTAATTAAGCTTAAAAAAGAAGAAATGGAATCACAGGTATGTTTTGACGGAGCATTATGAAGTTTTATTACAATTAAAAGGCACAGTTTGTCATTTTCACCACTAGAGGGCGCGTATTCACAACAAACAAAGGTGTTTTTTTCATGATGCCATTACTGAGTGTGGAATCATGGCATGATGCATATAATTGATCCTTTTAATGTCCTTTCTCAGGTGAAGGTTCTGGAGCTTGAGACGATGTTAGAGAATGAGCGTCTGCGTTTGGGTGAACTCAGGAAGAAACACTACGAGATAGCAGGAGTTCCTCTAGAACAGCTCTCTGAAGACAATGGCCTGAAAGCGTCTCCAGCCTCCCCAAAACCCAGCTCCAAACCCGGCCTAATGAAGAAACCAGTTCTCGCACAAAAACCCAACATCCCACCTAAAACCATGGTAACACTGTTTAATAAACGTTACACACTTTTACAGTATTTTGTCAAATACTACACAGAGGGGTCCCTGTTGAGAGGCTAACATGGTTGGTTAGTTAGTTAGTTAGTTAATTATTTAGTTAGTTTGTTTAGGTTGTTAGTTAGTTATTTAGTTTGTTATTTAGTTACATTGTTCATTAGTTAGTAAGCTCATTAATTTGTTCGTTCTTAAGTTAGTTATTTAGTTATTTAGTTAGTTTGGTCGTTCATAAGTTTGTTAGTAAGTTCGTTAATAAGTTTGTTAATTATTTAGTTTATTTGTTAGTTCATTCTTAAGTTAGTCAGATGGTTAATTAGTTCGCAAGTTAGTTAGTAAGTTATGTTCATTAGTTAGTTAGGTCATTCGTAAGTCATGAACTGACTAACAGACTAAGTTAGTTCTGTCGTTCATTCATAAGTTAGTTGGTTAGTTAGTTCTTAAGTTAGTTCAGTCATTCATATGTTGGTTAGTTTGTAAGTTAATTCAGTTGTTTAGTTCGTTAGTAAGTTTGCAAGTTGGTTTGTTTGTTCGTGAGTTAGTTAGTTCAGTCATTCCAACATTAGTTTATTTTTTATTAGTTAGTTTTTTTTATATCAGTGTATGATTTTTCAACTTTAAACCTCATCAGTAAGTTTGTTAGTTATTTATTTCGTTAATTCATAAAGTAGTTTGTTTGTAATTTAGTTAGTCAGTTAGTTATTTAGTAAGTTCTTTAGTTAGTTTGATCATTCATTTTTGTGTCCGTAAGTTAGTTCGTTAGTTAGTTCATTAATTAGTTTGGTCATTTGTTTGTACATTCGTAAGTTAGTTAGTAAGTTAGTTCATTAGTTAGTTTGTTAATTCATAAGTTAGTTCGTTTGAACTTTTCTAAGTCAGTTTGTTAGTTAGTTAGTTAGGTTGTTCGTTCATACTTCCTTAAGTTTGTTTGTTTGTTAGTTCATAGTTTTGTCGTTCATTCGTAAGTAAGTTTGTCCGTTAGTAAGTTTGTTAATGTGTTTGTTGGTTTTTCAACTTTTAAACCTCATTAGTAAGTTTGTTAATTATTTACTTAGTTAATTCATAAAGTTGTTTGTTCGTAATTTAGTTAATTTGTCAGTTAGTAAGCAAGTTTTTTAGTTATCTTTTATTATTTAGTTATTTAGTTAGTTTGATCATTTGTTTTTTACGTTCGTAAGTTAGTTCATTAATTAGTTTGGTCATTCAGAAGTCAGTTATTTAAATTGTTAGTTTGTTCAATCGTTTATACATTTGGTAGTTAGTTAGTTAGTTAGTTAGTCAGTCAGTCAGTCAGTTAGTAGTCATAAGTGAGTTCTGTTGTTCATTCATACGTTTGTTAGTTTGTCATTAGTAGTTTGTTAGTAAGTTAATTAGTTATGGTGATAGTTTGTAAGTTTGTTAGGTAGTTAATTCACTCGTACAATAGTTATTTAGGTAATTTGTCGTATGTTAGTTAGTCTGTAAGTTAGTCCATTCAATCAAATGTTAGTTAGTTCATTTGTTCATACCTTAGTTCATAAGTTACAGTGTAGTTAGTTAATTCACTCATACGTTAGTTAGTTAGTTAGTTAGTTAGTTGGTTTATTTTTTCGTATGTTAGTTAGTTAATTGGTTCATAAGTTAAGGTAGTTCAGTCGTTCGTACGTTAATTGGTTAGATCTTACATTAGTTAGTTCATTCATTTGTTGGTATGTTAGTTAGTTAGTTTGCACGTTAGTTAACGGTAGTTAGTTCTTACATTCTGAAAATTAATTTGATACCAGTACATGATTTTTCAACTTTAAACCTTTATTGCTTAAAAAATATTGTCCATACCTAGTACTAACTAATTACTCCACTACTTGTGGAGATTGACCAACAATACTGAAATCGATAACACACATGCACAACAATCTCACAATAACTTACAATATAATGAGAAACAGACCAATGTTGACTCCGGGGTTTTTCAGTTAGAGGATTACAGTAAAATAGCAAGATGGTATTTAGTTGTGCCATGACTAAATCAAGCAAAATATTTTTTTGAATGCATTAACATCTAAACCTTTCTGTATTTTTTACAGTTAAGGTGAGCACATCTGGATAATGATATGTGGGATGAAGATATGTGAAGACTCAGTGACTGTCAAATGGATGTGAATACAGAACCCATCTCGAACCTTCCTGTCAAGTTTCTCTTTTTTTTTCCGATGTCTGCTCACTTAAATGTTTTATTGTATCTTCCGCGTGAGACCTTTGCCTTTTTCCCTCATTTGAGAGTGCCTTAGGGGCTTTAAATAATGTTTATTTTAGATATAGAGCCATAGTTCTGGGTGTTCCTCATACATTTATAAACTTTTTTTTTTAAAATGACGATAAGACAAATAGTGTGTAACATCTGGCTAAAATGGTCAGTTCACCCCCAAAATGACCGCTAATTGGAAAAACATGCCTACATTTTTGCAAAACTCCAAAGATGCGTTTATATGAACAATTCACTGTAGTCTGTTGCTGAAATGAACACTACTGTCAATAAACATTACTGTAAACTTTTCTCAATAAGTTTGATTACATCACCAATTATTGATTACTAATTTAATTTATTAATTTATTTGTGCGTGTGTGTGTGTTTCGTGTGATGTTATGTCTTTAAAACATACCACAGTGTATTTCTAAACCAGTACGTTTTGATATTTACATCACATAATCATCTTTTTTTGACGGTAAACTTGAAAAAGAGAGATCAAATGCTTTTAGAAGCAAACTTAAAAATCCCGTCTCCATCTCTTTTTAGGTTTGGGATAGGGTTTAGTGTAGATTTAACTCTGCATTTCACTTTGTAGGTGTTGTTATATTGAATATTATCATTTTGCAGAAATGTTGAAACCTTGCCTTTTCTTCTTTAGAACACACAGAATATATATTTCAAACAGTTTAAATGTCACAGACTTTAATAGTAGAATACACTGTAAAAAAAGTGTAGGCATCCATACAAGTCCTTCATGTTGTCCGAACACAAATTAATTAAGTTAAATTTAAGTGGATTGAACAATTAAGATGTCCCAAAACAGAAAAATCGCAGGAATTGTGAATTATTTTTCAGCTCTTTTTAATTTTAAAGGTGCTGTATGTAAGTATTTGACTCCTCTAAAGCATAAAATACTTTAGCATAAAATGCCAGCAGATATTTAAGAAACATGCTCATTGAAACAATGTCAGGAAAACAATGCTGAAGACAGATATTGTGCTTTAAAAATTTGTTTTCCGTGCCAGAACGTCTGTCTCTGTTTTGGTCATTTAACCCGCTCATTGTTAGTTTAGCCAGTTATATTTCAACACCCCGGGTTGCCTTGTTGGAAAACGGTACATTTCATTCATTCAGTCATGAAAGCTCTCAAAGTGTGTGCGTGCCCGAAATGCGACCTCCGGTGGACAGTAACCATAGATATATACATTAGATGTCGCCTGGCCTATTGCTGTCTATTGGAAGGAATGCGTCAATAGCGCCGCCATCTTGCTACAGGGTAGCGCTCCTTTGAAATGAATGCGGGACCAAGGTACAGTGGAGGACTGTGGCCATCCAAAGCCAGAGATATACACATATATCTATGATGGGGAGTTTTCCTGGATGTTAGTATGTAATTTTTTTTTCTAATTACGAAGATTATAATTTTACATCACTTTTCTACATTGATGGATCAGTGACATACGGGCATTCCTGACAAAAAGCTTGTGTTTGTGTGTACAGAAATGTACTATTCACACTCCCTGTTAAATTTAATCTAATCACGTCCTGAAACACAGCTCCTCTCCTGCTTTCACTTCTCATACTGACGGAGGGAGCGATTCGTTTGTGAATGAATCCCCCCGAACGACTCTTTCACTAACGTTAGCAGACAATAATACAAGTTTCTGGCAGCGCAGCATCTCGTTGTCATATTTCTTTTGCATTGTTTGCTGATTTTAATCAACAAAACTAGCATAAGCAGAGTGTTTAGTGAGTGTTTTGGAGCTGCTTTGCTGTATGGTGAATGCAGTAAGTGACTGTTATCATCAATAACGTTACCTGACTAGCACAAAAGTTCAGAACATACAAAAACAGAAAAAAACGTAATATTACCTATGAAATGTTCTGCCTTTGCTCGTTACTACACATGTAGACAGCGTTAAAGTCCCGCATCTTCACGTAATAACACCGTCTTGTCTAGTGCAGTTGAATGACATTTGTCCTGGGAGCACTGTACCAATGTGGCGGCGCTATTGACGCATGCTCAGTGTCCCTATGCGATATCTAGTGTATATATCTATGGACAGTAACAGCCTCCGAAAAATGAGACGCAGATTCAGAGTTCCACATGAGATGGTTATTATTTAGCAAATAATATAAATATTACGAATGTAAACATTAGGTGAGCAGGTTACATCGTAACTCCATGTCCTAGCAACATTATGCGTGAAGAGATTTGCAGTGATAAGCAATTTGGCTGTTTACACCAGACACCAGGCTGAAACACAACAGAAGATTAAATACAGCCATTCAGAAGCACAGAATAGTGCACTCACTGCACTTCAACAAAATGGTAAGGTTTATAATCTAATTAATACATATTAAAGCTCTTTAACAATAGTAAATGTAGATGCTGAATCACTGAGATGTGTTGGCTTGCATTGAGTCACCTTTCTAAAGTTCAATTTCGAAGGGTTTATTTTCAAGATCTGACGTGAACTATCTGCTGCTGCTGCTTTCAGTAGTATGGCAATAAATGTCATGTAAAATGACATTCACACTCACATTATTAGCATTTAACACTGAATGAAGCACATGAGGTTTACCTGAGGTGATCATTGTGCGTTTTCTGTTGTTCGGCTGGAAGAAACTGAAGCCGTTTCTATAAAATTCAGGTGTTGGTTAAGACAAAAACTCCTTTTAATATGGAAAATATTCCTTCTATCTTGTGCCATTGCTTTTATTTATGATTTACACGGTTTAAATCAGCCTTAAATCAGTCTTAAGGCTCGACAGTCAGGCACAATTCTATTGGTGTCGTCAATCTGGCAACCTGCGCTTGCATGTGTTTTGAACAAAGGGTGCAATACCTAGCTCGACCACTGGGCGTCAAACTTACACACTGCGCCTTTAAATAAATAGTTTGGCCATGCAGAAAAACTGTTTTTTAGTGTAAACACACACACACAAAAAATACACTGCGATATTATTTTTGTTTTCCATTAAAGAAATGCACAGAGATTGGGTGTTGCGTTAGGGTGGGTGAAATTATTCTATCAATCATTGTCAAGTAGTTGCGGAGGTGGACTAGCCTTAAAAGTTGGAGAATTGGATTTACATTGTTTTGTGTGTGGTTATATATGTATACATATCAAAATATCTGATGACAAACATAATTACCATGGTTAAAAATGATTTTTCAGTGTCGCCACATATCGACCAGCGGCTGTATATTCAGACTTATCCCCTTTAAGTAGGGTGTTACCGAAATCTCTTTTGCTTTTTTACTCTGTCCTAATAATAAATGTGTCGTCTATGCATCAACATGTATTTTAATATTATTTTAGTAGATCATATTTTAGCCATGTTTGAATGTCTCTTGTAATAAACATAAAATAAACAAATATTTGGGGAAAAATGTTTGAGATTTACTCTATTTGCTTTTTTTAAAATATAATCCTAGTTTGATGACATTTTATCTTCTATGGTTTATGTAGTGTGATACTTTTTTGACAAGCAAGAAGAATAAAACACACAAACACACACTGCTGTTGCAGACTCCTACTTACAGGGTTGCCAAGTCTGCATTTTTCCCTCTTATTTGTTTTTACTTTTTTTTATATATATATATAAATATTTTTTTTATTATTATTCTCTAGGTTAATGGTTTGACATACTGCATCAGTTATATTTATATGCATTGGAATATTTTAAATAGCTTTTTTTCAAAAAAAATAAATGCAAATGAGGGAATATTTTATTATAAAATACATAATTTCCATATGAAACATGCAATCAAGCATTTTTTTGGCAAATCATTTGCATATTAAACACACAATCGTAAATTTTTGGCAAGTCATTTGCATATTAAACATACAATCATATTTATGGCCAATTCTTAATTTAATCATTATAATTGATTGGAAGATGGTGAATATGATTAATTATTGTCCAAAAACAAGGGGGGATTTTAAATCCGGTTTAGATTTTTTTCTAGAAATGTATGCAAATGAGTGCATATTTGAATAATCAATGCATCATAACCATATTAAACATATAACTATACTTTTTTTGACATTTGTCTTTTGCATATTAACTATACAAGTATGATGCCAAACATTTTTTGGGAAATTCTTACTCATAATTAATCAGTCAGCTGGGAAAGATGGTGAATATGAATAATTTTGTTAAAAAAAAACTAAGAAAAAAGGATTTTAAATCTTCCTTCGGTTCAACATTTTTTTTCTAGAAATATACAAATCAGAGCATATTTGATTAAATAATGCCTCATTTGCATATCAAATATAAAAAAATATATACATTTTGCAAGCTATTTTCATATTAAACACACAATCATACTTTTTTGGCAAATCATTTGCATATTAAACACAATCATATTTTTTGGCAAATCATTTGCATATTAAACACACAATCATACTTTTTGGCAAATCATTTGCATATTAAACACAATCATACTTTTTGGCAAATCATTTGCATATTAAACACACAATCATACTTTTTGGCAAATCATTTGCATATTAAACACACAATCATACTTTTTGGCAAATCATTTGCATATTAAACACAATCATACTTTTTGGTAAATCATTTGCATATTTAACACACAATCATACTTTTTTGGCAAATCATTTGCATATAAAACACAATCATACTTTTTTGGCAAATCATTTGCATATTAAACACAATCATAGTTTTTTGGCAAGTCATTTGCATATTAAACACAATTATACTTTTTTGGCAAGTGATTTGCATAATAAAAATACAATCAAACATTTTTGGGGTGAGGCAATTTTTAATATAATCATAATAATTAATCAATCAGCTGTGGAAGATGGTGAATATGATTAATTACGTCGTCAAAAAATCAAGAAAAAAAAAACGTTAAATCTTCATCCGGTGTTCAAATTTTTTTTCTGGAAATGTATACAAATGAGTGAATATTTCATTTAAAAATGCCTAATTTGCATATTAAACACACAATCATACTTTTTCTGCTAATTGTTAGTTAAATAATGTCTTATTTGCATATTGCTTAAAACATTTTTGGGCAATTGTTAATATAGTCATTATATTTAATTAATTAATCAGCTGGTGAATATGGTTAATGTGAATAATATATTTTATTATACTCTGCAGTGTCTTGATTACATTAACACAGATTAATAAAGAGTGATAAAAGAAGCACTTACAAGGGTATTTTAGACAGCTTCTCCATTAGAATAAAAATAAATATGCATGAGAATTCAAATAATTAAAAATAAACATGTGACTGAAACAGAAAAATGTCAGACTTGAACTGATCTCAGTAACACTATACTGGAGGCTTGGAAAACATTCCTCATACTTTCAGTACTTAATATTGAGAATGTAAATATTGAATATACAGTAAATATATGTTATATTGCTGAACAGGTTTAGCAAAACATTATTGCTCATTATGTGATTGCAGCCAGACTATAAAGGCAATGTGTTCAGTGCTGCTCCTGAAAACAGAAGAGATCTCAGTGCTCCAGCTTTCTTTGTCTTGTTGTGTTGTTTTCCACTCCATTGCTCTCATCATGAGTGCTGAAAGAGAAATGAAAAAAAAACCACTGATGTCTGAAAAATTAAAAAATTAAGCATAAAAAATGTAGCTAGAGTGTAAAATCTGAACACACACTTACAGTTTGCTGGTTTGTTCAGAGTACACATCATCTGCACATGAATGAATGAGTGTTAATATTCAGAGTTATATTCTAGAACTGTTCTTCATATAAAGTGAATATATTTGAGAAATATAATATAAGAGAACAGGGGCCACAAGTCTCGTTCCTGGAGGTCCAGTGCCCTGCAGGGTTTAGCTCCAACTTGCCTTAACACACCTGCCTGGGTGTTTCATGTATCCCTAGTAAGAGCTTGATTAGCTTGTTCAGGTGTGTTTGATTAGGGTTGGAGCTAAACTCTGCCGGACACCGGCCCTCCAGAAACAAGTTTGGTGACCCCTGCTTTAGAAGCTAAAGGAAATCACTTGAAATTTTAAGGAAAACTAAAAAAAAACAAACTACATAAATAATAAATAAAAAGGTAAACAAATATATTAAATTAAAACGAATAATAGACAAATCAAGTGACTACAATTTTAATAAAAATAAAAGCTAAATACAGAAATGAATAAATATTATAATAGCATAAGCGGTGGATGTAAAATAAAATACAAATGTTAAAATATTTTAATTACATGATACCTTAGCGTATAACTAAAAACTTACATATTAATATTTTATGTTCATATTTTTAAATAAATATTACTCAATTACTCAAATAAATAAAAAGTAATAAATTTATTAATATATATTTACACTACCTGACAAAAGTCTTGTCATCGATCCAAGTTGTAAGAGCAACAAATAATAACTCGAGACTTTAGTCAGGTTTGTATATATATATATATATATATATATATATATATTAAAGCTAATAATCATTTAAAAATATAAATCTAATATGAATATTTTAGCATAAGTATAAACATCATATAGAAACTTAAAGAAATCTCTAAGCAAACAATAGAGAGTTGTGTGTGACCTGCAGTAGAGCTGCTGTGTTTGGGTTTGCTGCATTTCTCCCACAAACAGATGAGCGTGACGAGCAGCAGGACTTCAGCCACGATGGCCACGAAGGGTTTGAGAGGCTCAGTGTACGACAGCACCTTCAGCTCCACCTGAGACTCGCTGGCTTTAATGTCAAACTCAGCACTGCAGATGTACTTTCCAGACTGAGCCTCGGTCAGATTCAGCACTGTCAGTTTGGTTTCATTTCCATTCAGAAGGATCTTGTACTTTAGAGGGTCCGCGGTAACATTGATGAGCTCCTGTGAACAGAGAGAGAGAGAGAATAAAAGTCAAAACTGGAATAAAAGTGGAAACATATAATTTTGCAAACAATATATAGACAATATTTCATATAAAATAAATAAATAAATATTGCTAAATTTATATCAAAATGAATTCAAGTTGAAAGGAAAGTTAAAAGAGATGTAAAATATCGTGTTAAGCTGAAATAACAAAAAGAAGGTTATGAATAATTAAATATGAATAAATGAATTATGAATCAACATTACAATATCAGAATAAAATATAAAAAATTATATAAAAATGTTTAAAAATAATAAAAAATATAAACACACACACACACACAATTTGTTAGAAAAAATATATAAATTATGATAAGATTATTCATTCTTTCAATTTTTTTCGGCTTAGTCGCTTATTTATCAGAGGTCGCCACAGCGGAATGAATTGTCAACTATTCCAGCATAAAACCTAATAAAATAACAGAAAAATGCCACAAATGACGATTAGTCCTACTATACTGCACCTTTTCGGTGTTGTTAGCCTTGTACCAGTTCCAGGTGTTTGGCATGTGTTTGAGTTTACACACCAGTACAACTGAATCTCCAATGTAGCTCACCACAGGCTTGTCCCGTTTGTCCTTCATCACAGGAACTTAAGGAAAAGAAATACACCACATTCATCATTTTAAGCAGATTGTTGACAAGTCAGGCTCATTTTACAAGTCCTATTGAGTTAAATCGACAAATATGTTGCCTGGATTACGTTTTCTTGCAGTTTTTGTTTTCACAAATCCGAATGTGGCCACTAGAGAGCGCCGTGTACATTTCTGACGATCTCAAATATTCTGTGTTGTATCAATGATTTATGCTAAGCTAAGCTAAAAGTGCCAGACCCGGAGATCAGCAAAATGGATTCAGAATATGGTAAATATGGTATAAATATGGTAAAAACTCACCTGTTTAACTATTGTAAACTTGTAAAATGCGCCTATTTCCGAAAAAAAAAACCCATCGTGTATCTTTATGATAAACATACCTTGTAAAACAAACGTCACTCGTGCATCATTTTCTCTGAAGACACACGAATAATTTCCCAGATCTCTGGCCTGTATGCTGAAACTGAAGAGGATTAAACAACTGAAAGCACTGTAATATACTGAAGTGCTCATTTCTGTGCTGTTGGGGATGTTTTCATCCACTCTGGGGTGATTTTTCAGTCTCAATTTTGGCCACAAATTAATGTGTTTCAGCAAATGGAATGATTTTTTGGTGATAAATCTTATTTTGACACATATTTTGGGAAAATGCTTTGGAAAAAAACCCTTCAACACAGCAAATTCACTACCCTTTTGTTATGTTACTGTTTTTACATTAACACCATAATCATGCTTTCTGTATTGTTAGGAATTTTCCCTGTTGTGAAGAGGTAAAATTAGCCAATTTTAGGCTTTGCAATAAAAAAAAAGTCATTATAATGGAAGTCAATGGGGCAAAAACATCCCTAAACATAACAAAAGGATAGTCAATTTGAACAATACACAAGGGTTAACACTTTTCTTCGTATTCTTTTGACATCTTTAACAGAAATCACACGTAATAATGTTCTGAAACAGGCGTCTTTCACTTACGTCTTTTTAAGGATATACTGTGCATTGTTTCTATTTATAGTTTCTTCAGAGTTTTCGATTTCTTTTCCATCTTTAGTCCAATAGCCAGTCATGTATGGAGGGTTGTTTGGTATATCGGTGAGGTTGCATAAGAGCTCAATATATTGGGGTGTCAGGATTGCAAGCTCTTCAATAATGACCTGACCTTGACCTATATGGCAAGAAACCATAAACGGCTTCATCAGCACAACAAACATCTTCATTGCAGTTATCTTTTGTCATATAAAAATGTGCCTTTTATTCATGTTGATGTCAAATGCATGCTAGTCTTGTTAAAGTACGACACCTTTGGGTGCAGCTTTCCGAGTTGTAACTACAGGATCAGACTCTGGAGAAGTTGTAGTATCTAAAAAAACAAAAACATTTTAAAATGTCATGACACAACTTCCATTCTACTAAATCAGGGGTTCTCAAACTTTTCAACCAGAGACCCCCAAAATAACAATGCCAATGACTGGCGACCCCCACTATTTTCGAAAGTGGTCACACAAACCAATAGGCCTATAAACACAAGCATATTGACAACACAAAAAGTGCAACAGTCTAAGAACTATATATATATATTTATATTTATTATTTAATATTAACCTTACCTAATGAGACTGGTGGGCACAATATTTATTTAAGTTACATCGCAAGTCTTTTCTGGGTTTAATTTTGGAGACTAATTCAGTCGTGTCTGTATTTATTTTAAATGTACATAAGTTGCGTAAAGGTGTCAGAAAGTTTATCTAGTGCCGTAAAATCAATCTGCTGCAAGTGACGCTATTGCTCTGTCGTTAATCTAATGTAAAAATCCCAGGGGTTGCAATCCAATGGGGAAAAAATGAAAGGCTGATGGCTTTTTGTTTGGATGTTGCATTTTTATGTAACTATATTTATCTTCTGTAAGTTATAGATAAACAATGGTAATTTAAAACGTTTATTCAAATCTATTAGATTTTTGGAAATAACCAAGTGACCCCCTCTCATTAATAAATAAACTAAATAAAAGGGTGAGAAATTTAATTGGGTCAAAAAATTACTACACAATTTAAGATAAAGTCACTAAAATGCCCCTGCACAATTAAACTTGACTTAAACACTATTGATTATAAGATTGAAAACGTCCAATTAGACACAACTGTGTTCAATTTATAAAAAAGTATACCAAAAGTATCACAATTTGTTTAAAAAAAATGTATTTCACATCATGGCATGCTAACATTTTATGAGTACATATTTATACTTTAAGATTTTACATTTACTAACAGCTTGCTCTTTTATAATATGGGACACGTAGTTATTACTTATTTTATTTCTACACTAGCATTCGTTAAAGCACCACGAGTCAACATGAACCAAAATAAATGATTTTGTTTTCATTTACTAATGTTTAAAAATACAAATAAATGCTGTAATATTGTGTTTATTGTTAGTAAATACATTAACTCACAATAACTTTATGCCCAATATTGTAAAGTTAACAACAAACAAAAAAAAGTTAAATTAAAACAATTATCAAGGTAAACAAAAACAATTCCAATGCAAATATACACTCACCGGCCACTTTATTAGGTACACCTTACTAGTACTGGGTTGGACCCACTTTTGCCTTCAGAACTGCCTTAATCCTTCGTGGCGTAGATTCAACAAGGTACTGGAAATATTCCTGAGATTTTGGTCCATATTGACATGATAGCATCACGCAGTTGCCGCAGATTTGTCAGCTGCACATCCATGATGTGAATCTCCGGTTCCACCACATCCCAAGGGTACTCTAATGGATTGTGCTCTGGTGACTGTGGAGGCCATTTGAGTACAGTGAAGTCATTGTCATGGTCAAGAAACCCGTCTGAGATGATTTGAGCTTCATGACATGGTGCATTATCCTGCTGGAAGTAGCCATCAGAAGATGGGTGCACTGTAGTCTTAAAGGGATGGACATGATCAGCAACAATACTCAGGTAGGCTGTGGTGTTGACTCGATGCTCAGTTGGTACAAATAGGCCAAAAGTGTGCCAAGAAAATATCCCCCACACCATTACACCACCACCACCAGCCTGAACCGTTGATACAAGGCAGGATGGATTCATGCTGTTGATGCCAAATTCTGACCCTACCATCCGAATGTGGCAGCAGAAATCGAGACTCATCAGACCAGGCAACATTTCTCCAATCTTCTATCGTCCAATTTTGGTTGTTTCCTGTTCTTAGCTGACAGGAGTGGCACCCGGTGTGGTCTTCTGCTGCTGTAGCCCATCTGCCTCAAGGTTGGACGTGTTGTGTGTTCAGAGATGCTCTTCTGCAGACCTCTGTTGCAACAAGTGATTGAGTTATTGTAGCTTTTTTTATGAGCTGGGACCAGTCTGGCCATTCTCCTCTGACCTCTGGCATCAACAAGGCATTTGCGCCCACAGAACTGGCACTCACTGTATATTTCCTCTTTTTCAGACCATTCTCTGTAAACCCTAGAGATGGTTGTGCTTGAAAATCCCAGTAGATTGGCACCATGGCACGTTCCAAGTCACTTAAATCAACTTTCTTCCCCATTCTGATGCTTGGTTTGAACTGCAGCAGATCATCTTGACCATGTCTACATGCATAAATGCATTGAGTTGCTGGCATGTGATTGGCTGATTAAAAATTTGCGTTAACAAGCAGTTGGACAAATGTACCTAATAATGTGGCCGGTGAGTGTACATCCATAATGGAAACTTTCTGACTCGGCAGCTATCTTAGTCAAGGTTAAATAAAATTTTCATAACAACCAAGCGGCACCATATTGTAAAATAATGAAAAACATTCAGGAACTGAACAATTACTTCAGTAACAGAGAAAAAAAACAACAACAGGCAAGAGGACTTGCATGCGATTAACTGATAACAAGGTCATAGTATAATGTCATGTAATATCATGCAGGCAGCACACTGAAAAGTGTTTTTGTTGCTTTTATTATTTAGCACACATTCATTATTTGAAAGGCAGCTGTACTTTTTTTATATTATTGCAATCCGTAACATAATCCATCATAAAATGTCATGCATGTAGCACACTAAAAAGTGAAGATGCGTTTACCTGCGTGGATCCCCTGACAGAAGAGCAGCAGCAGGACAGTTTTAGCCATGTATTTCGCCATGTCTGCCTGCAGTGTTGTACTGGAGGACTGAGGTGAAGCAGGTCCACAGGGACAGCCTCTCCTCACTGCAGCCATGGTGACTTAGCAGGACTGGTGTTCGCTTTCAGCTCCTCCTGCTTTAAATTAATCATGAGCGTCAGAGGAGAAACAGCCCTGCCTGATCAGATGACTGGAGGCCTGCAGACGCTGTTTAGATGTGATAACTCAAGGCAACCCACTGCAGGATAATAGAGTAAAACAAGTACAGTAACTAAAGCAACACTCTATTTTATGGTGAAATAGTCAAATTTTCCCCCAACAGTTGAGATTTTAGCATTTTTAAAAATATATTAATCTCTGGGTCTGTTGGAAGCACTTTTAGCTTAGCTTAGCATAGATCATTGAATCGGATTAGACCGTTAGCATCTCACAAAAAAAAAAAAACTACAACAAAAAAAACAAAAGAGTTTTGATAATTTTCCTATTTAAAGCTGGACGCTTCTACAAAGACATGGATATGGATAGGAAATATACTATGTATAGAGACAACTTAATAATAATAATAATAATGCTAATAGTAATAATATAAAATCTATTAATATTACAGTTATAAAGTAATATTAATTATTTTATAATAAAACAACTTAATAATATTTTTATAAAATAGTATTATAAAATTAATAATAGTTTATGAATTAATAAAATTATTAATTAATGTTAATATTATATACAATTAATAATAAAAATGTATATTAATAGGAATATGCAATTAATAAATATTGCAGTTATAAAGTAATATTAATTATTTTATAATAAAACAACTTAATAATATTTTTATAAAATATTATTATAAAATTAATAATAATTTATGAATTAATAAAATTATGAATTAATGTTAATATTATATACAGTTAATATTAAAAATTTATATTAATAGGAATATGCAATTAATAAATATTGCATTTATTAAGTAATATTAATTCATTACATAATAAAAATATTTGTACTTAATAAAACTATTTTTAACTAAAGTATTAAGTTTTTAATGTATGACTGTAGAGATAACTTAATAAAAAATATGAATAATAATAATTATTATATACAATGCAATACAGTATTATGGTTATTGTTGTCATTATTATTTACCAATCATTAATTGTTTCAAAGACAACTGCAATTTATAATATTACTGCAATCCATAACAGATATATACACATTTTTCCTAACAATTGCTTAAATAAATTTTCACATTTTCTGAGCAAGGTGAAAGTGCTTTTTTTTTGAGTGGAAATAGATAAAAACAACAACAATAATAATAATTGTTCTGCCCTCACTCCGGCATCTCTCTTCCCAAAGTTAGACAGACAGATCAACTCTTTCCAATACGTGAGATTGTGGGAGAATGCTGCTTCATTCCATGCCACATTGAGTATGTTGAAACCGAGTGAAACTATGTAAAAAGATGTACATAAAACCTGCTAGTTATCTATGTACACAAAAATAATATCTGAGATAGAATATAAATACAAACAGATAAACTTACAGACAATGCTTCTACAGATGATCACAGGATGAGTGGATTGTAAGTGTCTTCTTGTAAGGTGTTCTTTTTTTAAATGAGGCAATTAACTGATTCTAACTGTTAGAATGTTTCTATAGCAACAACAATTTATTAGAAGCTAAATGACTAGGCATTAACTTATGGATTCTGAATACTACCAATCAAAGAGCTTAGAATGACCAAGAGGGGACACTCTTGTGCAGGGGTTCTCAAAGTGGGGGTCGGGACCCCTCGAGGGGTCGCGGGACAATGAAGGAGGGTCGCCTGGTGATTTAAAAAAATCTATCTATTATTATTGAATCATATAAGAATGATTATATTTTATCCATAACCTACTTAAGAGAAAAATATAGTCGTTTATAATTACTATATAGTTACTATAGTAGCTTATGGTTACTAGTTCTATTGGATTGCGACCCCAGTGGTAATTACATTATATTAAAGACACAGCAATAGCGTCAGATGCAGCAGATTGATTTTATAACACCAGGTTAAAGTTTCTGGCCCATTTACAGCACTGACATTAAACGAAGAATATCCCTGGGTGTTTTGGTGTGTGTGTGACATTGCATCCCTGCTGAAAAATCCAGCGTAAACCAGTGTAGGCTGGTTGGCTGGTTTTAGCTGGTTGACCAAGCTGGTTTTAGAGGGGTTTTGGCCATTTCCAGGCTGATTTCCAGCCATTTCTAGCCTGGTCTTAGCTGGTAAGGCTGGAAAATGACCAGCTAAATCCAGCTAAAACCAGCTTGACCAGCCTGGTTTAAGCTGGACATAGCTGGTTTTGGCTGGACTCTCAGCTTGGCTAGGCTGGTCGAGCTGGTTTTAGCTGGTCATCTCCCAGCCTGACCAGCTAAGACTAGCCTGTAAATGGCCAAAACCCTTCTAAAACCAGGCTGGTCGACCAGCTAAAACCAGCCAACCAGCCTAGGCTGGTTTAAGCTGGATTTTTCTGTAGGGATGCAAGGTTTCTGTATTCATAACCAGGATATTGGGGGTCGCGAGTCACTGGCATCGTCATATTAGGGGTCGCAGGCTGGAAAGTTTGGGAACCTCTGCTCTAGTGTAATTTGGGAAACAACCACTAGAGGGCGCGACGGCCATTTTGGAATAAAAACTCCAACAGCATGTTATAAGTCTGTAAAATAAACTATTAAAAGTGCTGATGATTATGATAACAAATGTTGTATTGTCATCTTTCAGGTTGTATCTCAGCTTTAATGTGCTTTTTAAATAAATTAATAAAAAACAACGCAGCTGCTTGCCATCGCGACAGTAATGAGATCCAATGGACGGCCGATCACTTTCACTCCAAAATGGCGGAATCCCGGGCTGTTGCTGGGCGCTGCTGTTGCAATCGAACGTTCTATTGAGTGTCACATAATAGATAACAATAATACATAATAATAATAATAATACAATTGATGCATTACAGTTGTTTTATGGTTATTGTTGTCATTATATGTGGTTTTTGAGTGGAAATATTTAAATCCGCAATTATACGAATATTTTTAATTTTTATTTATTTAACAATAATTAACAATTGCAGATTCATATCATTACTATCGTTAATAGTTGAACAATGTTTTCATCCTGCACTGCAATGGGGAAGGCCCAACGGTGTACCTGATTAATACATCTATTTTCTGCCGGTGGCCACAGAGCTGCGTTTGGCCGAACGCTGTTCCTCTTTTTTTGGCCCAGGTCACTGTCAGGATGTTCTTGGTGATGCAACCTGTCCTCTACATGCAGAGCCGTCGCTCAGAAAAGCCTCTCAGTGGATTTACTCCCACTGACCAATCCTGAAGCCAGAATAAGGCTTGATTCAGGGAGAAAAAAAAGAGAGTAGCGTGTCTTTCTCTAGCAAAGATCACGGCTTCACATTCATTGTGATCAGCCGGCTGAAGAAACGGGAACAGCTAATCAAAAATGTCTCATGATGGGATGTCCAGAGAGGAGTATGAGGAGTACCAGAAGCAGATGGTGGAGGAAAAGTAAGTGTACGGCTCTTGTCAAAACACACTTTTTTCCCATAATGCTTTAAACAGCAATAGCAGGCAACAAACACATGTAAAGTGGTCATGATCAGCATTTTTAGGCTTTTATTGTTCGGTTCTCAGAGTTACTCTTACTATATAATATTTGAAAGATTTTGTACATCAAAAATATCATAGTTGTTTTGCTATTTGAATTAGTTTTGTGGCAGATTTACTTTTAAGTTTTGCATATGTAAAGTTTTCTATATTTAAAGTCGACACGAAATCAAAATATACTCTTCTTATTTTATAAATGTGTATCAGTGTTTGTTATAAATGGTGTATCTGTGCACTTCATTATTTTGTAAAAACTAATATGCCCTCATAATCTTTAACCAAATACCACAACCTTCCCTCCCCCCTTTAATTGACTTTGCTTTACTTCTGTTGGCGGGACAATCAATCCTTTGGGGCGTGGCTATCAGTCCTTTGAGGCGGGGCTATCAGGGTAGAACTATCAGTCATTTAGAGCGGGACTAGAAGTCATTTAGGGTAAGGCTATTAGTCCTTTACGGCAGGGCTAGCAATCCATTAGGATGAGACTATCAGTCTTTTAGGGCAGTGGTTCTCAAAGTGGGGGTCGGGACCCCCCGAGGGGTCGTGGGGCAATGAAGGGGGCGGTCACCTGGTGATTTCCAAAAACCTATTTATTTTTATTAAACCATAAGAATTAACATATTTTATCCATAACTATACTGAAAATAAAAATAGTCGTTTATAGTTACTATATACTATATAGTTACTATAGTAGCTTATAGTTACTAGTTCTATTGGATTGTGACCCCTGGGGTAATTACATTATATTAAAGGCAGCAATAGCGTCAGATGCATTTTGATTTTTTTTTGCATTTTGATGGCACATTTAAAGCACTGACACATTTATTGGTGTGTCTGCGTCATTGCATGCAAGGTTTCTGTATTTATTTAACCACCTCAGAGGATATTGGGGGTCGCGAGTCACTGGCATTGTTATTTTGGGGGTCGCGGGCTGAAAAGTTTGGGAACCCCTGATTTAGGGCATGACTATTATAAGGCATGACATGACTGTAACCCCCATTTATTACGGCGTGGCTATGTCTTTTAAGCTGCGGTCACACTGCATTTTTCCCCCATAGACTTCCATTCATACTCAAGTGAATGCGTCAGACCGGAAACGCAAGGTCGTGCAGCAAGTTTCACACTTCGATGTGTTGGAAGCTTGGTAAACTCTGACCTTCAAAATCGCTTCACTTGACTGCGTGAAATCAGTCAAAGATCAAAACATGACCACTCTGGACAGAAATTTAAAACATGGTCCAATCGCTCGCTTTTTAAATGTCTAATCATTTTGTTTAATCCTGCCCCTTTTCGCGCCGTACGACAGAATTTTGCATGCTCAAACTCTGGTGTGACCGCAGCTTTAAGGTGGGACTACCATCCATCAGGGCGTGTCTATCAGTCCTTTATGGCATGGCTATCAGTCTTTTAAGGGGGGGGCTATCAATAAATTAGGGCGGAGCTATCGGTATATTTGGGGCGTGGTTATTAGTTCTTTAAAGTGGGACTACCATCTATTAGGGCGTGTCTATCAGTTGTTTAGGGCATGGCTATCAGTCCTTTAAGGCAGGGCTACCATCCAGAAGGGCGTGTCTATCAGTCATTTAGGGCATGGCTATCAGTCTTTTAAGGGGGGACTATCAATCAGTTAGGGCGGAGCTATCAGTATATTTGGGGCGTGGTTATCAGTTCTTTAAGGCATGACTACCATCTATTAGGGTGTGTCTATCAGTCATTTAGGGCGTGGCTATCAGTCCTTTAAGGTAGGACTATCATCCATTGGGGCGTCTATCAATAATTTAGGGCGTGTTTATCAGTCCTTTAAGGCGGAGCTATTAATTAATTTAGGCGGAGCTATCAGTCATTTAGGGCGGGGATGTCAGTCATTTAGAGAGATGCTATCAGTCCTTAAGGTGGGTCTATTAATCAATTAGGGCGGAGCTATCAGTCATTAAGGGCAGGGTATCAGTCATTTAGTGCAAGCTATCAGTCATTTAGGGCGAGGCTATCAAAACATTAGGGCAGAGCTATCAGTCATTTAGGGCGAGGCTATCAGTCTTTTAAGGTGGGTCTATTAATCAATTAGGGCGGAGCTATCAGTCATTAAGGGCAGGGTATCAGTCATTTAGTGCAAGCTATCATTTAGGGCGAGGCTATTAATACATTAGGGCAGAGCTATCAGTCATTTAGGGCGAGGCTATCAGTCTTTTAAGGCGGGGCTATCAATCTATTAGGGCAGAGCTATCAGTCATTTAGAGCAAGGCTATCTGTCCATTACGGCGGAGTTATCTGTCATTTAGGGCGAGGCTATCAGTCCATTAGGGCAGAACAATAAGTAATTTAGGGGAGGCTATCAGTCCTTTAAGGCGGGACTATCAATACATTAGGGTGTGGCTATCAGTCCGTTAAGACAGGACTTTCAATCCATAAGGGCAGGGTTATCAGTCATTTAGGGTATGCTTTCAGTCATATAGGGTGAGGCTATCAGTCTATTAAGGCGAGACTATCATCTATTAGGGCGTGGCAATCAGTCCTTTAGGGTGGGACTATCCTGCATTAAGGTGGAACTATCAGTCATTTAGGGCGTGGCTATAAGTTATTTAGGGCCATGCTATCAGTCCTTTAAGGCGGTACTATCAATACATTAGGGTGTGGCTATCAGTCCTTTAAAACAGGACTTTCAACCCATAAGGGCAGGGTTATCAGTCATATAGGGCGTGGCTATCAGTAATTTAAGGCGGGACTATCAACCCATTAGGGCGGGGCTATCAGTCATTTAGGGAGGGTCTTCCTTCATTTTGTTAACAACGGGCTGGTCCTGTCTTGTTTTTCTTTTTAAAAGTACATCATTTACATACTGAACAAAGAAGTACATACTGAACAAAAAAAGTCTCAGCAACATACGGTTCACCCAGACCCAACCTACCCCTTTAAATAATTCAACTTCTATTGGAATGAAGTGAAAATGCTCACTCCACCGGTAATACTGGCAGTGGAAAGACAATCTAATCAGTACACCGAATCATACTTTACTGTTCAGTGAAAACGAGGCATAAAAGGCATTGACCTTCTTTTGTAGAGGCAGAGTTCAGACATATTATTACGTAATAAAGTACCACATTCCACAACCTGTCGTTTTGGCAGACTGACTTCAGTATAAGCTGCTCATGACCTTTTTTATATAAAAAAAGACATCATGTTTCTGTATTGCAGAATGGAGAGAGACGCCGAGTTTGCTACAAAGAAGGCCGAAAGGGCTTGTCTGAGGACTTGCTTAAGAGAAAAATATCGGATCCCGAAGGTGAGGCGGATGAAGAAATCCCTCAAAGAGTTTGTCCCTGACTGACTGTGCACAAGAATAGCATCATTAAACTGTCTGACCACGGCAAACCGTGCCAGGAGATTAAGTCATAAAATAGTAGACTAAAATAGTGCTGTCCGTAGCTTAACCACCCACGGTGATAAGCTTTACCAGCACAGCGAGGGGTTCAAATAAGAATTCACGCAGAATAAATGATTTTATATGACATATATATATATATGCATGCATTAACGCGTTAATTTTGACAGCGCTAATATATGTATATATATATATATATATTATGTATATATATATGTATATATATATGTATGTATATATATATATATACATATACATATATATACATACAGTTATTTTCCACCTCGCAAAGCGCAGAGGAAAGAGAAATAAATACAATAGAATAAAAATATAAAACAAACTGATTCAAGCATTTTCACCCTAAGAAAAACACTTTAGCTACAAAAATCTTTCAGTAAAGAGCAGCGAGGAATTTTCTCGTCGTTTGATTAATGATAAAACAGGCGGCAGCATTTCGCACTGTCACTTTAATGGTTTCTCTTTCACGTGTCTTTTGATTCTCAACTAGTTTGTTTATTACGCAAATGAGGGTTAATATGAATAATCACTAATCACCGCGTTTTGACACCTACTTGACCATTAAAGCGCTCATGTTAAGATTACTTTAGATGTCTGCGCTCCTCTGCTCGTCTCAGTGTGCGAATGAGACCGAATGCTGACCGCGTGCTTATGCGTGTGCGTGTGTTGCACACACACATAAGCACGCGGTCTTTCGCGCTTTTGGTATATGATGCAATAATCGTTTATCTCATGTTATGGTTTTTCATAATCGTTAGAAGCCATAATCGAAATCGGATTTTCGATTAATTGCACAGCCCTAATATATATATATATATATATATATATATATATATATATATATATATATATATATGTGTGTGTGTGTGTGTGTGTGTGTGTGTGTGTATCTAAAAGCAGCTTGTTTGTTTCTCCCAGAGTGAGCAAGATGAGATTATGCTCCAGCAGGCAGGAGATGATATTGATGTGCCAGAAGAGCTGGTGAAGATGGTGGACGGAGAGGCGCCGCAGGAAGAGGAGAATCCCTCCATCATGGCCCAGATGCAGAACCTGCAGAACATGGACGTGGGCCAGCTGAAAGAAAAGGCCCAGGCCACGCTGGTGGAGATGAAGTCCAAGGCTGAGGAGAAATGCACCGTCATGTGACTCGCAGAACAGCTCAGAGTATTCATGTACTCTATGTGAGCAGCTTCAAGGGTTAATTTGCACAAAAATGTCAGTTCTGTTATTAATTACTCACCCTAATGTCATTCCAATCCCTCGAGACCTTCGTTCATCTTCAGAACGCAAATGCAAATGTTTTAGATGAAATCCTGGAGCTCTCTCATCCTCCATAGTCAAAAAGCATATAGAGACGTTCAAAGTTTGGACAAATACACAAAAACGTTGGAAATAAAGACAAAACAAGCAACTGCCATATTGGGTCAAATATGGATAAACTACAGCTGCATCCGAAATCACCTACTACTCAGTAGCTACTGCATTTGCATTTATTTGTCGTTAGAAAAGTACATTCTATACCAGGGGTTTCAAAGTCAATTGCAGAGTTTAGTTCCAGCCCTGCTTCAACACACCTATCTGTAGGTATCAAACAAGCCTATAAAGCACTCAATTAGTTTGATTAGGTGTGTTTAATCAAGGCTGAAACTAAACTGTGGAGAGCTGCGGCTCTCCAGGAACTGGCTTTGACACCTATGTTCTGTACAGTATGAATGATCATGTGACCTACCCGCATCACTTCACGTCACTTCACTCCCATACGCTTATTTCACGCGGGCGCCATTTTAAAGAACCAAAGCGAGGCTGCGGTGGGAAGAAACCCGGAAGTATAGGACCAGCACTGTAAACATTGCAGTAACATGCCGTGTACTATAAACCTCCAGCTGTTGCCGAGATTTTACAATGCAGAAATGATGTAACCATCACTTAAATATCATTCATTAAGTTTATTTTAAACAAGTAAAAGCAGTTTAGCATCAAACAACATCACAATCTCAGTGATGCGCTTAAGTGTCCTCCTGGGCTTCAGTTCATGGCACCAGTTAAACACCGTGAGGACGCTTTCCTGCTTCAGCCTATGTAACCCGGTGAGTGATAAAACACTGGAGTCCTCTACAGCACATCCTCGTGTTGTCTGTAATAGTGTTTTCCCGGTACTGAAGTTTTAAACCCGGCTATTTCCCGCTAACATGGAAGCGCTGCTGAGCGCGGATGACTGATCTTCACGGCTTCGCGCTTCAGTCTCCGTGTATCTGTGTTTGGTTTGCACTCAGCTTACCGCTCTTCACCCAGTGCAAACACACTGATACACGGAGACTGAAGCAGCCATCAAGATCAGTCGAGTCATCAAGCAGATCGCTCCTCTGTCTGTGTTGTGTGTGTGCTCGGTGAACAGCGGTGAACTCATGACCTTCTCGGCCAATCACAATAATTTTTGTTGAACACGTGAACCACAATAGCAAATCAGCGCTGTTTTAAGAAAGCCATCAACAGTGTCTTAATGTTCGTGGGATATTTATGTTTTTTTCTTTTAATTCAGTATCCTGACAAGTCTTTTATAATGAAAGAATCAGTTTATTAACTCGAGTTTGATAAATAGCATCTTAAACGTGTGTCTGGGAAAGAAAACATTAGCTAACTAATGCCATTTCCCTTAACTTAGCTGAGAACGAGCTCTGATATCCCTTATTATATTCACCATTCATTCAGAACGGACCTCCGGGTCACCCGGAAGGTGGAGAAATGATAAAATTGTGTCACTTTCTCTTCGCTGATAAGCTATATAGCCAGTAACACAACATTCCTATTTAACTCACAATGATACTTCCAGGTTTCTTACCACCGCAGCCTCGATTTCGCTTTTGAAAATGGCGGCCGCGTGAAATCAGTCTATAGATGAATTCTCTCACGATGCATCATGGGAAAGCGTAGCGTCCATCGGATGCGCACTTTAGAATCTTGCCGGAAGTAGTAGGTCATCCGAGCACTTCTCGCATACTGTTTTTTGAATTCTACAAATTCGGACATACTACTCGTCTCGCATACTGTTTTCAGCGTACTATGTAGTGGGGTTGTCACGATACTGATATTCGATACCAGTTGATACTGAAATTTTTAAAACGTTCATTTCCTGCTAACATTCGAGCGCTGTTGAGCACGTTGTTAAACAGCGATGAGTTGCCATTTTGTGTACGCGCTCAACAGACTTTCATAAAACGCTTTCAGTCATGTACTGCACATGCGCACAGACAGAAGATGCTTTTACCTGCGTCATATATGTCTGTCGTGTATTTACTTTGTCTCTTTGAAACATCGTGGCAAAACGACAATTGTCATCTGCTTCCACTGCTAAACAACAGCTCCTAGTAAACATGCCATGTGCTTTAAAGAGAGATAATATAGAGCCATACCTGTCAACCCTCTCGTTTTTCCTGGGATTCTCCTGTATTTTACAGTTCTATCCCGCTATCATCCCATATTTCCAGTGTTTCTCTGAAGGGTGGCAAAAAACATTAAAGAGGCGAGCCTTCCTGTATGCAGCCCATACCACCGAACCACCAGGGGCCGCCCCTCGCTCTTAAATGTGAGTCTGTTCTGTGCTTTCGCTTTGTTTAGGCACGAAAACACTTTGAAATAAATATAAAAATGGTGCAATTCGTCACCCCTCCTATGCAATCCTCAAAACAGTACATGGTACATGCCTGTCAACTGAAGTGCTTCATAGTGATAAATAGGCGGTGTTTCCCAAACAGATTCTGTGCACACGATTAGAAGCGGAGCGAAAGTCTGGCTTTTGGGTGCGTGTTTAAACAGACATGTACACATAATTAATAATAATAGCATCTAAAGATTTCAATCTTGGTGTGTTTTTTTTCAAACACAACTAATTTAGTCCAGAAAAAACAAACAAAAAGCGCTCTGGGGTAAGCTCAAATGTATGGTCGGTAGGGATGTAACGGTATCAGAATTTCACGGTACGGTAATACCTCGGTATGAATGTCACGGTACGGCATTTATTGAATCATTTACAGGAAAAAACAAAACTTATGAAAATACTCCAAAAAAGTGCCAAAAGTGTCAATGACATACAAATTAGCCATCTATCTGTAAGCTTTGAAACAGGAACTTCAATTTTAATAACAAAAAAATATTAAACCATGTAAAAAAATTAAGTTTCAATTTAGTATTGTTGAAAACTCATCACATTCAACATTTAATCACTCACTCACTTAGATAGAGATGGGTTTAAAGGAAAATTATCATATAAATATAATCTGGTAAAAGCTGGTATCTCTGAGTATTTACAATGTCCCCTGCAACAGAAAAAAACCTCTCATTTGGGACTGAGGTTTCTGGGACAAGAGAGATATGACTTGGCCCAGGTTGACAGCAGTGGGTAACGCTGTGCATTGTCTTTCCCCCACTTGAGAGGACAAACCATGAGTAAGATAGAGATCTCATGTCTGCATCAATCTGAACAGTGTGCTGTGTTTCTGCAGTCCCCATGACTGATTATTAGTCGTATTCCCCAACTTGCAGGCACGTGCACACATAGGGCTCAACCTGTGCAGTGCACATGCCCTTTTTAGTCTTGGATAGAAAGTTCCCTTCCAAAATGATCAAAAGTGCCCCCGCGACGCGACATACCCTCCGTCCCGCTTTACAGTACGCGCTACACAACACAGCTGATCAGAACGCGCGCGACAACACAGCTGATCAGAACGCGCGCGACAACACAGCTGATAAGAACTCGCGCGACAACACAGCTGATCAGAACGTGCGCGACAACACAGCTGATCAGAACGCGCGTGACAACACAGCTGATCAGAACGCGCGCGACAACACAGCTGATCAGAACGCGCGCGACAACACAGCTGATCAGAACGAGCGCGACAACACAGCTGATCAGAACGCGCGCGACAACACAGCTGATCAGAACGAGCGCGACAACACAGCTGATAAGAACTCGCGCGACAACACCGCTATTCAGTACGCGTGCGACAACACAGCTGATCAGAACGCGCGCGACAACACAGCTGATAAGAACTCGCGCGACCACACAGCTGATCAGAACGTGCGCAACAACACAGCTGATCAGAACGCGCGCGACAACACAGCTGATCAGAACGCGCGCGACAACACAGCTGATAAGAACTCGCGCGACAACACCGCTATTCAGTACGCGCGCGACAACACCGCTATTCAGTACGCGCGCGACAACACAGCTGATAAGAACTCGCGCGACAACACCGCTATTCAGTACGCGCGCGACAACACAGCTGATCAGAACGCGCGCGACAACACAGCTGATAAGAACTCGCGCGACCACACAGCTGATCAGAACGTGCGCAACAACACAGCTGATCAGAACGCGCGCGACAACACAGCTGATCAGAACGCGCGCGACAACACAGCTGATAAGAACTCGCGCGACAACACCGCTATTCAGTACGCGCGCGACAACACCGCTATTCAGTACGTGCGCGACAACACCGCTATTCAGTACGAAAAAATTTTTAATAAATGAAAGATTCATTTGTTGCTCTTTAATCAGAATGTGTAAGTTATACAGTGAGAAACGGCTAATGATATTTGATAGCTTGATTCTGTATCTTTATAATAGCTATTACTTTTAATAAGCTGTTTGCTAATGTATTTGCGGCTAATGTATATATTTATTTTTTCTTTTGTAAATAACAACAACAAAACATATAGCTGACCATTTAACTGTTTATTTATAATGAAACAGCTCCAATTGAGCATATTTAGTCATTTGGAGATTTATTAAAAAAATAAAATAAAAAAAAGAGGGGGGGGGGGGTGTAATCCCTTATTATGGTGGGCATATCCCTTATTTTCACATTGCAATGTTGACAGGTATGTATGGAGCATGTAAAAACTGACATTAATCTTTAATAAAGGTGTCAAAATGGACAGCATTCAAATCTTCTGCTTTACAATGTCATCCCTGTTAGCAGAATTGGTCACCTGTCTGCATCGCATGACTAAAATGCGTCATCATTTTTGAAAACCTCAGTTTTCACAGTTCACACGGCAACATCAAAACGTGTCCACTTTTGACAGCGTTTTCAAAAAGATATACCATCGTTTCCTAATATCCGAGTTGAAACAACCCAGCATTCATTTTTTAGCTTTTATTTTTATTTTTTTTATTTTTTTTTTTCAGCTGGAATTTTATGGTGTTTGTTTTTTATTTGGTTCCTCTGTTTTTGGGTCTTTTATTGTTTTGAATTGTCACTTTCTAATGGAAATGACTATGCAAGATTAATCACCAATCATGTATGTAAATGCTAAAAGATTATCATGACATGATTTATGCACTTTTTGTTTTAAAATAAAGTTAATTTTTTTCTAAAACTGAATTTTCAATTTTATGCACTGTGGACAGCGGTTTCAAAAATACTTTCATATTTAGTTATTTTTATAAATAGTTTTTGTTTCCTAAAAATGCTGTCAGAGTGTTGACAGAAGGGCAAAATGGAGAGAAAAGTATGTGTTTTTAAACAAAAATGTGTTAGCGTGAACATGACCAACAAAGGGTAAATGTTGAAACAACCCAGCATTTAATGTTAGATGAGCTGAAATGAAGTCGTGTTTGTTTTTATTGGTTTTTGGTTCTTTTATTGTTTTGATTTGTAACTTTGTAATGGAAGATTACTATGTAAGACTAATGACCAATCCTGTATGTGAATGCTGAAACACCATCATGACATATGATTCATGCGCTTTTTATTTCAAAATAAAGCTTCTTTTTTTTCTAAACCTCCATTTAAAATCTACATGAGGTTATAAAGATGTGATGGCATTTTAAACACACACTATGTCCACATTACATGACTAATACAGCTGTAGAATGTTACAGTATTTACTTCATGCTAAAATATTTAGAAGGATTTACATATATCATCCTAACCTTTTACCAGCTATTGCATTGGTTTATTTGATGGTAGTGGGTCTAACAGCATTGTTTTTTAATTACAAGTGGTTACAGCCATGTCACCCTGCAGCCCAAGACCGGTTACTCACTGAAGCTAAGCAGGGCTGAGCCTGGTCAGTACTTGGATGGGAGACCACTAGGGAACACTAGGTTGCTGTTGGAAGTGGTGTTAGTGAGGCCAGCAGGGGGCGCTCAACCTGTGGTCTGTGTGAGTCCTAATGCCCCAGTAAAAGTGAAGGGGACACTAAACTGTCAGTGAGCGCCGTCTTTCGGATGAAACATAAAACCGAGGTCCTGACTCTCTGTGGTCATTAAAAATCCCATGGCACTTCTCGTAAAAGAGCAGGGGTGTAACCCCGGTGTCCTGGCCAAAGTCCCTCTATCGGCCCTTACAATCATGGCCTCCCAATCAACCGAATTGGCTCTATCACTGTCACTTCACTCCACTAATAGCTGGCGTGTGGTGAGCGCACTGGCGCCGTTGTCCTGTGGCAGCCGTTGCATCATCCAAGTGGATGCTGCACACTGGTGGTGGTGAGGAGACCCCCCCCCCTCTCATGATTGTGAAGCGCTTTGGGTGTATGGCCATACACAATAAATGCGGTATATAAATACACATTACATTACATAAAAAGTAGCCCAATTAACAAAACGCACACACACTCATACACTAGTCAATTTAGTTTACCCAATTCACCTATACTGCATGTGTTTGGACTGTGGGGCAGGAGCACCCAGAGGAAACCCACGCCAACACGGAGAGAACATGCAAACTCCACGCAGAAGCGCCAACTGACCCAGCTGGGACTCTAACCAGCGACCTTCTAGTGGTGAGGCGGAAAAAAATGTAGGGATATGAATATTAGGGATTTAAGATTATGATGGCCGTTAAACGAGTGATAACAGTCTTGTGAAAGGGGTCAATACTCACACTCACGGATGCTTATAAAGATGCAAACTATTGATGAAGTCGTTCTGCATGTCATCAATGTCATCGGTGGTCTCGATGGGAATGCTGGGTGGGTTCGTTAGCGGTGATAATGGCATGTATTGATAAGCATGATCTGTGTTCAGCTGAAAATCTCTGTATCCTGCTTGAGCTCCATGCAGATGCTCGCAGACGTTGAGGTAGGGGTTTGCGTAGGGCTGGGGGCAGCAGGGCTCTTGGCTGTGGAAGCGGCGGTCAGACCCGGGACTGTGGCTCGGGCTGGTGGATGGGCTGTGCGGCATGTGGCACGTCACCTGACAGCTGTTCTTTCTGGTGGGACGGTACAGGTCCAGTTTGGCGGTGAGGGGTTTGCCGATGTTTACATGCATGTTCCACTGGACCAGGTCGTCCAGGGAGCTGAACTGGACTTGTAGGCATACGGTGAAAGCTAGTTCCTCCTGTAAAAATGAGAAAAGACATGAGAGATGTGGTAGTTTGAACCCTTGTGCGCTGTTGGGGATGTTTTCATCCACTCTGGGGTGATTTTGAGTCTTGATTTGGCCACATTTTCCTCTGTGTTTCAGCAAATGAAATGATTTTTGGTGACAAACTTTAATTTGACACATATTTTGGGAATTTTTTTTTTTTAAACTCAACAATAAACAATGGGCAAATTGACCATGCTTTCATTATGTTCAGGGCTGTTTTGACCCCATTGGCTTCCATTATAATGACATTTTTGATTGCAAAGCCATGACACTATTTAATCATATATCCTATTTTCCCTTTTGGGAAGAGGTCAATTTTGTCAAATTTTTACTGAAATTCAGCTTTTTGGACAGTGAAAGTCAGGGAATTTGATGTTTAGTTTAGTGTGTGACCCCTGTGTTTATGAATCAGCATGTGTTGATGAAGATGAACCTTGAGTTTCTGCAGGGAGCTCAGTCTGGTGTAGAGGCAGTGCTGAGGGAGACTTCCTGACAGTAGGAAGCTTCCCGTTTCCTCCAGAGTTTCCTTATTCATCAGCTTAGGGTCCACATCGAGGTCCTTCAAATCAAAAATATTCATTGCAAAAACATGTTTTAATTAAGACATAATGGAATAATGCCAACGATACCATTAACCCAATCACGATTACACTACAGATCTCTGATTCGATGATAAAGTTTAACAAATTTAAGTGGATTGAACATGAAACAATTACGTTGTCCCGAAGAAGAACTCGAGGGTTGTGTTGTTTCAGCTCATCTTAAATAAGTAGTTCAAAGTAACGGTAAATGCCTTTTTTTTGAGAGAGAAAGAGAGAGGATTGTGTGATTTTTTTCAGGATTGATAAATGAATAGAAAGTAAAAAATAAACGTTTTGTGCAACTGTAAATGTATAATAAATAATAAATGTGTTCATTTTAAAAAAGGGTTTCTTAAAGAAATGTGGTTTTCACTTTATTGTACATGCACTTACATTGTAAAAAGTGATTAGTTCATTTAATTAACCCCTTCGGACCCTGTGTCCATTACAATAGACATCACATATCTCAGCGCATGTTGTTTTGGGTTCCTGAGAATCTCATCTAATTTAAAGCCTGCAGTCCATGAGAGTGGGCGATTTTCATCCAATCAAATGGTGGTAAGGCTCGGCAAGCTGCAATTAAAAAAAAATCCACTACACTAAAAAGCAGCATGGCATCACTTCACTCCAGACACAGACGTAAGCCACAGTTGCAATGTTTTAATTCAGATTTATTGATATGTTTGCCAATATTACATATATTGTATGTAAAAAAGACGGATTGCACTCACTAATTAAAGTTTGAAATCTTCTGTAACATTGCAAGCTTTAGATCAGGATTTTTCAATTACGTCTGTCCATTAGGAGGTACTACGGGTTCAACATCTGAAAGTAAATCTCCAGTAATGCTGATTCAATTTTTTTTTTTACATATAAAAAAAGCTATACCGATGTATTAATTCATTGCTGAAACAATTTCATATGCAGAATTTACAGATCTTGAAGTTCTTGAGCATATATCAGATGGAAATATCTCAGATGTGGACATTATGTGGAGGGATGAGGAAGAGGAAGATAAAGTTTGTTATAAACAAGATTCAACCTATACAACAAAAACCTCAAAAGTAAAGTAAAAATGTTTAATCTTTGTGATTTAAAAAATTAATTTTAGGATTATACCAGCAGTCATGTGTATGTTTTTTTCTATTTTGTATTTTAAGTTGGTATAATGTTGGTATAACAGGACAATAGTCAGCCTGGTGTGGTTATTTTTTCTCAATAAGTTAAACTTTTGGCAGTTATTAGCCTCATTTTTTTTATCCAATTATGAGATTTCAAGTCTGCATTTTAAGCACAATTTTTTTTTGCTGAATTAGCTTGTCAGATGGTTATCATAAAGACTTTTTGGTGTACCAAATATTTTCATAAGGTTTAGAATAAAGAAATGTAATAATCTTATTTTTAAATATATAAATTAATAACATCATAAAGGGCGCTGGTTCAAACCTCGGCTCAGTTGGCGTTTCTGTGTGGAGTTTGCATGGTCTCCCTGCGTTCACGTGGGTTTTCTCCGGGTGCTCCGGTTTCCCCCACAGTCCAAAGACATAGGTTACAGGTGAATTGGGTAGGCTAAATTGTCCGTAGTGTATGAGTGTGTGTGAGGATGTTTCCCAGAGATGGGTTGCAGCTGGAAGGGCATCCGCTGCGTAAAAATGTGCTGGATAAGTTGGCGGTTCATTCCGCTGTGGCGACCCTGGATTAATAAAGGGACTAAGCCGACAATAAAATGAATGAATGACTTAACATCATATATCATTTGAGAAAAAATAGGAATATGTTGACGTTTTAAATCAAAACATTTTAGCATATTGTCATTTATTAGGCAAATAACAAACTGGCCAGCACATTCAAGGCCATTTGAATACAAAATAATTAAAAGATTTAGAATAAAAGTTACTTTAAAAATGTTTTCTCTGTTTAAAAACAAAACAGAGGCAAAATAAGACTTCTATTACATCAGATTGTGTGGTTTTTTGCAAAGCTGGATGTTGACTCTTAAAAAATATATATTTGTTAGCATTGGACAAAACTAACTAGCTGAAGTAACACGGAAGCCACAGCCAACAGAGGATTCCGCTTAGTCTTAAAGCCTTTTTCAAAGAGTTATTTACACTATTTATGATAGCAGAGCAGTCAAAATACGACACATGAGCTCATTATGGGACAAATTTTGGAAATTTGTCATTGAGGGGTAGGTCTTCTGAACCATCGACCCCCCCTGGTTACGGGCCTGTATAATGTTCGGAAGTACAACTGTTCTGATCTGATGTCCACTGAAATTGACAAAAAATATATACACTTGAAGGTGTTGAATTTTTATTATTATAATTTGGTCTCATTTATAGGAGCCTCAAAAACTGGGAAAACATACTTTTACATTTTGCTGAAACTTTCGAGTAAAGCCATTGTAACTTGGAACTATAAAGCTGACTTATTCTTTTTTTATAATAATGTAAATAGTTACTTAATTTTAAGGCAATGGTTTTTTATTCATTTTTTTTTTTAGACACTATTTACGTCACAATAAAAGAAAGAGCACTTACCAAAGGAAGGTCAGTTATGTGTGCCTGACACGACTGCATCTCCTCCGGCTTCTTCACAATGCTGGTGTAGATGACCAGAACGTTGGAAAACTCAGCAGCGAAATCCATTTTTATCCGAACTCCGCACTCAAAGTCCAGAACTTTACTCTCTGGTAGTTCTGGGATAGAGCACAGACGCGGCATAAAGTTTGAGCTGTTTTACTTCATAACTATCATCAGTGTTAATAAAATATAATTTATTATAATATAAGATGAGAAAATGTTTGCTTGATTGAGGTTTTCCTAAGAAAAATTTTAATAATGATGAAATAAGATGAAAAAGATGCATCCTAACATAATATGACAAATTAAAATGCAAATTAAAAAGAGGAGCTAAATTAGAAAAAATGCATGGAAAATGTGTTATAAAAAATATGGTGTAGCTTTAAATTAACAAAATTAACGACTAATAATAATCATAATAATAAATATGTGAAAAATAAATGCATTCCAATTGTGTACAGTTTGTTCTGTTACAATTTAACACAATTTTTTTTGTCTGAACTAAATTATATTTTCATCAACAAAAGTAATATATGTGATTTAAAGGGTTAGTTCACCCCAAAATTTAATTCTGTTATTAACTAGTCACCCTAATGTTGTTCCAATCCCCTGAGACCTTCATCTTTGAAATTTGTTCGTAATATTATTAGTTCCTTTTCTGGACTTTAAACGTCTCAGGGCTGTTGCTGTCTATGGGTCAGAGAGCTCTCTGATTTCATCTAAAATACCTTCCTTTGTGTTCTGACGATTAACAAAGGTCTCAGGGGATTAGAACGGCATGAGGATTAATAAATGACGAGTATAATTTTTTAATTATTACTTATACATAACCTATTTGAACAAATTGATATGCCTTTGTGTCATTTAGATATGATCTTTAAATTATTATTTCACCCAAAAATGACAAATTTTAGCAATCGACATGATGAAGTAGTCTTGTTCAAATAGATTATGAATAACTTGTAATAAAAAATAACTAACTATAAAATAAAATAAAATGAATGCCTAAACTAAATTAGATTTTTATTTATGTGATCTTGATTCAATTAAATAAGTTGTTCAAAGGGTTATTTCACCCAAAAATGACAAATTGTTGCAATTGATACACTTGTTTAGCCTTGATGACAGTACATAATATTTTACTAGATGTTTGTCAATATATCTGTATTCAACTTAAAGTGTGTAAAGGCTTAACTAGGGTAATTAGGCAATTCATTGCATTATGATAGTTTGTTCCGTAGAAAATCGATAACAAATATTGCTTAATGGGGCTAAAAATATTAACCTCAAAATAAAAACCGAAATAAAACATATAAGACTTTCTCCAGAAGAAGAAAAATATGGAAATACTCTACAAAATTTTTTGCTCTGTTAAACATAATTTAAAAAAGTAAAAAAATAAATAAATCAATCACAGGAGGGTTAATAATATTGACTTCAACTGTACATCTCAGCTCCACAAAGCATCTCTTTAGTAAAAATATTGGTACAGTTTTATGAATCAGCTAACAATACCGTGTGCTTTGGACCAGAGTGGATTGTGTGCCTCGGTTGCATCCGAATATCCCCCGTGGCAGATGGGATCGGTGAGGGATCGTCTCTCGGACAGACTGCTGCGGATCTCCAGAGCCTGCTTACCCTTAGTGGGGTCAAACTGACCCATATCTGCAAACAATCAGTAGTTTGATTTTGGAAACACACAGCAAGCACAGGTAAGCAATATATAGACATAAACTGCTTGTTTTGTTATTTTATTTAATATTCAGAAATGACTACACACTCTAGCTGAACACTGGTATGTGTTTAACATATACTGTCTTTTCTTTTAAAAACATGTTGAGTTTGGATGAGAAGTCATTTGTGTTTTTTGGTGGGGTTTGGTACAGATTTTAAGACTCTAGAAGACGTATAATGTTCAGCCAATCAATCTGCAGCAACTCTATGATGCTTCGTGTTAATATAGACCAACTTCTCTGAGAACTGGTAAAATCTGTGCCATGTAGAAATCAAGTCCAACCCAGTACTACACTGCAAATAAACCTTTTCTTAGTTTTTGTCTTGTTTCTGAAAAAAAGACAAGCAAAAAAACTAAAATAATCTCAAAATAAATAGTCTTAAAATAATCTGTCAATAATGTTAACAAAATAATGTTTTTTTTTACTTTTAATTTTTGAATAAATTGATTATTAATATTTAGCTTTTTTTATTTAGTAAAAATATCTGCTAATGATATTTCTTACCCCATTGGCAGATTACTTTGCTTGTTTTAAAGAAAAACTGACTTAATTTTGACTTATTATTTCTGAAAACAAGACAATAATTTTGCTTTTCTTGATAGTGTCATTCTGGCATAATTTAATGAGTGGCATAAATTTGTCATAAAATAACAAAAATATCATTTATGGCAATAAATTTTGTTGCAATATACCGTATAATAAAAATAAGACCGTATCGCCCGATTCACACAGGGCTTCAGCGGCAACGCTTGACAGAGAGGATGTCTAAAGTTGGGGCTGATGTGATCGTCATAGCAGTGTAACCCCGCCGGTCCTACGCCACCCAACCCACTCCGAGCTGGTATCAAGCCGGCGACCTTCCGCAAGGGAGTCGGTTGCTCAACCTAGGAGGCTAAAGACCATGACCTCTAGAGTCTGTCACTAGAGCACCTTTAGAGGTCAGAGGAGTGAGGTTTATCTGCACAGCACTTACAAGCTGGCCTCCGTTACACTCACCAACCTAAACCTCACTCCCATCCGGGTCATGACACCAATGTAACCTCGCCGATCCTATGCCACCCAACCCGCACCGAGCTGATATTGAACCGGCGATCTTCTGCATCGGAGTCCGTTGCTCTACCAAGGAGGCTAAAGACCATAGCCTCTAGGGTCTGTTGCTAGAGCAACTTCAGAGGACAGAGGAGTGAGGTTTACCTTCCCAGCACTTACACTAGAAGCCATGGTCTTTAGCCTTTATGGTAGAGCAACCGAATCCCATGCGGAAGGTCGCCGGTTCGATACCAGCTCGGAGCGGGTTGGGTGGTGTAGGACCGGTGGGGTTAAATTGGTGCCGAAACCCGGAATGGTTACATTGGTTAACCATTGGTTAACCTCACTCCCAAGGAGGCTAAAGACCATGACCTCTAGGCTAGAGCGCCTTTAGAGGTCAGAGGAGTGAGGTTTACAGCACTTACTAGCTGGCCTCCGTTACAGCAGCATCAGCCAATGAAATTAGTCTGTAATCGACAACTGACTGAGCTGGTGTCTTTCCATAAAGAGACCCTGATCTCATCGAGTTTATCAACAAAAGGGTTCCTTTGGCCTGAAAATATCACCCAAAGACAAAGGCACAGCCGTTAAGACCCTGCCCATAGCATTTGCATCACTTGCATCACTCAGGAAGCAAAAGATTGAATGTCCCCTACAGCGGGGCTGATATGGTTTTGAATGAAATTATATAATTAAAAAACAAAGAATATAACTTTTCAGTTATATATACTGTAGATTACTGTTAATTTGAAACAAGATGATATAAATGTATATTCCCACTAGATAAGGAGTTTTTGCACTGTAAGGGAAAGTGTACTATGAGTTGTGCTCTTTTCAGATCAGTTAATCATTTGTTCGAGATTAATGGACCTGCAGTTTTCAACCAATAAAATCTGACATGCTTCATTTAACCTCAACATGCCCCGGAGTTAGCTCACCTTCAGCGACTCTGTCTAGCAGAACAGTTATCTTCTCATCCTCCAGGAGGCGCTCCTTCAGGAACTTAATGAAGACTCCATTGGTGAATCCACTTGAGCTCAATTCAAAGGCCTCTGCGTCTTGGCAGCTTCATGAAATAATAATAATAAAATACAAATCATCATACAAATTATTCTTTGCACCAAAGTCACATTGACTGCTTGTTCATTGGTCAGGCATCGGCCAATAAAACAGCTTTTTTTTAAAGTGCACAAGTGAGTTTTGCAACAGGATTATTGCAAAATGTGTAGCGAAAGTCAGAGCACGAGGATTTGAATTTGTACTGCCAAATCCAACATAGGCTCATTCTGAAGACGTAGCCCTATGTACATTTCTGGAGATCACGTATTATGTAGCCAAAAGTACGAATGGCTGCATTTCATCTTCAAAACGAATGCTACGGGTTGGTATGTCGCCGTTCCTTTCTTCACTTTTACCAGCTGACTGCCTACCTCCGTATGGACTGCTTTCCTGCTGTTACCAGTTTGACCAGTAGCTCACCATGTACGTCGGCAGACTTGACACGCAGAGAGAAATTGACAATGACAATGGGGTTCGAGTTGGTGCTTTTGAAAACACTATTGGTTGGGTTTAGGGAAGGAGGAGGGTGGGTCAGTAGATTAGTCAATCAGTCAGTCAGTCGATAGCGGCCTCTGGTGGAAATTTGAGATATTAAAAAGGGTACACAGTGGCCTCTGGGCCAAACAAAAACTGCCAAAAAAAACACCAAAAAAAACGGGGACGTATATCCTGGGACGTATTTGTAACGAGGAGGCTGACACAGAGGGATCCATTTGCAGTAACACAGTTTAATTATAAACACACAGTATGAACTGGTGAATGAACTCGCATGAATCACAGGATTATAAGGTCGATAGGCAGGCGGCAGACATTCGTATATCAGAATAGCAGGCATGGGTCAGGGGCAGGCAGCGAGATGCAAGATCGGTAAGACAGTCAGGTAATCAGGGCAGGTGAGAGGCAAGACAAGGTCGAGGACAATCCGGGTTGGCAACAGTAGATCAGGCAAGGGTAAGAAACGCTCAGTAATGTCAGCAGGGCAGAACAAGACTTCGCAATGAAGTGAGAGCGAGAGCTGCTTATAAGTGTGTGTGAGCGGGAGTAACAAGAGTCAGGTGCAGCGTAATCAGTTGGCCGAGTGGGTTATGGGGGATGTAGTGTTCAATAGTCCGTTGAGAAGGCCTCTGGTGGCCAGTGAGGGGAATGACTGGGACCGAGTCGGTGACAGTATTAAGCGCTCTCCAGAAATTTAAATAGAGGTCATTTTCAGAATGAGCCTGGGTTGGCCGAATCTGAGAGGTTTTAAGCGCCGACTTATGGTTGTACAATGAAATTACAATAAAGTGCTTGGATAAATTGCAGTGCACATTTGTGTCTGTCATTTTGTAGTTGTGAATGACATTTGCAGTATGCAGATTGACTCACATTTTACGTTTGTGGCTCTGTACATACATGTTTGTTGTATTACTCATTCATTCCTTTTCGGCTTAGTCCATTTATTAATCTAAGGTCGCCACAGCGGAATGAACCACCAAGACTAGGACACACCCACACACCCTTCCACACACTCACTCACACTACGGCCAATTTAGTTTATTCATTTCACTTAAAGCGAAACCGGAAACCGGAGCACCCGGGGGAAACCCTCGCCAACACGCGGAGAACAAGCAAACTCCACACAGATATGCCAACTGACCCAGCCGGGACTCGAACCAGCAACCTTCTTGCTGTGAGGCGATTGTGCTACCCACTGCGCCACCGTGCTGCCCTTGTTGTATTATCATGTTTTTTATTAGTAGATTTTTATTTATTTTTATTATGTAAAGCCTAACAGCGAAAGTGCATTACTTCCAACATTTTACATTCCAACATTTTTAGTGACCAAAATCCAACGTGGAGCCAACATCTTAAACCAACATCATATTGACGTCAAATACTGATATTTATTCATCAGGTTTGGCAACCAAAATAGTGGTAACGTTCACACAACTTCAAGCTGTGACATCATTAGACGTTGATATTTGGTTGGTTTTCGGTTGGACATTGACGTTGGTCTGACATTGAGTTCTGACGTCAACCCGATTTTCATTTCAATTTAGTCCACCTTTATTTGTATAGCGCTTTTACAATGTAAATAGTGTCAAAGCAGCTTTACATTGAAGATCATGGTAAATACTAAACAAAATGCAACGTCCCCACGACATTGAGGTACATGTCAATCTGACATCATGCTGATGTCTTGTGCCTGCTGGATGTTTAAGGCCATTTCGGTCCCCATACAGTAAACATGTCACCTTCTCATTAGTGACTTGCATCTAAACAGTCTCTGGGTCAATGCGTGTAAAGATTTTGGACGTCTTCTTGGTCACTTTTAAAGCTTCCAAACAGTTTGCTGCATTTATAAATCGCCCATGTCTTGAGGTAGTTCATTATGAGGCGATTTACCTTCTGTGTGATTCGATTGGACAGGAATCACAGGACTGAATTTCTAATCCCCACAGACAAGAAAAAATAAAGTAGTGACTGCAGGTTGAAGGAAAGTAGTGGAGTAAAAGGACAGATACTGCACTAAAAATGTACTCAAGTGAGAGTAAAAGTACACATTTTTAAAACTACTCAGTAAATTACAATTCCTGAGAAAAAGTAATTAATTACAGTAATTTGAGTATTTGTAATTAGTTACTTTACACCACTGAATATTGAGTTAATTTTAAGCCATCTCGCGGCCCACCTGCAGGATCATTGAGGCCCACTAGTGAGAACCGGTTGAGAATCCGATTGAGAATCCCTGCCTTAAAGGGACTTTGGCAATATGCCCTATGTACATGATTTTATGTGACCCCCTGGGTCTGTTCTTCGTACGTGGATTACTCAATTAGCTGGATTTGGATATTGACGATTTGACACGATCCAGGATCGTTTCGTTCTTCAAAGCTGATCCGAGAGTTGTTGTCATAGCAACAGTTCTGCTAGCTCAAACCTGATCAGGAGCAGGTTTAATTCATATAAACAGGATTAGATCGGCTCAGTTCAAGCAAAGATAATACAGAAAGTATGTTCTGAATTCTGATATTTTCTTACAGTAGTAGTTATGTACACTTGGGAAAATGGTACATATTTTTTAACTATATATATATAAAGTTATAGTCATTAATAAAATAAATAAAGTTATACATATTAATAAAACGAATGCAATCTGCACCCTCGAAATGAAAGTACAAAGACTGCCGCCTGCTGGTGCAAAGAGAAAACATATTGATATGAACGTTTTAGATCGCTTTAGTACAAATTGTGTATGATAGAAATGCACAATATGTGACTTTTTTTTTAAAGCAATAACACATTTATGCAGTCATAAACATGTTTTGATAGTTAATATGCCGGTGATTTGATGCTTCACAAAAGTTGCAGATGCCTTTACCAATATCAAAATGCTTTTGTAAACAACCAGTTATTCTTTACAGCGATTAAAAAACGGCTACTATAATAAAGAAAATATTTTCTAAATGTAGAACTAAATACATTGATTTGCATTTAAATACATGATGAATACTCTTGACACAAGAAAGTGTAAAGCCTGCAGCTCACTGCGTGTCATATATAACAAACGGTTTACTGCTAATTTGATGTAATTTTGCTCACATGGATAATTGAATATTAATCAGATGATGTCATTACGCTGCTGTGCCGTCAGCCAATCGCTGCATAGCTGATCATGATTTCGAGGATCGATAGATCTGTCCTTCACAACACACGCAGCGATCTCAGATCAGTTCATCCAGACATTCTAATCTGATTCGCGAACTTGTTTGAAGAACCAAATTAGCGAGAGATCAGTTATCGAGATGAAAAGATCCAGGATCTGTCAAATCATCTTAGATCATTTAAGCGAGGTACGAAGAACGGACCCCCTATGTTATGTGATTTTATCCCTTATAGATAAAAAAACAAATAATACAAATAAATCAAATTTAATAAGTACATAATAACTAAACTGCAACTTTGAGTTAAAAACACTGGTGTTAATGTGTGTGTGTGCAAATCGAGAGATTCAGCTATTTACATTAGAGCTGCGAGTGTAAATGTCAACCTACACATACAAATATTATTATCACATTTAGATTTGCAAGCTCTCGAGGTTGACTACTGATTTACCTACATAATAATAACATGTCAGTAAAGAGAAAAAAATATGTTTTTCTGGTTGATAACTCACGTAGCATATCCAAACACAATATTGGCTGTAACTTTGAGCATGACGTTTGGCATGGCGTCATCGTGCATGTTCCTGAAACAATATAATAGGTGTTAGAATCAATATAATCAATTATCATGCTAATTCATATCACAAAAAATGTTCACCTTTTCCTGCACATGTCCAGCAGGAAGACATTGAGACCGGTTTCCTTCTCCTGCATGAGTTTCAGAATGCTCTGAACACACAGACAGTTGCCTGAACGGTAGGGATTCGGGGCATCGACTGGCACCATGAAGCTGTTCCCAAAGTTCTCATAACCATGTCCAGCGTAATACAACAAACCTACGGAGATGAGTAAATGTCAAAAGGGTAAAAGTGCACCCCAAAAAAAAACATAATACTGTAGTCACAATATCTGTTGGGGTAAAGTTACTTTTAAAAGTAATAATAACAATAATACATTTTATTTAAAGCGCCTTTCAAGGAAATCAATGTCACTGTACAGCATTGTATACAATTATACAATAAAAAACAATAAACTAACAGTATAAATAAGTGTATATGATAAACACGTTAAATAAATACACAGAAAATACAAGGTGGGCCATTTATATCAGTGGCTCCCAACCCTAAGGGGGGCGCCAGAGTTCACAGGGGGGGGGGGGCGCGGGAGAGGATAAGTATTGAGGTAGAAAAAGGCATAAAAATGGTCCACTATTATAAAGGGCTTTGCAATTAATTGAAAATCCGATTTAGATTTCGGTTTCAAACGATTATAAAAAAGCATTAATCGAGATACATGATTATTGCATCATATTTCGCCACAGTTGTACACGTGTTGCTCTTAAAAGCGCGAAAGAGCTTGTGTGTGTGCAGCACGATCACGCAGTCAGAAGCATGCGGCCGGTCAGCATTCACTCTCATTCACACACTGAGACGAGCAGAGGAGCGCAGACATCTAAAGTCATTAACGTGAGCGCTTTAATGGTCAAATAGGTGTCAAAACGCGGTGTGATTATTTACATTAACCCTCATTTGTGTAATAAACAAACGAGTTGAGGATCAAAAGACGTGAAAGAGAAACCATTAAAGAGACAGTGCGCTATAATCCTTCTGCCGCCTGTTTTTATCATTATTAAACAAACATAACGAGAAAACCCTCGCTGCTCTTGACTAAAGCACTGCTGTAGCTAAAGTGTTTTTCTTACAGTGAAGATGCTTAAAGCACAGTTTGTTTCATTTTTTTATTCTATTGTATTTATTTCTCTTTCCTTTGCAGGGTGGAAAATAATGTATGTATACAGTTGAAGTCAGAATTATTAGCCCTCTTGAATATTAGCAAACCTTTTCCTGCCCAATTTCTGTTTCATGGAAAGAATATTTTATTAACTTATTTCTGAACATAATAGTTTTGATATCTCATTTCTAATTACTGATTTCTTTTTATCTTTGCTATAATGACAGCACATAATATTTTACTAGATATTTTTCAAAATACAAGCATTCAGATTAAAGTGCAGTTCAAAGGCTTAATTAGAGTAATAAGGCAAGTCATTATAACGGTAGTTTATTCTGCAGACAATCAAAAATTATATATTGCTTAAGGGGGCTAATAATATTGACCTTAAATTGGTTTCAAAATATTTAAACCTTTATATTTTATCTTTATTCTAGCTAAAATAAAACAAATAGAAGAAAAAATATTATAGGAAATACTGTTAAAATTCCTTGCTCTGTTAAACATAATTTGGGAAATATTTATAAAAAAATATTTAAAAAAAATATATATATATATACACAGTACATATGTGTGTGCGTGCGTGCGTGCGTGTGTATTTATATGGTGGGGGGGCTCCAATGTTTGTATATGTTTATGGGGGGGGCCCCAAAGAAAAAGATTGGGAACCACTGATTTATATGGATACACCTTAATAAAATGGGAATTGTTGGGCACATTAGTATATGTGAGGGGGCAAACTTTTCAACATGGGTGGTGACCATGGTGGCCATTTTGAAGTCGGCCATCTTGGATCCAACTTTTGTTTTTTTCAATAGGAAGAGGGTCACTTGACACATCAAACCTATTGGGAATTTCACAAGAAAAACAATGGTGTGCTTGGTTTTAACGTAACTTCATTCTTTCAAGAGTTATTTACAAGTTTCTGACCACTTATAAAATGTGTTCAATGTGCTGCCCATTGTGTTGGATTGTCAATGCAACCCTCTTCTCCCACACTTTACACACCGCAGGTGAAATGCCAGCACAGGCTTCCAATATCTGTAGTTTCAGGTGCTGCACATCTTGTATCTTCATATTTTTTTTATTATGCACGGTAATACCGGATACAGATGTAAAATAGGGAGGAGGTGTTGATGGTATCAAAATTTAGATACTGCCCAAGCCTAATTTGTACTGATTTATTTAGTGTACAGGAAAAGCCACAGTACCGTAAACTCCTTTATGAAGCAGGGAAAGAAACTCCTCCACAGCGTTCCTCATCTCGGACTCTGTCAGATCCAGCAGAGAGACCACTTTAAAGTTCAGCTGCCGCAGCAGATTGGTGAGATCGTACACGTCCACCATGGGCGCTTTCAGTTGTGGGTGGTTTCGGTATGCGAGGTTTCCAATCAGAAGAGCCACTTTGTCTGTAGCTGAAGAGAGAAACACACACACACGCACGCACACACACAGTTGAAGCCAAAACTATTCCTCCTGCGATTTTTTTTCTTTTTCAAATATTTCACAAATGATGTTTAACAGAGCAAGGAAATTTTCACAGTATTCTTTATAATATTATCTTCTTCTGGAGAAAGTCTTATTTGTTTTATTTCGGCTAGAATAAAATCAGTTTAAAATTTTTTTAAATCCATTTTAGGGGCAATATTATTAGCCCCCTTGAGCAATATTTATTTTCGATTGTCTATTAGCCCCCCTGTATATTTTTCCCCCAATTTCTGTTTAACGGAAAGAAAAAATGTCAACACATTTTTAAACGGCATATAAATAGTTTTAAAAACTAAATAATTTTTTTTTTATCTTTGCCATGATGACAGCACATAATATTTGACTACATATTATACATATTCTTCAAGATACTAGTATTCAGCTTAAACCAGTTAAACTTCGCAAACAAGGTACCGTCATCTAAATTCGCTTTAAGATTTCAAGGGCTGGCATTGCACCAGACCCCCTTAAGTGGTGTCGTTTGAAAGTGCAGAATCTATATTTTATGCACATATGCATCACTTTGGTTTTTATTCTACTGTACAAAATGTATTTACACTTAAATACACAGTATTTTGCATACCCGAGCTGGGTATTTTACATTGGATAATTTTCATATTTTTCATATGACACATGTACAAGTTATAGCTCAAATGAAAGCTCTTGCCAGTGCTCATACGGTTCTAGCATTCTTTTTACTGAATTATATTCACATATCAAACAGTTGCCGAATGAATCGGGATGTTTCCATGCAGCAGAAGTGAAAACAATACATTTATGATCAATAAGCAGCCCTAGATAGCACAGACAGCTGTCATCTCTTGCCTTATGCTGTGCGCTTAAGGGACATTTCTCCTCTGTTTTTGAGGTGATGTGCATAAGTAATCCTTTTATATGTCTGACGTGGTCCAAACACAGTGAATTATGTTTGATCAAACAAAAGAATAGTTAAATATGTAAATAATGATCGCTCCCTGTGGCTTGTACATCGCCTCTCCTCAGTTGGAATACGATAACTTTTGCATAGATTATGGTGGATACATTTTTCTTTTTCCTATGATTACAGGCATGTGCAGGAACCACCAAAATTAATTACAGCACACTAGACTACACAGAACCTAAAAGGTACACTTTCAAATTTGAGTTTATAAAAAAAATACAAAAAGCGCCTCTTTTTTTTAGGTGTTTATTATAACATAGACAACATATACAAATATTTTAAACACTTTCACTAGTGTTTTATGAAAATTCAAAGGGTTTTCTTTAAAATGAGACCTCTGCATGTGGATTTGGGAAGCTTTTAAATTTGGGTAGGCAAAATCCAGGCAGAAATCCCAAAATAGCAGCAGAGTTTAACTGGTTAAAGTGACATTAAAAAGGCTTAACTAGATTAATTAGGCAAGTCATTGTTAACAATGGTTTGTTCTGTATATACAGTGGGGACATTCCAGTCATTTGTAGTTCTTGTTTTTGTTCAATTATGTTAAATAATGAAATATATTTGTCTACTCACCATAAGGTTTCTCAAAACTGTTATCTGATGGGGAAAAACAGTTAATCAGGTCACTGGTTCAGTAAAAGCAAGAAACATAATGGGAACATAAAAGCTTACCCTTGTTGATGGACAAAAAATCATCTATAACAGAAAAACATATGAGGTGTTTAGATTATTCTTGAAAGCACAGTAAAAAATAATTGAAGAGGGTCTATTTTACAGGTGAGGAAGCGGAAACCATTTTAGAGACTAAATAATTTGATTTGATGCATTATAGCTAACCCCATCCTGCCTCAATTAACCCACACCAAACATTTAGTATGTTCTCACACTGCATTACAAGTTTGAAAGTCATGCAAATCTGCATTATTAAAGCCATCAGATTTATAAAAAGGTTTTTCCACCACCTCTACCAGAAGAAGAAATCAAGAGATTAAGTGAAATTTTTAAAATAGGTTTTCCATGTTCAATACAAGCTCAACTGTGACATGCTGCGAGTATCACAAAACTAATCATGGTTACAGTAATAGATTCACATTATTCAGGGTTCCCACTCCAAGCCAAATTTCATATTCCCTAATTTTTTCCTCACTTTCCCTGCCTAAAAATGAGAATTTTCATGACTTATAATCACTAAATATTCATTTTTACAAAATATACAAGATTTGTTCTGTCGATTGTTATAATTAGAAATCTTAACATGACTTTTCTTTCTTCTATTTACCCATTAAAGAGCTTTAACAGGTTTGTCAATTTTGGTCATGTACAGTCACGTATTAAATATGCAATATGCCAGGCTTATTGGAAATATGTGCCCAGGGATACATTCTTGAGAACCGAGAAATACGTAGCCTGGGATACGGTTTCTTGCAGCTTTTGTTTTCACAAATTCACTTGAGGTCGGCGTGTAAATTTTTAACAATCTCAAATACATTTCTGGGGCATGTTTTCTCATTGTGTAAATTTCTGCACACCTTCAGGCATGCATCTATTAGAGAATAATCTTGGATTGTCGTCATGCATAATATATTAGCTTGATATCGTCTGACTCACCCCATTCCCTAAACCAAACCAATAATGTTTTCAAAAGCAAACTACTGCTTGTACCGCAATCTCGCACTGCTTTTTGGGTTTCATTTTTGTTTTTGGACTTGAACCTCGGTACATTGCATGTCTGACACTGTTTGTGGTGAGCTACCGAGCAAACGAATCACACTGGAAAAGCTGTTTGAAGGTAAGCAGTCAGTGGTACCCCAATGTTTTCGTTTTACACACAAAAAGCAGACATATGTGCTGGCAAGCACACACTTCTCGGTTCTCAAAAATGTAGCCCTGGGCACATACTTACAATGAGCCTGTGTTTTAAATATGGTGTAGTAGGCTTTATATAGTTAAGAGCTAAGCACTTTTTCTCATTGTTTTTCTTGGTGTTCCCTTTATTTGAAATATAGAGATCAATGGTTCTTGAAGTCGAAAAGATAAAACGTAAATTTGAGTATATTGTTACAGCAACACAACATAAGAAATGCCAGAAATATTGACATAATTCTGAGAAATGTCAGTGCAAAAATAAGTAATTTTGAGCTCCAAGAACCAGATTTTTTTCCTGCAAAATCCAGGAGAGACTGGTTGAGCACAGAGCAGACAAAATATTGCCACACACAGTATTTTAACAGGTAAAATTGCCTGGTGACTGCATTTGATTGCCAGCTAATAATAGGGAAAAGCAGGAAAATAGCCTAACAATAACAACAGGCAAAATAAAACTAGAATAACAAATAAAAATCAGTTTTTGTATGACTTTTGACCAATAATATATCAAATTTCCTGACTTTCAAAGTGTAGAACAGAAATTTCATGATATTCTAGAAATTCCATGACTCGTGGGAACCCAGATTATTTGTAGTAATAATAATAATAATAATAATAATAATAATAATAATAATAATAATAATAATGCGGTTGACTATGATCTAAGCTTGTTTTGAACATGGAATGTCTGATTTTATATTTTGAGCTAATTTGGTGTGATAATTTAGTAGTACATGCAACAGATTCAGAGTCCACCAAAGGATTTGATTTCCAAAAGCCCACAGATATTAGAAAGGTGATGCTACTTCTTGGGTAATACCTTCAGAGCACTCCATAGCTCCAGATATTTGAGGAAATATTCGTGCCTCTTTCATTTGAGAAAGGCAAGGATTTGCTTGAGAAGGAATAAAGGGTTGGACCACAAAATGAATAAAGAAAGAAAGAACAAAAAGAGTTTAAACTTAAAAAAATATAGCAGTTTATTCCTTTTTAATGAAAACTCTTACCTCAGGTTACGAATGTGTGATATTTAATTACGATTTGTGATAACATTGTTGTAACAACCTCCAATCTCGCATCGTTATTACAGCTTAAGGGATAGTTCCAAACCAGGCTCATTCTGAAAATATACCGCTATATACATTTTTGGAGATCGCAAAATACATCTCAGGAGCTACTTTTTCTTTTTTTTGCCGTTTTTTTTGTGTGAATCCACTAGAGGCCGCTGTGTTTGCTTTTTAAGATATAAAATTTATCTCGCTAGTGCCATCCGCGCCTTCTGTTCTCACATAAATCCACCAGAGGCCGCTGTCAACTGACTGACCAATTGACTGACCTACCTTCCTCCTTTCCTAAACCCAATCAATAGTATATAAAAGCACCGATTGACCCGATCACACAGTTTTAAAAAACAATCCAAAAAAGGAAAAGCCCTCAGCAAATTTTTATCATGTTTTCAGATTTTACCACATTCTTACCCTGTTTTTTATTTGTTTATTTTATTTTTTGGCTTCTGCTTTTGACTTGCCCGCTATCTGGAACCGTTCTTCACCAGACTTGAACCCAGTCATCGTGGTCAACTTCTCTATGCGTTTCAAGTTTGCCGATGTACATGGGAAGCCACTGGACAAACTGGTAACAGCGAGAAAGCGCGAAAAGAAACGGCATCACACCGCTCTGTATCGTTTATTTTAAAGACGAAATGCAGCCATACGTACTTCTGGCTACATAATTTGCGATCTCCAGAAATGTATATAGGGCTACGTTTTCAGAACGAGCCTATGTTTTGAATATGAATTATCATTCATTAAGACAGAATTTCCACCCCCTGTTGCCAATTTCAGTATTATATTTATTCATCCATGACAGGCTTAAATCAGCCAAGGTATCTTAAAAATACACCCACAGCAAAAGATTGACTTCGAGTGTTAAGAACATCTCTAAAAATACGGCGGTACACACAGACCTATTCTGAATAGTTTATCTTAACATTAAATGCTCTCAATAATCGGGAAGTACGCCAGACTAAATTACAAGAAAGAAACAACATGCTTTTCAGAATGATCGATTGAATGAGAGTTATATAATTAGCCTTACTGGCCGTACAACTCGCTACTGTTACAATTAAAATTTGATTAGAACTAGAGAATACATAAATAAATACAAAACAAACACTTGATACATACCAATAACAACGTCAACTTCACTGCTCCATGTTCGTTCATTATTGCAGCAGATCTCGCAGCGATATCGTCCCTGATGCTCTGGCAACACATTCTTGACCTGATTTTAAATAAAATAAAAAAATAAACTATAAATATAATCAGTAACATTTTATGTATAAGTAACAAATCACACCATTTACTACTGGCTTATTACCTGATTATTATTATTCAGTATGATCTTATTTTTACATCCCTAATCCTACCCAATACCTAAACCCTATGCCCAATACCTAAAAGTCTTAGGGCGTACTCACACTAGGTAGTTGCCTTGAACCGTGCTGAGGCACATTAGTCCCCCCTCCTCTCTCCCCCGACGGCCTGCACCCACATTGCTTACCTTCCAAGCCAGAGCATGCTAACGTCATCGATGTTGCGACTGTCTAGTTTAACAGGTAGTGCTCTCCCTCAGCACAGTGGACTTTGCTTTAGTTAAATCGTTTTGTATTATTTTGAGTATTTTGGGATGCAGTGACACACAGTTAAATATATTGCTGAACAGACCCAGCACTTTTGACACTCATTAATTATCATAGAAGTCATCGTGCTGCATGTATTATGAGGTTTGCTGAAGGTGCAGCTGACGTGCAGCTAGGGGTTTGTGTCTTTAATAAGCTATGACAGATTGTGTTCATTGAACAGTAAGAATGATTGATAAATCCATATGAAACAGTCCCTTAAAAGTCATGTCACGTCTTCAGTTTTGCACTCAGGCGTGCTTTGCACTCACACTACAAGCATACTGCGCCAAAGCCTAAACGAATTGTGCCAGGGCCGGCCAACTGAACTGCGCATGGGCCCGATTCTGAGCACTCACACTTGTCAAATGAACCGGGAAACAGTTCAGATGATCTAGTGTGAGTGCACCCTCAGTTAATGGTATGTTAATAGCATACCTGTATATGAAAATAACGTGTGACCAAATAATTTTAATAATTAAGATTACTGGATACGTTTTCTTTTAGGTGTTGTTGTTTCTACAATTTTTTCCCCAGTTTAGGCTCCTTTTTAATACTATTTAAGTATTTAAGACTATCATGAATAAAATTTCATACTTACTGTATACAGGGCTAAACGGTTGGCCCAATGGAAAAGATTTTTACTTGCCTCATCAAAAAAATTCAGCAACATTTTAGCTACATATTTTAAATAATGTGTTAAAACCAGTGAACTCTTTTTTTCAACATAACATTTCTTTTAAACAATAATGACATGTTTTAAAAACTATAATAAGCTAAAAGTATGCAAAACAGTCTGCCCCGGCTAGTGTCCCAACCTGGTAGCTATAAATACATGGAACATTTACCAAATATTATTGTACGAAAGATCATTAAACCATATTGATAAATAGAGTTGATTAATAAAAATGGTAAATCTCTTTTTTTTTTTTTTTTTTTTAGATGGATTTTTTTTTAGTTGGTGATTGAATGGACGTTGGCCCGATTGGGTAACTTTACATGAACATCGAAAAATTAAGACCTGTTTACAATTATTTAAGACAATATTTCAGTAAACTAAAGACTTTTTTAAGGCCTAAAATTTTTTTTTTTGTCATTTAAGATATTTTAAGTATATATTAGTCTATATTTTAAGACCCAGCAGACACCCTGTGTGTATTATTTTGTGTATAAACTGAACATTTGAGCATATATTTATTCTCGTACAGTGAACTTCCTCTTGTTGGCTTTTTTGATTGGCGCTCCATTTCTGTACCACTGATATTGCGGCAGCAGTCTGCCAGCAGCTCCACACTCCAGATACAGTAAATCTCCAGTCAGCAGCTTTTGAGGTTGAGGCTGGATCAACACCCTCAGCCTGACCTCCGATCCCATAGACACTAGACCTAAACAAAAAACATCCATTTTCAATATAGCAACAAAGCATGATCATTTTAAGATGCGTATCGCTTACCATATCTTGTTGGGACGTCAAGGACATCTACTTGTGCCCACTGACTGAACTCATATGTGCTTCCACAGTTTACCCTACAGATGTAAAACCCTGCATCTCTGATCTGGACTGGGCTGAACACAAGGTCTGGGGAAGAGCTGCTGCGTACCTGAAAGGTTGCATTAGTTATAGTATTTGTTTAAATCACCATCAGTTAAAGGGAGAGTTCACCCTTAAATGAAAAAGTATTTACTATTTACTCAAGTGATTACAAATTAAAGGGCACCTATTTAACCCCTTTTACAAGATGTAAGATAAGCCTTTAGTGTCTCCAGAATGTGTCTGTAAAGTTTCAACTTAAAATACCCATCAGATAATTTATTATAACGTCCAGAATATGCACACTTTTGGTGTCCAAGTACAGTGCAGCTGTTTTTGTAGCCTGTGACTTTAAATCCAAATGAGCTGCTTTTCCCCGCCCACTTTTCCTATGTGCGTGTCTGCTTCTCATCATGCGTTATGTCAGATAAACAGCAGTCAGTGATAAAGACAGACTCGGATAAAGCTGAAATACAGCTATTTAGTCAAGAACACCAAGTAAGTTTATTTGATGTATTTGTGGTGGAGTCTATTCAAGCCTTTCTGAAATGATGAGTCTCACACATTAGCGTTTACTGACACCATGTGTACATGGTGATTATAGCGGTTAAGAATTAGCAATTTAACTTCACGTCAATGTAATTTAACGTCTTTATTACAAATGTGCTCTGTTTTAAAGACGTTTTAAACTTATAAAAATCACAGTGAGTTGAAACAGATATTTTACTCCCTGTTAAAAAAACTGTTCTGTGAACAGGTGTAGACATGTTATTATGGAATCATGGCGCCTGTCAATCAATTCAGTGGGCGGGGAAAACTGCACTTCTACATAACATTGCAGAGGACCTCAAAATTACTGGGATTTGGGTCCTATTTTAAAGTCAGGAAATTAAAAAAAAGAGACTTATTGTGTTTCACAGTTCTGTCCAAACAGCTTACAAAAGTTGATTTTCATGATAGGTGCCCATAAAGATTTTCTTGAAGAAAGCTTGAAGCTGACAACTTTTGACTTCCATAGCAGATAAAAACACATACTATAGAAGTCAGCCAGTTTTTAAAACATATTTTTTGTTTACAAGATAAAAAAAAAAAAAAAACTCAAACAGTTTTGAGAAAAGTGAAGAATTAAAGAGTTTTCAGTTTTGGGTGAACTATCCCTTTAATTAGGTTATTCATTTGTAATATCACATGTTATCACAACGAAAACTAAGACTAAAACTATTGGTGAAAAAACACTTCGTTAACTGAAATAAAATAAATAATTCATGATAACTTAAAAGCTAAAACTGACAACATTTGAAATATATTTGAAAAAATTCATTCATTTTCTTTCAGCTTATTTATTAGGGGTGGCCACCGTGGAATGAACCACCAACTATTCTGGCATATGTTTTACGCTGAGGATGCCCTTCCAGCCATAAAGCTGGTAAACACCCATAGACACTCTTTACACACACACACTCATACACTATGGGCAATTTAGTTTACCTAAATCACCTATAGCGCATGTCTTTGGACTGTAGGGGAAAGCGGAGCACCCGGTGGAAACTCACACAAACAGGGGAAAAACATGCAAACTCCCCAAAGATTTGCCAATTGCCCCAGCTGGGACTTGAACCAGTGACCTTCTTGCTGTGAGGCGACAGTGCTAACCAATGAGCCACCGTGCCACTCATTTGAAAAAAACTAAATTTGCTAAACTAAATAATAATTTTCACAATTCATAAGCACTCATTCTGTGGCAAATAATCTGAGCTACGGCTGTTTATCGAAGTATCAAACACATCAGTCAAGCACATGACTATTATATACAGAAACACCTTTTCCGTATAAACATAAAACATGTCGTCTAACTTTTCTTTATTTGCCAAAAAATGCAAACTAAGCACATTTAACCACATACATTATCTTTACAGATTAAAAAGTTTGTCTGAATTCTTTATAATTTGTACGTTTATCCATTTAAGTTCCATTTTGGGTTTTGTATTCAGTGTTATTTTTTTTACTAAGTGTTTTGCACAAGAGTTCATGCAAGCTGTGCAAACATTAAACTTTGCTTTGGTCCACACTGGACATGTTCTGTCAACTCAGTTAGAGTAGAATTACTACACTAAAACTGAAAATAAATATATAAAAACTAAAAAGAATTTTGTTCATAGAATAAGAAACTAAAACTTATCAAACCATTTATTTATTGAACTAAACTGAAACGTACAGCAAATTTTAAAATAGTATCAAAATAATTCATTCATTCATTCATTCATTCATTATTTATTTATTGCCATGTCAGCTACTAAGGCTATTTTCATGGCAAGAGCATTTCAGTAATTAACAAACATCAACAGTAAAAAATAAATAATTGAATATACAATTTAGTATCAAAATAAAAACTCATTTAAAGATGCAAAACTATAAAACTATTGGTCTACACACCTCCTCAGTTTTCTTAAACCACTGGAACTGCACAGGTGAAGCACCGACAGCATAACAGCTAAGGCGAAGGTTGTGTCCGGCAATGACAGATACTGACTGTGGCTGAAGCAGGATTTGAATTCCTGTGAGACAAAAACAGAAAAGTCAGAATAGCACAATGTGGACCTGGAATTAATTTTCACATTGGAAAAGTATTGTAATAATTAGTATAGTTTTCACGTAAACTCTGAACTGCATTACACACACTCTGATTCACCAGATGTAAACTCAGAATTACAAGATCTGATCTACTCTCGGAATCACAAGGTCTAAACTCGGAGTGGCAAGTGTTAATCTCGGAATTGCAAGATTTAGACTCAGAGTGACAAGATTTAATCTAAGAATTGTAAGATCTAAAGTCAGAAAAGCTAGATCTAAACTCGGAATGGCAAGATCCAACTTGGGATAACAGCTTGTAAACTTGAAATAGCAAGATCTAAACTCTGAATTGCAAGGTCTAGACTTGGAATTGGCAGAAGTAAATTCAAAATCTCAACTCTGAATCGCGTAACATGCATTCTGAATCACCAAAAGTAATCTTATAATCACACAATGTATACTTGGAATTGCAACATGTAAACCAAGATACATGATCTAAACTTGTACTTGCAAGATCTAATTTCGGACTCATGAGATATAAAGTCAGAATTGGACTTCTAACTTGGATATGCAAGATGTAAACTTAGAATCGCAAGATACAAACATAGACTTGCAAGATCTAATCTCAAAATAACGAGACCTAAACACAAAATCTAAAGGTCTAACTGTAATTGCAAAATCTAAAGTCAGAATGGCAAGATCTAAACTCAGAGTTGCAAGATGTAGCTTGGAATAGCAACATACAATTTTGGAATATGTAGGAATAGCAAGATCTAACTCTGAATTGCAAGATCTAATCTCAAAATTGCAAGATCTGACTTATGACTGCACGACGTAAACTCGTAATCGCAACAAGTACCCTTGGAATTGCAAGATCTAAACTCGGAATGGTAAGACCTAACTCAAAATAGCAAGACCTAAACTCAGAATCACATTCCAGCTCAGAATTGTAAGATGCAAACTTGGAATTGCAAGATCTAACTCGGGATCTCAATATGCAATCTCAGACTCACAAGATCTAAACTTGGAATAGCAAAATCTAAACTCGGAATTGTAAAATCTAATCTCGGAATGGCAAAATGTAATATCGAACTCACAAGACCTAGACTCGAAACGGCAAGATCTTAAACCGCAAATTGCAAAACCTCAACTCAGAATTCCTAGATATAACTTGGAATCACAAGATCCAATCTCGAAGTGGTGAGATCTAAATTCGGAACAGCAAGATTTAATCTCGGAATTGCAAGATTCAACTAGAAATAGCAAGACCTAAACTCAAAGTCTCAAGATCTTGACTTAGAACTGCAACATGTAAAACTTATAATAGCGAGATCTAATCTCAGAATCGCAAGATAAAACTTGGAATCTCAACATGTAATCTTAGAATCATAAGATCTAAACTCGGAACGACAAGATCTTATCTCAGAATCGCAAGATCAAAACTCAGAATTGCATGATCTATCTCTGAATCGCTAGATCTAACACGGAATTGCGACATGTAAATTTGGATAAGCAAGACAAAAGATAATGTAATACAGCATTGCACAACATAAAAACTCTGCCTACTATGTTTACACTATTAAGGTAACTGTACCTGGAGGTTTAAGACACTGCAGGGCCTCTGTGTGACCCATGATCTGTAGAAACTCCATCAGTTCTTCCTGGATACAGCCCTGATCTCCGATGAGTTTGAGAAGAGTTCGGGAAGGACTACCATCTGCCTTCAAAGCCTTCAGAGAACACATGTCCATGTCTTCGAGACTGTGCATATGAGTGAATTCAGAAAGCATTACGAAATGTAAGTTTCAAAGTGGATATTACATTAGGAGGTAAAGTGAAGAGAGAACAATAGAGCTGTTACCTCACTTTAAACCGCTTGTCATTTTTCACAATCTCCCCCAGTTTTCGCCATCCTTTATTGTTGGCTTTATCAAGAGACTCACAGAGCCTTTTTAATACAGATTCTTTCAAGAAATTTATGTTCAAAGAGCTTTCATTCGATTCCGACATGTTTGAGAATAAGGCAGATGCACCGCTGTGATTGGTTTGACCTGCTGAACTGCTTAAGTAGTCAGCAAAGCACCTGCCAAACGGAAAATCAACATGACATTATTAGCAGTGTATACATCATATAAGAAATATAAGAATATTTATTTAACACCACTAGAATATGAATATATAACATATTAAAATACATGAATATTCTGAAAATATTTGTATTATAAATGTAATAAATGAGATATCAACTGTTGTGGCATTTACAAAAGTGATTTACAAAAGCGAATTAACTATTTATTCTGACCTGCACTTCTCAAGATATATAAAATGATGAGTGATCATACTAAATTGTATTAAAAGTATTACAAAATGTCACCATCAAATAACCCTTGATCTAATTATGCCTGACAAAAAAAAATGGTGCATTATCCTGCTGGAAGTAGCCATCAGAATATGAGTACACTTTGGTCATAAAGGGATGGACATGATCAGCAACAATGCTCAGGTAGGCTGTGGTGTTGACACGATGCTCAATTGGTCCTAATGGGCCCACAGTGTGCCAAGTAAATATCCCCCACACCATCAAACCACCACCACCAGCCTAATTCACTGATTCAAGGCAGGATGGAATCATACTTTCATGTTGTTGATGCCAAATTCTGACCCGATCATCCGAATGTGGCAGCTGAAATTGACAATCTTCAGACCAGGCAACATTTCTCCAATTGTTCAATTTTGGTGCGCCTGTGTGAATTGTAGCCTCAGTTTCCTGTTCTTAGCTGACAGGAGCGGCACCCGGTGTGGTCTTCTGCTGCTGTAGCCCATCCGCCTCAAGGTTAGTCATGTTGTGCGTTCAGAGATGCTCTTCTGCAGACCTCGGTTGTAACGAGTGGTTGTTTGAGCTACTGTTGCCTTTCTATCAGCTGGAACCAGTCTGGCCGTTCTCCCCTGACCTCTGGCATCAACAAGGCACTTGTGACCACAGAACTGCCACAAACTGGATATTTTCTCTTTTTCGGACCATTCTCTGTAAACCCTGGAGATGGTTGTGCATGAAAATCCCAGTTGATCAGCAGTTTCTGAAATACTCAGATCAGCCGTTCTGGCACCAAAAACCATGCCACCATCAAAATCACTTAAATCACCCTTCTTCCTCATTCTGATGCTCGGTTCGAACTGCAGCAGATCGTCTTGACCATGTCTACATGCCTAAATGCATTGAATTGCTGCCATGCGATTGGCTGATTAGAAATTTGCGTTAGCGATCAGTTGGACGGGTGTACCTAATAAAGTGGCCGGTAAGTGTATACACCTGTCTACATTAGACACACTAGTTTAATATCTTTAAATTCAGATTAGAGATCATATCAAAGACATTTTCTTCAAAATTAAATCCCTGTAATAATTTGCTCCTTCATGTTGTTCCAGTTCCTTAATTTATTTCCGTGAACAATTCAAATGAATGAAATGTCATCCAAAGTATTCAGAATCATCTAAAAGTGAAAGAAGACTTAATATTTTCCTTTATGATCCACAGAAGAAGTAAAGTAAGACGAGTGTGAACGGCAAGACGACTTTAAAAATGAAGACGAAAAACAAAGCAGTATTGTCATCCTTTGGTACGTCAACAACTTGTACAATCGCTAATTTCACTTTTTCCATCGCGCTTTGTCTAGTCAGCAAGCGAATATTGGTAAAAAATTATTGTTTAATAAAGTATTTAGCACTTCTAAGTTAGATTTTAAGATTATGAAATGTATGAACTGGACTAAACGTTCATGTTTCAAAAGTAGCCAAACAACATATCGGAATTCACCAAACACAAAACAGAAGGCTTGAAAAACACGCAGTATAAACATTGACATACCGTACACGGATTATGTGTTGTCATGTATCCCATTATTAAACGATACATGAATCCGACTGATGCGGGGAAATCCAAAAGTACGTGTGTGTGTGTGTGTGTGTGTGTGTGTGTGTGTGTGTGTGTGTGTGTGTGTGTTCGCATCACTTCCTGGTGTCTGACAAAGGGGAAGGTGTTCATCTCATCATGAGTACACTACTCCTGAGCAGCTCGCAGTGCTTAAACGGAAGTGTTTCAGTCAAACTCGCTCTTCACAAACATGTGATTTGGGGTTGTTTATTTATCTTTAAAGGATGATGGTTTTTTTATGAACTTTATTTCGTTATTGTGTGAGGAAAATACACATTCATGGATGCCAGTTTACAAGGGAAACCTCTCTTCATTGTACCAGAAAAAGAGATGTAGGCTAGAAACAATGAGAAAAGCATTAATTAATATATTGAATGGAATTAATATTAATTCATATCTGCTCATCTTTTAACATTTTTACTTAAAGACTACATATGTATGTATATTTTCTGCAATAACCCTTACTGTGTGTGCTGTTGGGGATGTTTTCATCCACTCTGAGGAGATTTCAAGTATTAATTTGGCCATAACTTTGTCTGTTTCAGCTAGCAGAATGTTTTTTGGTGGCAAATCTTATTTTGAAATATACTATATTTTGTGAAAATAATTAAAATTTAAAACAAAAAAACTCAAAGATACACTCTGGGCAAATTTACTTTCCTTTTGCCTTTTGTTATGTTCGGGATTGTTCGGGATGAAAACATCCACTGAATAAAATCAGATATATATATATATATATATATATATATATATATATATATATATATATATATATATATATATATATATATATTCATTTGCTGTTAAATTTTAAATTAAAATTAAATCAAGAAGTGGCCCAAGAACAGAGCCTTGAGGTACCCCAGTGTTTAGATGCTGTAGGTTGGACACCTCTCCCCTCCAAGACACCCTGAATGACCTGTCAGAGAGGTAAGATCTGAACCATTGTATAACAGTGCCCGCAACGCCCAGTGACTCGAGCGTAGATAGCAGGATCTGGTGGTTGACAGTGTCAAAAGCAGCTGACAAATCCAGCAAAATGAGGACTGATGATTTAGAGTCTGCTTTAGCCAGTGTGAGATTCTCCACGACCGAGAGCAGGGCAGTCTCAGTTGAGTGGCCTTTCTTTAAGCCGGATTGCTTGTTGTCCATGAGATTGTTTTGAGTAAGAGGACTTGATTGAACACTACTTTCTCCAGAATCTTGGCCATGAATGGAAGCAGGGATACTGGTCTGTAGTTTTCAAGTAGCGTATGGTCCAGGTTGGGTTTCTTTAGCAGTGGGGTTACCCTAGCCTGCTTAAATGAAGTGGGGAATAAACCAGAGTCAAGAGATGTGTTAATTATGTGAGTCAGTGTTGGTATGACTGCAGGAGAGATGGCTTGCAAGAGATGAGAGGGAATGGGATCGAGTGGACAGGTGGTTGCATGGCTAGATAGCACGAGTTTGGACACCTCAGACTCAGAGTGCTGAGAAAAAGAGGTGAGTGTGTGTGGTGTTGGTGGTGTATCTTGCGTGTTTGTTGTAGGTGCAGCAAATTGAGCACTGATTTTTGCAGTTTTGGTGCAAAAGAATGTAGCAAAGTCATCAGTAGTAAGTGTGGAGGATGCGGGTGGAGGAGGAGGATACAGGAGGGAGGAAAATGTTTTAAAAAGTAGGCGAGGATTAGTGGCATTGTTGATTTTCAGACGGTAATATGTCTGCTTTGCAGAAGTAACTTCAGCCGAGAAAGAAGACAGAAGAGTTTGGTATGTTGAGAGCTGTGCAGGATTTTTAGTTTTCCGCCAAATTCTTTCTGCAGCCCGAAGTTTTGAGCGATGCTCACGGAGAGCATCCAAGAGCCAGGGTGCAGGAGGACTGGCACGGGCTGGCCTATATAACGGGCTAGCCAGTATAATAATTCCTATGATGTTATAGTGTTTACTACTTTTAGGGACGTTTAAATTATTATTTTTAATTAGGATTGCTTGTATATTCATTTTTTTTTTCAGGACAGTGCAAATCCTGGTTTGAGAATTGCTTGATTTATTTATTTATTTTTTGCTGTTTGTCTTTGTTATTATTATTATTATTATTATTATTATTATTATTACTATTATATTATATTACTAGTATATTACATTATTATTATTTAAAAATCATCAAAATGTTCTCTTTTATGTCTATACCCAGTAGGCACACAGCCTTATATGATGTAGGTATTTATTTATATTTTGGTTGCGATGTTAGGGGGGCAAAATCCAATGTCAGTTTAACATCAACAACATAATAAGACGTCCATACAACGTCAGTATAACATCAGTATAACAGTATAACAGTCAGTCAGTCAGTCAGTCAGTCAGTATAGCATCAGAAGACGTTGATCTTTGGTTGATTTTAGGTTGTGGAATTAACTAACCAAAGTCCAACATCCTGATGACGTTGGGGTACAACGTCAGTCTGACGTCATGTTGACGTCCTGTGCCTGCCTGCAGGGTATATCTTTAACTTTGCATGTTAAGAAAAAGATATTAGTCATTCTTGAGTAACATTAATATATTATTTATTATCTAAAATAATATATCTCTCTTATCTCTGCATCTATCTTACATATTAACATATTCATTATTATTATTAATGATGTGAATATGATACAAGCAAGCTTTGGCGTGCTTACTTTTGTTTATTAGATAGTCATTGTCCTATATTGTTAAGTGTAAACACACAAATGTTTCCAACTTCAACATCTTCAAGCACTTAAATTTACTTCCTATTTAAATACAATATTTCTCAATGTCTAGCAAAAAGAATATGATACAAAACAATAAGAAGAATGTGTTAAAAATAATTAGATCTAGAATTTTTATATTATTATTTCTTTTATACATTTATAAATGAAAATACAAAATAATAAATGAATCTTTAACGAATAATTGCACTATTAACAAGATTGTTATTAATATTATATCATCAATGATAAAAATGTTATATTCATTCATTCATTCATTTTCTTGTCGGCTTAGTCCCTTCATTAATCCGGGGTCGCCACCACGGAATGAACTGCCAACTTATCCAGCATGTTTTTACCCAGCGGATGCCCTTCCAGCCGCAACCCATCTCTGGGAAAAAATGTTATATTATTAAGGTCTATTATTAGGAATGTTTCAATACTAAGTTACCTAGAACTGGTAACATTCTCTCTTAATAAATAGGCTACACGTCTATTTTCTGTTGCTGCTTTTCTTTATTATTTTTTACTGAATGTATGAATGCTTGTATGCTCCTACATTTTTTTCCTCTACAGAAATAATTTATTTCTAATATTTATTTTTTTGTATAAAAAACTTTGAAATTTTCTTTGGAAGTTTGTTCAGGTGAGCCCTGTCCCCCTGTTGAAAACCACAAATCCCATTAACTAACCCAGTGCATACTGAAGGTCCATGTTCAATGAAACCAACAGAACAACATCGTCTGTGAATAACAGGGATGAAATTCTGTAGTCCCCGAATCGGATCCCCTTAAGCCCTAGGATGCGCCTTAAAATTCTGTCCATAAAAAATATTAACAGAATTAATGACAAAGGGCAGCCCTGCCGGAGCCCAACATGCACTGGAAACAAGTCTGACTTACTGCTGGCAATGCAAACTAGACTCCAACTCTGTTCATACAGGGACAAGACAGCCCTTAACAGAGCGCCTCTGACCCCATACTCCCACAGCACCCAGAATGCCCTGAGGGACACATTCAAATGCCTTTTGCAAGTCCACAAAACTCATGGACTGATTGGGCATACTCTCATGAACCCTCAAGCACCCTGGTGAGGGTATAGAGCTGGTCCAGTGTGCCACAACCTGGGCAAAAATCGCATTGTTCCTTCTGCATCCTAGGTTCAACCATCGGTCGGATCTTCCTCTCCAGTACCTTGGTATATACTTTCCCAGGGAGGCTGAGGAGTGTGATCCCCCAATAGTTGGAGCACACCCTGCGCTCCCCCTTATTAAAAATGGGAACCACCACACCAGTTGCTCAGTCCAGAGGTACTGTCCCCGACCTCCATGTGACATTGCAAAGACGTGTCAGCCAGATACATTTAAGAAAAATGTTCAGGAAAAAAGGCAGTCACTGACTTAGTAGGAACAAATAATATTATGGAAGTCAAAAAATGTTCAACGTTCTTCAAAATATCTTCTTTTGTGTTCATCAGAAGGCACAAACTCAGTCTGGTTTGGGACAAGGGGAGGATGAGTAATTTTAATTTCTGGGTGAACTATCCCGTTTAGGTAAATGAGCATGCACAACATAATGCAAGATTTTTTTTTCTAAATATTTAAATAACTTAAATGTTAGGCCAAAACACGCTAATTATTTTTTTAAATATGCATACATTTCTGGCATAAAAATATATTAATAAACATTTCTATAATAATAATTATGTCGCCTCACAGCAAGAAGGTCGCTGGGTCGCTGGATCGAACCTCGGCTCAGTTGGCGTTTCTGTGTGGAGTTTGCATGTTCCCCCTGCGTGGGTTTTCTCCGGGTGCTCCGGTTTCCTCCACAGTCCAAAGACATGTGGTACAGGTGAATTGGGTAGGCTAAATTGTCCGTAGTGTATGAGTGTGTGTGTGAATGTTTGTGTGGATGTTTCCCAGAGATGGGTTGCGGCTGGAAGGGCATCCGCAGTGTAAAAACTTGCTGGATAAGTTGGCGGTTCATTCCGCTGTGGCGACCCCGGATTAATAAAGGGACTAAGCCAACAAGAAAATGAATGAATATGTATATAAGGGCCTTGTATAGGCTTTTAAATGTAAAATCATTTAAAATCATTTAAACTCACAAACAATGCGTTATCAGGCGATGATAAAAGTGTTATAGCCTACTGGATTACTCACCTCTGGTTTACAATTGCTCTCTCTCCCACACACACACAGAGAGAGAGAGAGAGAGAGAGAGAGAGAGAGAGAGAGAGAGAGAGAGAGAGAGAGAGAGAGAGAGAGAGAGAGAGACACCGGGTCATTGGTAGGTAACGACTAAGTAACGTCACACAACAAATACGTCACTCCTCAAGTCTCTTTAGGGCTGTTTGTGTGAAACTAGAGACCCAGAAGGACTGCGGTGTCAACAGGGTGACTTTGTGTTTGTTTTGTCCTCTTATAGTACACCTCGTTTCGGGAAAATCGTTTTAAAAAGTAAAATCAGTCCGACATGCAGCCCGCGTGCGGTTTATGGGAGAATCACAGGTGAAGAAGCTGTGTGTTTTTCCACTCATATGAACTGGCGGATCCAGGTGAGTCTCCATCAAACGCTATGATATTAATATTTTAGAACTCTGCAGATACTTTCTGAGTATGTTTTTGCACACACGATAGTCAATTTTATTATGTTAAAAATATGTATGTATTTTGCGCAGCAATGTCACGAATAAAATATCGGAGGGTTCACATTTTATTATAGCCTAGGTTGAAAGTTTAACCCACGTTTGGTCGGCTCTCTATATTGTTTTCATTGTTATCCTTTATTATTGCCTTGTATCATATTTAAGTTATTATTTTTAAAAACATAATATAGTTTTTTTTATATATATTGTTAGACGTGATGTATAGAAATAGGCTAATTAGACGTCTTTTTTTCCAAAATAGATTTTTTTAAATGGATTGACGGTCTAAACCTCCTCATGTTGGCTTTCTGTAACATCGTTTGTTTATGATTATCGCATTATTATTGAGAAAGCCGTGGCTGATTTGGCCCCTGGAGGACGGAGAGCTCAGCCATTGTGGAGTTTTCCGTTCTCTAGTAATGTTATGAACATTAGATAAACTGATTTTAGAAAAGACCTTTCAACTTCGTTCATTTCCAGACACATACGTTCTTAAATGTTTAAATGAAAGTGAATCTAAAAATTAAACACTGTAAACAACATGCAAATTTTATACTGGAAACAACAACATACTAATCTATACTAGAAACATGCTAATTTATACTGGAAACATGTTAATAACATACTAATCTATATAGAAACATACTAGTGATGTACTAATTCATGCAATAAGCTATAAGTCTATCTATCTACTCTGTAAAAAATGCCGGGTTCCACACAATTCATTTGTGTTATCCCAACACAAATCGATTAAGTTAACTTAACACTTTTAACAAATTTATAAGGATTGAACATTTAAAAAATTAAGCTGTCCCAAATGAACTATCAAGAATTGTGTTGTTTTAGATCATTTTGATTAAGTAGTTTGAACAAGTAAAACAAATATTTTTGAGTCTATCTATCTATCTATCTATCTATCTATCTATCTATCTATCTATCTATCTATCTATCTATCTATCTGTCTGTCTGTCTGTCTGTCTGTCCATCTATCCATCCACCCATCCTTCCATCCGTCCGTCCGTCCTTCTATCTATCTATCTGTCTGTCCGTCCGTCCGTCCGTCCGTCCGTCCGTCCGTCCGTCCGTCCGTCCGTCCGTCCGTCCGTCCGTCCGTCCGTCCGTCCGTCCGTCTGTCTGTCTGTCTGTCTGTCTGTCTGTCTATCTATCTATCTATCTATCTATCCATCTATCCTGTAAAACCCAACAGTCAACTTTATCAAATGAAATAATTCAGTTAACTGAAAAATGTACTAAAAGTTAATTCTACTCACTTGAAAAGAGTTTTAATCTCTGTGTTGAAGGTAATGAATTAATTAAATATGTCATTACTTAAACTCAAATAAATTAAGTCCACAGTACTCAAATAGATTTGTTTTTTTAACCTAAATGGTTTGTAGCAATCGGTCTCCTCAAACGGTTTGAGTTGCCCTAACTTATTGGGTTTTACTGTGCTCAAAATGCTTTGTTTAATCAAATGGATTAAGTTCACAGTACTCATTAGGATTATATTTTGAACTTAATGGTTTGTTACAGTCAGTTTCCTCAAATGGTTTGAATTACCTTTACTTATTGGGATTTATAGTGTATCTATCTGTCTGTCTGTCTGTCTGTCTCATCATCTATTGTCTTGTCTATCTATCTATCTATCTATCTATCTATCTATCTATCTATCTATCTATCTATCTATCTATCTATCTATCTATCTATCTATCTATCTATCTATCTATCTATCTATCTACCTTTCTATCTATCTATCTATCTATCTATCTATCTATCTATCTATCTATCTATCTATCTATCTATCTATCTATCTATATACCTTTCTATCTATCTTTCTATCTTTCTATCTATCTATCTATCTATCTATCTATCTATCTATCTATCTATCTGTCTGTCTGTCTGTCTGTCTGTCTGTCTGTCTGTCTGTCTGTCTGTCTGTCTGTCCGTCTGTCCGTCCGTCCGTCCGTCCGTCCGTCCGTCCGTCCGTCCGTCCGTCCTTCCGTCCGTCCGTCCGTCCGTCCGTCTGTCTGTCTATCTATCTATCTATCTATCTATCTATCTATCTATCTAACATGATTCAAAGATGAATGTCCCATTTTGGCTTTCACATTAAATTATTTTACAAAGCTGATTTTACTTTGAAAGCCTATTATATGAGATCGTCTCAGACAACTGCAATGATAGTTATGTTATACATAATTAAATATAATTTTTAAAATTCTAACTTAATTTTAGGATTCATATTTCAGTGTCATTCGGCCTAACAAATACATATTATACTCAGTTTTGTTTTTACTCGTTCAAACTAATTATTTAAAATGAGCTGAGACAACACAATTCTTGAGATTTCATTGGGACAACTTAATTTTTTATGTTGTGCAACATGAATGAATTGTGTGGAACCCTGCATTTTTTTAAAAGTAAAGTCAACATCTGAAGTGGCTCAAAACCATTCATCAAAATTGTCCTAAATCTGCTGAACAGCAACCTTTATTGTTTTAGGACTATTTCGAAAAACATTTTGGATCCATTTGAAATGTTGACTACTGTGTGTCAAAAAGATAGACCTGTTCTGATGCACTATTACGATATATAAAAAGTAAGTGGTCATGCTACATTTGAAGTATAATTTATCTGATTTAAAGCTTCTTGCTTAGAAATATTAGCTTGAAGGGTTGTGGCAAAGCATAAAGGTATAACATGACAAATAAATCATATTTGATTGCTGCACTGTGATCCTGAATAGTTTTTTTTTTATATATATATATTTTTGGTGACAAATGACAATTGTGGTGATTCAGGGACAATTATTTCTGTTTGCAAATAGCGCATGCATGTCTGTGTTTATGCTTTTATGTGTTTTTCCTGTTGTTTACATTTTAAATAGGCTGTTTTAAGAATATGCATATTATGCCAAATGTTTCCCTGTTTGTATTGAACACTGAGCTGTCGGGTGGTTCCATTTTGCTTTTGTACAACCAAATTAATTTGTTTTTATATTTTCTGGCACCAAAATAGAAAGTTAATGTCAAATGTTTTGAAGACTCGGACTTTAATCCTTTTCCTTGTCAATAAGTGCATATGATGTGGTAAAATAAAGGATCAAACTGACTATTTTATGATTGTCTGCAAATAATGTTGCTGGTGCGTCTGTAAAAATGGAAATGTGAATATTTGCAATCACATCTGAATTGTCAGATAGCAGATGATACAGTACCAATCCAAAAACATAAAACACTTTGGTTGAACTCGTCTTTTTCAAGGCAGTACATGTCCATGAAGTCTTCTCTCTGCACCTGCGTTTGCCACGTTTGACCTTATTGGTTTTTTTTTTTTTTGATGCCTTGTGTTCATAACATTTTACAATGCCATGCTGTAAAAAATATTTATCATTCAGTTCATTTCTGGAATTTCTAAACGTGCTTGTAAGTTTTTCTTAGAATTCATAATTTAATTTTTCATATAGTTTTTTATACAGTTGAAATCCTAATTATTACCCCCCACCCCTTGAATTTCTTATTCTTTTTTAAATATTTCCCAAATGGTGTTTAATAGAACAAAGTCATTTTCACAGTATGTCTGATAATATTTTTTCTTTTGGAGAAAGTCTTATTTGTTTTATTTCGGCTAGAATAAAAGCAGTTTTTATTTTTTTTAAATCATTTTAAGGTCAAAATTATTAGCCCTTATAAGCTAGATTTTTTTTGAAAGTCTACAGAACAAACCATCATTATACAATAACTTGCCTAATTACCTTAACCTGCCTAATTAACCTAGTTAAGCCTTTAAATGTACCTTTAAGCTTTAAAGAAGTGTTTTGAAAAATATCTAGTCAAATATTATGTACTGTCGTCATAGCAAGGATAAAATAAATCAGTTATTAGAGATGAGTTATTAAAACTATTATGATTAGAAATGCGCTAAAAACAATCTTCTCTCTGTTAAACAGAAATCAATGAAAGGGGTGTGTAACTGTGTGTTTTTTAAAATATTTTGTTTTATTTGACATTTTTTATAAGATATTTAACAAAAACAGTACAATACCAATAAGAAAAAATATAATAATACAAAATAATTTAATTTACAAATATACATAAATATATATACATGACATATGTAGCATAAACATTAATAAAATATGAAAGTATTCACGTTTTTACAAAGTCAGTATCATGAATATACGAGTTAGAGATGAAAATTTACAAAGGTAAAATGCTAGATTCCCAAGAGTCTTACGGAGAGCAGATTTTAAAACATTTCTAAACATAATAGTTTTAATAACTCATCTCTAATAACTGATTTATTTTATCTTAGCCATGATGACAGTACATAATATTTGACTAGATATTTTTCAAGACACTTTTATACAGCTTAAAGTAACATTTAAAGGCTTAACTGGGTTAATTAGGTTAACTAGGCAGGTTAGGGTAATTAGGCAAGTCATTGTATAATGATGGTTTGTTCTGTAGACCAGTGGTTCTCAAACTTTTTTTCATCAAGTACCACCTCAGAAAAAAATTGTCGCCAAGTACCACCATAATGAGCAGAATTGAATTACAGAGTAGCGTAGTAAGCCCATTGAAGCAGCTACAGTTCTGCACAGTTCAAAAACAAGGCAGATTAATTCCTATTATTAAGAATATTTATTATTGTCAGCCACTTTAAACATAAATAGTCTGAACGTTAACACTGTACTGTGCTTATATGTAAAAAAAAAACAAACTAAAAGATTCAACATTTAAATTAAAATGTGTAAAAGGTAAAAAGAAAAGAGCTTTACTTAAATGAAAAGTATTAACATTCATTCATTTTTCCACACACATATTCACACACACACTCATACACTACAGACAATTTAGCTTACCCAATTCACCTGTACCGCATGTCTTTGGACTGTGGGGGAAACCGGAGCACCCGGAGGAAACCCACGCGAAGGCAGGGAGAACATGCAAACTCCACACAGAAACACCAAGTGAGCCAAGGTTTGAACCTGCGACCCAGTGACCTTCTTGCTGTGAGGTGACAGCACTACCTACTGTGCCACTGCCTCGCCCAAATATTAACATATAGTAGCCAATTCATCAATACCTGAAAATGTTGCCTGGACCTTAGAAGTATGGCAATATGTCATATAATGAATATTATTATATGTCACATTCATATAGAAATCATTTTTGATAAATTTTGAAACATATGTAGCATGTACATATTACATGAGGTACACGTACCACAATTTGAGAACCACTGCTGTAGACCAGCGATAATGATAATAAATGTAATAAAGGGGATAATAATTTTGACCCTAAAATAGATTTTAAAAAATTAAAAACTGCTTTTATTCTAACCAAAATAAAATAAAAAAATCTTTCTCAAGAAGAAAAAATATTATCAGACATACTGTGAAAATGTCCTTGCTCTGTTAAACATCATTTGTGAAATATTTAAAAAAGAATAAAAATTCAAAGGGGGGGCTAATAATTCTGACTTCAACTGTATATAATATAAAAAATATATCAGAATTTGAGCTATTCACTGGCTTTTAGCGACCAATCATTTTAGTCTCCATAGAAAAAAATCTAAATATAGCATTTTTTTTTTATTTGAATCTCCCGGGAAAGCAAATCAGTGTCGATTATAATTGACTTTGTGTATTTACTATATTGATTATGAAAAGGAAAGTCCGCTAATGCCATCATGGCCATTATTTATGAAATCAGATAAGAATCATCTTGTCGTGGCCAAGAATTAGTTAAACAAACTGCACCCATAATGACCTTTCAGCTGAAGTGATGAGTGAAGGTGTTTACACATGCTAAGTTGTTTTTGCGTGTCTAGCTTGCTGTTTAAAGTAGAAACAAACTCTACAGGTGGAGCTTAACGTGTGGACGCCTTAATGATTTTGTGTTTGTCATGCAGGACACAATGAGAGATGCAGAGCAGGTGCTGACTCTGGTGTGGCTCCTCTGCGGGATCCCACACAGCATGTGTACGTGACTCCATCATTCAGTTAATCAATGCAGAAAGCTGAAATTGTGTACTCTGATTTTTTTATGGTTTTGATGAAAGTTTTTTAAGTGAAGTTTGTTTATAAGCTCATTTCGAGAGGATCACATGCTTATGATTAAACATGGCTGGTCTTGCTTTAGCTATGTATGATCCACCAAGCAGACGATTTCTAACCCACTATAAAGAGCCAGGGTTTCTCACTACAGTCATCTTCGATTTGAAGAATCCCCCCTTCCACACCTACTTCTCCACCTTTCCCTTCATAGGGCGGCACGGCGGCCCAGGGGTTAGCACTGTTGCTTAACAGCAAGAACATCACCGGTTCTAGTCCTTTGTCAGGCCGGCTGTCGTTTCTGTGCGTAGTTTGCATGTTCTTCCCGTGCTCGTGTGGGTTTTTCCCCGGGTCCTCCAGTTTCCAAGATGATAAAAGGCCGTTTTAGCTACATGTTTAAAATTAGGCTTCAGGGAGTCCAGGAAAACACCAAGATTACGCTCCTGCGGATTGGTGATAAGACAGACCCATCAAACATTAACGGAAATTCACTACACCTCTTGATGTTAGAAGGAGTGTAACTAATAAAATCTCTGTTTTTGAACTATACAGTTTAAGATAATTATAATCCACTTCACTTCCTAATCTGCAATTGCCTCTCTGAATGTCACACTAACTGTACCCCAAAAAAATAAAAATAAAAAAATACTAATACTACTAATACTTTCCTTCTTAGACTTCACAGACCTGAAACTTGCCTATAGCACTTATTCATTGTTGCTCTTAGTTGTGTAAATTGCTTCCTTGTCCTCATTTGTAAGTCGCTTTGGATAAAAGCGTCTGCTAAATGAATAAATGTAAATGTTATTTTGCATCCCAGCTTTAATTTCAGATAAGCATGCGTTAAGCGATGACATTGATGCTGATGACTTGGGAGAAGTGCTCATATGGATTTGCGTGTCATCGGCATAACAATGATCTCTAATTTCAAATTTTTGCTGGCAACATATACTGTAAATACTAAAGAGAAGTGGACCAAGTACTGACCCTTGGGGGACACCATGGCATAAAGGAACAGTACGCGATCTGTGACCCCCCCACCCCCATAGATAAACCGTGACATCCAGAAAGATAGAATTTAAACCAATTTAGCACAATCCTATCCACACCAACCCAGTTATAAAGTCTGTGCAAAAGTATGCTATGAGAAACTATCAAAAGCTGCGGTTAAGTCTAAAAGCACTAAAATACCAAAAGCCCCTGAATCAGCAATCATATAAATCCAATACTTTACCTCCTCAAGGCTATTTAACAAGGATTTTTTTTTAAAAGCAGGTACAAATTCATGTCTTCAGCATATAACTATCAAATGGAATTCCAAATTTGTTAAATCTCACGGTTGATCTGCTCCTTCAAAATGTCATCTGATCAGTGCCGTTGTTGAGATTCAAATGCAAACATCTCAATGAAATCCACATAATTGGGTGAATTTTCTTAAAATAAACATGAAGCCATCTTTCCTCAATATTATTAGCTCAATTGGTTTTCAAATTAAGCTTAATAATTGCACTAGTTTGCTTAAAAAAATAAGTGAAATTTAAATCTTTGTTATATTAGCAAAATATTCTCAATATTTTGTAATAAATCCAGAATTAAAATTTTTTAAAGAAAATATGCACATTATTTTTAATGACCACATCAATTTTTTAATGAAAATTACAAGCCTCAAGATTAATTTTTTACAGAGTAGAGAGAAAAAAAAGCTGTGGCCCTAATATAGAGCCCTGAGGTACACCATACCTTACAGAGGCAGCATTGTTCAGATTTCTGTGCTAGAAATGTATGCAAACAAGAGCATATTTAAAAATATTAGTAGTATTTTAAGACCAGGGATGGGCAAACTTGATCCTCGAGGGCCGGTGTCCCTGCAGAGTTTTGTTCCAACTCTAGTCAAACACACCTGAACAAACTAATCAGTGTCTTCAAGATCACTTGAACTCTATAGGGAGGTCTGTTTGAATAGGGTTGGAGCTAAACTGTGCAGGACACCAGCCCTTCAGGGCCGAGATTGCCCACCCCTGTTTTAGACATAACATTTAAGTTGTTTGAAACATTTATCAATATATGATCATAAATATAAAAAATCCATCACAGATATTGAAGAATAAGATTTCCTGCATGTTTTATTCCAGATTAAATTGCGATAGGGTCAACAAACACAGCCCACTTCAGATTTCTCGATATCATCACATGATGCTTCTAAATACTTAAATGTGTGGAAAATCTGCACCAATATTGCATTATATTCTAGGGCTGTGCAATTAATCGATAATCCGGTTTTGTTTTCGATTTTGGCTTCTAACTAATTAATCAAGATAAACGATTATTGCATCATATACCGCCCCCTTTCAAGTTGTACAGATTTATCACTCTGCAAAGATCAGTTCCACGTGAAAATGACTACAAGCATGTACTGTAATATAACTTTTGCAGCACGGGATGCGCATCATTTATTGATGTACATTCCAATCATGCATATTTTTAAAAGCACGAAAGAGTGCATGCTGCTCAGAGACAAGCAGAGCACACACACACATCTAACGGCATCTTAATGTGAGCGCTTTAATGGTCAAATACATGCACATTTGTGTCAGAGCGCGGTGTTTAGTGATTATTCATATTAACCCTCATTTGTGAGAAACCAAAAAAAGAGAAACCATATCAGAGCCGCACTATTCTTAAAGTGACAGCACGCAATATTCCTGCTGTCGCCTGTTTATAATCAAACAACAAAAGGAGAAAATCCCTCACTGCTCTTGACTGAAGGACTGCTGTAGCTAAAGTTTTTTCTTACAGTGAAGATGAGTTTAAACAACAGATTTAATAACTCATTTCTAATAACTGATTTCTTTTCTCTTTGCAATGATGAAAGCACATAATATTTTACTAGATATTTTTCAAGACACTAGTGTTCAGCTTAAAGTGACATTTAAAGGCTTAATTAGTGTAATTAGGCAGGTCATTGTATAACAGTAGTTTCGGTAACTTTAGAATAACTATCTGTTATAACTAGTTAATAGACCATTAATAAACTGCTAGTTAACAATTTATAAATGACTTGTTAAATAAAAGTTAAAGGTTTGTTAATTATTTATAACTGTGCCTTATAGATGGCTAATGGATAACTTACAAGCTGTTAGTTAACAAGTTGTAAATGACTTCTTAACTGTATTTTAATGATTTATAACTATACCTAATAAATTAGTAATAGATCATGAACAAGCGATTAGTAAATAACTTAATAAAGACTTGTTAAGTATCAGTTAATAGTGTATATATGTTATTGGGACGTTATTCTAAAGTTGCAGCTATTTTTCATTTATTAACTGTTAGTAAATGAGGAATAGTTGCAACTTTAGAATAACAACCCAATAACATGCTTAAGCTAATAACTAACGCTTAACTAATATATTTACTCACACTTTACAGATAAGTTGTTCATCTTTGTTAACCACCTACTAATACAAGTGAAACTTTGTAGAACAGCAAATGGATGGAACAAGTTCAAGCTACAGAAATTTGATGTGATAATTAAAATATAAAATGTTTGTATCTTAACCTTGTTCCACTTATAGGTTTTTCTGTGTGCTGTGTTTTCCCAAAGAAACTCCACAGATGAAATGTTAAACGTTGTGTTTAATGTATTGAAACACACATACTGAACCATCACATGGTCTATTACTAATTTTACTGATCTATTACTAATTTATTAGGTATAGTTATAAATCATTAAAATACAGTTAAGAAGTCATTTACAACTTGTTAACTAACAGCTTGTAAGTTATCCATTAGCCATCTATAAGGCACAGTTATAAATAATTAACACACTTTTATTTAACAAGTCATTGATAACTTGTTACCTAACAGTTTATTAATGGTCTAATAACTAGTTATAACTGATAGTTATTCTAAAGTGTTACCGTAGTGTCTTCTGCAGACAATCAAAAATATATATTTCTTAAAGGACCTAATGTTATTGAGCTATTAAAAAAGATTTCAAAATATTTAAAACTGCTTTTATTCTAGCCGAAATAAAACAAAACAGCTTTTCCCCTGAAGAACAAATATTGCAGGAAATACTGTTAAAAAATCCTCTGTTAAACATCATTTGGGAAATATTTATATATATATATATATATATATATATATATATATATATATATATATATATATATATATATATATATATATATATATATATATATATAAATTCACAGAAGAGCGAATAATTTTGACTTCCTCTGATAATCACTCTGAATAATCGTGATTATGATTTTTCTCATAATCGAGCAGCCCTATTATATTCTGCATAATACCGATATCATATCTTGCTTTTCAATGACAATATCTGTCCAGGTCATTCTCCACCAGGGAGGCCTAGACTAACAAGATGCCGATCGCCTGAGAAAGAGACTTTCAGTTGCTGGTGGGAGACTGGATCAAGCGGTGGACTGCCAACCAGATACCAGCTCTATTACAGAAAAGAGAAGTGAGTGCAGACTAAATCTCCATTCATCACTCTACCTGCTAACTATGTAGCTTACAAAGAAAATATCTAAGAATTGGGCTTATCTTGTGGATTTGTTCATGTGAATATTATTACATTCTAAAGCAGGGGTGTCCAAACTCGGTCCAGGACGGCCGGTGTCCTGCAGATTTTAGCTCCAACCCTAATCAAACACACCTGAACAGGCTAATCAAGCTCTTACTATATACTAGAAACTTCCTGGCAGGTGTGTTGAAGCAAGTTGGAGCTAAACTCTCCAGGACACTGGCCCTCCAGGACTGAGTTTGGACGTCCCTGCTCTATATCATTGCTTTGGGAGCTATATTTAACAAAGTCGGCATTTCGTTTCATAGTTATGCTGATAACACTTGTACCTGCTTTAAGTAAATGCAGCAAGAAAAGTCCTTAGCTGCGTCCCAAATGGCACACTATACACTATGCACTCATGCACTATGTACTTATGCACTTACACACTCAACAGGATAGTATATGTATGTAGTGTCGTCCCAAATGGCACACTAATGTGTTTTTACTAAGCGGAAATTCAAACCGTTTCCCTGATGACGTTTGACTGTTGCCAAATCAGTGAAATAAACAACAGAATTATCAAATAACACCTGCCGTGAGTATTGCCACATTCACCATCGAGAGGCGCTATAATCACTCTCGTAGGAGAGTTTTGCTTTCACCATCCAAAATAAATAAAGTTATTTAACATGTGCGTCTGAAAGCTCCGCCCCTTCCGCTACGTAAGCAAACCTGCGGTCGTTGAGTGCGTGAAGTATCTATCATTACACACTTCATTTTAGCGGCTGAATGAGTGCATCATCCGGGTAATTAAAGTGCACTTATTATTTTTAGAGTTTTCAGTGTGAACGCACTACTTACACTATTTATACTACAAAATGGCGTAGAATAGTGCATAAGTATGCGATTTAGGACGCAGCTCTTGTCAAATTGCCTCAAGGATGTGAAGTATTATATTAATACAAATTGTATAATGTTAATGGATAATCTGTTCCAGCTCTTTGGAAGTCTTTGAATGCCCGGATTACCACAAGGCTGGAATCAATTCCTGTCATTTTGAGAAGCGCCACACTGCTATTTGGATCATATACAACATTACCGTGGTGGCCTCTAATGCACTAGGAAAAGCCTATTCAGAGCCTGTGGAAGTTGATGTTATGGATATCGGTGAGTTCATTTATTGTGTTTATCAATATTAACATGCCTCTAAATATGAACTGTTATTATTATTATGACTTTATTATTGGCGCATCAGGGTGGCTCAGTGGTTAGCACTGTCACCTAACAGCAAGGAGGCCGCTGGTTCGAGTCCTGGCTGGGCCAGTTGGCATTTCTGTGTGGAGTTTGCATGTTCTCCCCAGGTTGGCGTGGGTTTCCTTCGGGTGCTCCAGTTTCCCCTACAGTCCTAAGACATGCGCTGTAGGGGAATTGAATAAACTGGCTGTAGTGTTTGAGAGTGTGTGAATGAGTGTGTATGGGTGTTTTCCAGTACTGGGTTGCGGCTAGAAGAGCATCCGCTGTGTAAAGCATATGTTGGAATAGTTGGCGGTTCATTCCACTGTGACAACCTCTAAAATAGAGACTAATGGCATGTTTTCTCTGACTGGTACAGTACGGGTCGGTACGGGTCAGCTTTATCAGGCTTGCTTTTCCACTACTGAGGAAACCTTTTTGGTGGGTATGGTGTATTACAAAAAGTTTTGACATCATTCGTGCTCGAATAAATGTCTACAGTAAAGCCGTACAGATCGTTTACATATCATATGAGAAGTACTTCTCACAAAACGGATGTTTTATACACAAATACTTGTGTATAAATGTTTATTACTAACTTTTCTATGAACTTAATTTGATTATAACTGCAAATCAATGATGAAATAGCGAAAATAGCGAAAAAGCCTAATGTAACGTCTGCAATTGTTTAAAATAAATAAATAAATGCAACATATATGAACACATCCGGACCCTTACAGTCTCCGATATGATACCAATTACAGAAAAACTGCACACAGCAGACATTTAGTCCTTATTTGGGTTCAAAAACACACGTAATATAGCCCACAGTCAGTGCAAACCTCTCATTTGTGTCTGCAATGTTCACAAGAACATGTACAGGTAGCCTCTGTTAGAGAGTAATTCCGTCATTCCGAGTTTATAATAGTCGAAAAGGCGATGATAAACATGGCAGTTTGTTCGTGATTGCTGAAACAATTTGCTCCTATGATTTTAAAAAGGGAGAGTGCGGGGCTCATTGGTTAGCACTGTTGCCGCCTAGGCCAGTTGGCAGTTCTGTGTGGAGTTTGCATTTTCTCCCCTTGTTGTCGTGGGTTCTTCCGGGTGCTCCTTTTTCCCCCCAAAGTCCAAAGACATGCGCTATAGGTGAATAGAATAAAATAAATTGTTTGTTGTGTGTGTGAATGAGTGTGTATGGGTGTTTCCCAGTACTGGGTTGCGACTGCAAGGGCATACGCTGTGGAAAACATATTCCGGAATAGTTGACAGTTCATTCCCCTGCGGCAACACCTTGATAAATAAGGAACTAAGTCGAAGCAAAATGAATGAATAAAGGGGGAGTTCACCTGAAAATAAAGATTTCCTCACACTAACTGAAGTTTATTTAGAAACTAATTTCGAGAGGATCACGTGCTTAGGATTGCTTGCAGCTGGACCCGCATTATTCAATTTATGATTAACCAATCAGATGATTCCTAAGGCACTATAAATACCCCAAGTTCCGTATGACAACCATCTTCGTTTTGAAGAATCCCCCCTTCCACCCCTACTTCTCCTCCTTTCCTAGATGGGTGGCACGGTGGCCCAGTGGTTCGCACTGTTCCTTTAGAGCAAGAACGTCACTGGTTCTAGTCCTTACCAAGCCAGCCAACATTTCTGTGTGGAGTTTACACGTTCTTCCCATACTCATGTTGGTTTCCCCCGGGTTCTCTGGTTTCCTCCTACCCTCAAAAAACATGCAACCTAAGTAAATTGACTAATCCAAATCGGCACCATAGACATGCTCCTAGTAAGTGGTTCTCTCTTAAGAGCAATCACTATCTGTTCATTAGCTACTACAGCAGGGGAGTTCTCGAGATCTACCTGAGCTCAAACTCCCCTCTCGCCTTGCAAACGGGAGAGAGCCCCGGGCTCGAGGATCTTGTGAGCTCAGGGCTCTCTCCCGGGACAGCATGCCAAACAAGCTTTATAAACAATCATCAGCTAAGTGTGAACGCTTGAAAGTGGTTCTAAACGTTTATTTCTTTCTTCTGTTGAACACTACAGTGCAGCCTCATCCTCCAGAGAGCGTGAATGTGAGTTTGATGCAGAGCCAGAACAGTCAGTATGTGCTGGTGAAGTGGCTGCCTCCGCATGATGTCGACACGCGCTCCGGATGGGTAACCATCAAATATGAAGTTCGCTCAAAGATCCTGAACAGCAGAGACGAGGAGGACAGCAGTTGGGAGGTAAGATTCAAGTAGTTTTGAGAAATGCATGGTTCTCATGATTAGCGTTATTATTATTTTATTTATTCGTTCATTTTCTTTTCGGCTTAGTGCCTTCATATGTTTTATGCAGCGGATGGCCTTCCAGCTGCAACCCATCTCTGGGAAACATCCATGCACACTCATACACTACGGACAATTTAGCCTACCCAATTCACCTATAGCACATGCCTTTGGACTGTGGGGTAAACCGGAGCACCTGGAGCAAACCCACAGGAATGCAGGGAGAACATGCAAACTCCACACAGAAACGCCAACTGACCCAGCTGAGGCTCGAACCAGCAACCTTCTTGCTGTGCTACATACTGCGCCTCTCCGTCACCCCATTATTAATTTTTCTTTCCTAAATTGAAATTTTCAAAAGCTAAGCTTGATTGGAAGCAGTGTTGGATGTAATTAGTTAGAAAGTAACTAGTTCATTCAATCATTCATTCATTATTTTCCTTCGGCTTAGTCCCTTACTTATCAGGGGATTCCACAGAGGAATGAACCGCCAACTATTCCAGCATGTGTTTTACGCAGCGGAAGCCCTTCCGGCCACAATTTGGTGAAACACCCATACACTCTCACATTCACACACACTCATACACAACGGCCAATTTAGTTCATCCAGTTCACCTATAAAACATGTCTTTGGACTGTGGGGGAAACCGGAGCACCTGGAGGAAACCCAAGCGAACACGGGGAGAACATGCAAACTCCACACAGAAACACCAACCTGCCCAGTTGGGACTCAAACCAGCGACCTTCTTGCTGTGAGGTGACAGTGCTAACCACTGAGCCACAATAGTAACTACTTACTAATTAATTTTATTTTGCCAAAAAAGTAAAGTAAGGGAAGCAAAGTAACACAGTGGCAGATTCAAAACAAGACTAATGTTCTATGTTATTGAGGGAGAGATGGTCAATTATGGGTGGCGCTTTCCCCCTCTGATGACAAAGAGAGAATCTCAATCAAAGTGTTTCTGCAGATTTTATTAGGTGTGATTATATAAAAAAAGAATTGATTAATTTTTACCATTATATTCAAATTGTGGTTGTGTGTGGTCATATGGCCACACAACGGTGTTTAAACCCCTTAATAAAGTGATTCTTGCATGTTAGGTCCTCTTTAATGACAATTAAGTCTCTTAAAATGCCTTCTAATTTTGATTCATTCATTCAATCATTTATTAATCTGGGTTCACCACAGCGGAATGAACCGCCAACTTATCCAGCACGTTTTACGCAGCGGATGCCTTTCCAGTTGCAACCCATCTCTGGGAAACATCCATACACACTGTTAGATTTTGCTGTATTTGGCTTAACCGTTATTGGGTGGCTCGCCAATGTATTAGATTACTCTAATACATAAAATAAGTAAGCTGACCAAAGTTCTTACGGAGAGAAGACTTTATTGAAGACAATCAATAGTGCAGTTCCTCAGCAGTGATGTTAACCCGTCGGTTTTCAAGTAACTTAACTCAAAGTACTGTCTGTGAGACAGTACTTTATACTAGCATCAAACAAACCATTCTGTTTACGAGGCTCAGCAGGACCCTCTTCAGATGTTTCAGCTGTTGTTTCGCTAATACCCATTGAGATTGTTAAAGGGTCATTTAGTTCACACATATCAGTTAGTGGGGGTTGAGGCACAGGTCAACCCATCATATCACATCAGAGTTTAATCAATGTAAATGCAACTGAACTAAAATGTACATAATCTTTCAACACTCACTCACACACTAAAGACAATGTAGCCTACCCAATTCACCTGTATCACATGTCTTTGGACTGTGGGGGAAACCTGAGCACCCAGAGGAAACCCACGCGAAAGCAGGGAGAACATGCAAACTCCACACAGAATCGAGCCAGCAACCTTCTTGCTGTGGGGCAACAGCACTACCTACTGTGCCACTGCGTTGCCTAATTTTGATTAGTGTTTTAAATTATTTTTTTTCAAATAGCAGTTTCAAGTAGTTGTGTAATAAGCAGGGTAAAGTATATCCAGGTGGTTGTTTTCGCCAAATAAACAGGGTGCTTGTGGGGTCTTAAAAAGTCTTACATTTCAAAAACTACTTTATTTTAGGCCTTAAAAAGTTCTAAATTAATTGAAATATTGGGTTTTATGTCTTAAATCATTTAAAATGGGTCTTAATTTTTCTGTCTATGTAAATCTACCCAATCAGTACACATTTAATACCCATTCAATCACCAACAATCAGTCTCAATAAAACTTTTAACAAAAAACAATGTGGTTTAATTATCTTCCTTACAAAAAACATTTGTTTACAAGTTTTCCATATATATTCAACTATAATCATTTAAATTAAAAGAAACTTTATATTGGAAAAAACGTGTGCATATTAGAAATAAATCAATCAGATTTTCCTTTTCAAAAATCTTTTCCATTGACCCAACCAGGCCATTAGAAAAAAAAATCCTTTCCATTTAGTCCTATACATCTGGGCAGCACGGTGGCTCAGTGGTCAGCACTGTGGCCTCACAGCAAAAAGGTCACTGGCCGTAAATTGGCCGTAGTGTATGTGTGTCAGTGAGTGCATGGATGTTTCCCAGTACTGGGTTGCAGCTGGAAGGGCATCCACTGCATAAAACATATGCTGGAATAGCTGGTGGTTCATTCCGTTGTGGCGACCCCTAATAAATAAGAGATCAAGCCGAAGGGAAATGAATTAATGAATGACATTTCATTCATACTGGTCTTATAAAAGTCTTTAATTTGACTTGATAAAGCTGATAAGCCTGTTGGGGTTTATTCTGCGATAACAACCGCCTCGATGTGCTTTATCCCAAACCTGTTGTCTGTATGAGAGAATATTTTTGCATTTTAAAACTGACTGAGACGCATTTTTGTTCGATTCTTGTGGCTGTAGTCATATAGTGCTGGAAAACAGTTGGAGTTTAGCATCTACAGTCCTCACCCGGGAACAAACTATGTGGTAGACGTGCGCTGCAAACTTGACCAAGGACTCTGGAGCGACTGGAGCCCCTCAGTTTTCATCCAGATCCCAGACAGTAAGATGATACCAGCACCAGCAACTCTACCTTTATCTCTATCATCACACTGACAGCCTTTGAGCTACTTAACTCAACATTTGTAGCATAACACAGAAAAGAATCAATTAAAGAGGTCGTAAATAGGCATTCATTCAATTTTCTTTTCGGCTTAGTCCCTTTATTAATTTGGGGTCCCCACAATGGAATAAACCGCCAACTTATCCAGCATATGTTTTAAGCAGTGGATGCCCTTCCAGCTGCAACCTATCTCTGGAAAACATCCATACACACTTATTCACACTTATACATCACAGACAATTTAGCTTACTCAATTCACCTGTACCGCATGTGTTTGGACTGTGGGGCAAACCGAAGCACCAGGAGGAAACTCACACGAACACGGGGAACACATGCAAACTCCACACAGAAATGCCAACTGACCCAGCTGAGGCTAGAACCGGCGACCTTCTTGCTGTGAGGCGACAGCACTACCCACTGCGCCACTACGTCGTAACTAGGAATTGTCAGTTATTTATTATCCTGTTTAAAGGGTTGTACAGTAACTTGATGACCTCCTAGGTTCTTTACAAAGCCCGTAGGTGTTTTTTTTAGATGCTTTTAGAAAAGAACCAATTAAAGGGGTAAAAAATGTTGGGTTCCACACAAGTCCTCCAGTTTGTCCCAACACAAATGGATTACCTTAACTGCATTGTTTTTACGAATTTAAGTGGATTGAATATAAAACAATTAAGTTAAAGAAAAGAATAAAAAAATTAAAAATAATTAAGTAAAAAAAAAACTAACGAATTCTCATTTTAAATAATTGGTTTGAACAAGCAGCTAAAGTAAGTTTCTTGAGTGAACAGTCAGTAAGCCTTTGTGTTTCTTATATTGCAGATATGACTGTCATGCAGAATACAGTTGTGATCTGTGCCGTCACACTAACTGTTGTCATTTTCATGCTGACGGCAGGAGTAATGACCTTTAAGAAGACACAGTAAGCATGACATCCTACCACATCACAACCGCAAAAGAGTTTAAACTGATTACTGTAAATACCAAGACATTTTCTCCAAAACTTCCTTCATAATCCACCATTTTGTACATGTATTATAAAAAGCGCTAGTTCGCCCTAAAATGAAAATTTGGTTATTAACTACTCACCCTCAAGTCATTCCAATCCTTTTAGACCTTTTAGTTCATCTTCAGAACCATGTTGTCACGATATTGGAATTGGGTACCAATCAGTACTGAGATATTAAAAACGTCCATTTTCCACTAACATTTGAGCACTGTTGATCACGTTCCTAAACATCACTGATTTGCCATGGTAGCGATTGGTAACGAATTCCAGTATCGTGACAACACTACTGCAGAATACAAATTAAAATATTTTTGATGAAATCCTGGAGCTCTCTCATCCTCGATTAACAGCAATAAGATATTCAAAGTGCAGAAAAGGAAACAAAACACGGTCAAAACATGACTTTAGTTGTTCAACTGTAAGTATAAAAAGGTCCAATAACACTTTTGTGTGCCAAAAAAAGGTAAAAATGACTTCTCTTTTTTTCTTTGCCTTTCTCTTGTCTTCTGCAACCTTACTATTGACATTGCATACGGTTGACATTGGCTAACAAAGTTGTTGTTTTTTGTGCACGATAGTGTTCTTTGAGCTTTGTGTGGTTACAAGAAATGTTTTTGGTTGCCTTTCTATGCAGGATAAGAGATTTCTAAAATTTCTTAATTTGTGTTCTGAAGATGTACAATTGTCTCAGGAGATTGAAACAACAAAAGAATGAGTAATTAATAACAGAATTGAAGCATTCAGATGGAAAACCCTCTAAGCAAAACCTGATTTTTTTTTTAAATTAGCATTTTTCTCAGGCTTCTGTGTGCAGGTTCAGTAATTACATTTTTTATTTGTATTTTTAAAATAGGGGATTTTTATTGCCTTTAAAGGTAAATAACTGAACATAATAATATGTTTCTGAGAAAAACACTTAGACGGCACTTAGAAGATTTTGCATCTGAAAAAAGTTCTTCAAATATTTCATTTGTAATTTCTGGGTGAAAAATCTTGTATGCTTTTAATGCATAACACAAACTAAACAAAAAATTCGCAAGACTTCAAATCCATGCGTCTCTGCAGGTCAATGTATTTATAATTACAAAAAGAACTGCATTAAATAGCTGCAGTATATAAATCTCTGGAAGCCATTTGATGGGCCAAGTCAAAAAAGTGCAGCTCTAAGATTAAAACAAAGTGCGTAGAAACATGAAGATAATTGAATGTTTCCATATTCTTTTCTAGGGTGAAGCATTTTCTGCTGCCACCAGTTCCAGAACCAAAGATCAGCGGCTTAAATACTCAGCTCCTAAAGGTACAGCAGACTCCATCTTTTGTGCATTTTCAGCTTGTTTAAGTGGCCCCAATATGCTTTTTTGAATATCATCTTTCATGCATTGGATAATGTGGATGTTTGTGCATGAAAAAAGGAACTGATTCTGCAGCGCTGAAACATTTGGTCAGGAATTTCTGTTTCATTTCTGCAACCGGTCAATGTAAAAAGTATTGTATTTATGAAATGATGGTACGTGCATACACATGACAATAATGTTGGTTCCACACATCTCCCTTATGTTGGTCCAACACAAACCGATTAACTTAGTTAAGTTAACTTAATAGTTTTTACAAATTTAAGTGGTTTGTACTAGGGCTGCTCGATTATGGGAAAAATCATAATCACGATTACTTTGGTCATCATTGTAATCACGATTATTCAAAACGATTATCAGAGGAAGTCAAAATTATTCGCCCTTCTGTGAATTTATATATATATATATATATATATATATATATATATATATATATATACATATATATATATATATACATACATTCCCAAACGATGTTTAACAGAGACATTTTTCACAGTATATCCTTCAATATTTGTTCTTCAGGAGAAAGGCTTATTTGTTTCATTTCGGCTAGAATAAAAGCAGGTTTAAATATTTTTTTATAGATTTTAATCGCTCTTTATTATTAGCCCCTTTAAGAAATATATATTTTTAATTGTCTGCTAAAGAAAATACTGTTATACAATGACTTGCCTAATTACACTAATTCAGCCTTTAAATGTCACTTTAAGCTGAACACTAGTGTCTTGAAAAATATCTAGTAAAATATTATGTGCTGTCATCATAGCAAAGAGAAAAGAAATCAGTTATTAGAAATGAGTTATTAAATCTGTTGTTTAAACTCATCTTCACTGTAAGAAAAAACTTTAGCTACAGCAGTCCTTCAGTCAAGAGCAGTGAGGGATTTTCTCCTTTTGTTGTTTGATTATAAACAGGCGGCAGCAGGAATATTGCGTGCTGTCACTTTAAGAATAGTGCGGCTCTGATATGGTTTCTCTTTTTTACATGTCTTTTGATTCTCAACTTGTTTGCTTATTACACAAATGAGGGTTAATATGAATAATCACTAAACACCGCGCTCTGACACTAATGTGCATGTATTTGACCATTAAAGCGCTCGCATTAAGATGCCGTTAGATGTGTGTGATCTGCTCGTCTCCTAGCCTGTCCAAGGCTAACACTCCATTCACACGGGGTGTCAGCTTCAACACTTCCAATACGCTTTGAATGGGTGATGTCAGGCGTTGCCGAACTGCATTGTGGATGCGTCGGCGCCACTTCAAAGGCGTTGCTCGCTGCAAAAGTTGGGACTTGCTCAACTTTTCAAGTGCTGATGGAAGCGTCAGCCAATCAGATTGCTGTATGCAAATACACCAGCTCAGACTGTGGCCTATTGCTGACTTATTTATTTGGCTGACGCTGCTATGACGATCGCGTCAGCCCCAACTTCAGACGTGCCCTCTGTCAAGCGTTAACGCTGAAGCCCTGTGTGAATGGGGCATGAGTGCGGCGCGCGCACACAATAGCATGTGCTCTTTCACGCTTTTAAAAATATGATTGATCCGCATCCCGTGCTGCAAACTTTACATTACAGTACATGCTTTTAGTTATTTTCATGTGGAACTGAGCTTTGCAGAACAACAAATGTGTACAACTGGAAAGTGGGCGGTATATGATGCAATAATCGTTTATAATCGTTTAATAATCGTTTAGCCAAAATCAAAAATGGATTTTCGATTAATTGCACAGCCTTAGTTTGTACATAAACAATTAGCTTGTGCCTTTAGAATTGTGTTTTTCAACTCATTTTAAATAAGTTGTTTAAACAAGCAGCACTAATTATTTTTTATGATATCGCCATTCGATCTGATAATGTAGCACAAACAAAACAAAACAAAATTGAAGAGGGAAGGAAGCTTCCTGTCAGATATGGTAATGGGCATTTCGTTTGTGACACATGCCGTAATTAGCAATAACCAATCACATCACAATCACAGTAAGCAATGACCAATCCAATCAGATTAGGACATCTGACCATTCAGGCTGATTCAGCTGTCCTGAAACAGGGATTCAAATTGTTACATTGTTGCTCTTTGTTCTTGGTGCGGTTCGCTTTCACACTGCAGAGTTTCTAAACGGAGCAAAAGAGCTAAAACAAGTCACGTGTGAGTAAACTTTCCTCACATTGGTCAGTTTCACGGTTTGTTTTGCAGAGTCACGCTCAGCTGTTGGGGGGTTGGTGGTGTTTGACAGGGTGCGCGCGACTTGTTTGAAGAGTGAGGAGAGATGCGGTGGGGAGGGGTGAGAAGGGTGTGCAATGTATTTGAGGACCGGGAGGGAGAGATGCGTGATTACCAGGAGATTATCACTTGTTTGCGGGCATCCGGGAGCCTCTGTTCATTTGCGGGAGACTTCCGAAACCTCCAGATGACTTGGGATGTCTGGAATGACCTCCCACCCTACTCATAATTCTGTCTTTAAATAGCCGTATTACATATCCATAACACACTGTGATAAAGCCGGGCTCAGATCATATCGCTTTCTCACTACAATCGATCCGCTCCAGAGTTTGTTTCAATCGAGCAGAGACCACCTCATTCAGGAGATCTTGGACCGATTGTTCCGAGCGCGATTGCTAGATTCACATATGCCAAACGAACCACGCTAACTGGGCAAACAAGACAAAAGTCTTGGTGTGAAAGCACCCTTAGTTAGCTCACATTGCTAGTTTTGTGGTGAACAATTCACCTGTGCATGTCATTAAGAACAAAACATAGTTTGCTCATGTAATCTAAAACTGAAATCTGAAAATGCACTTCCTGTTTGTTTTCAGTTAAATTCTCAGGTTAGGTCTGTCTGAGGTATTGGGGGTAGCTAACATACTTAGCCACGCCCCTCCAGCTGTCGGTTTTGACAACAAACAGAAATGTTGTGGAGGAGGTGTCTATTAGGTTGTAATGACTCCTCAAACCTTTTTCCTGATCTTTCTGAATGACATGCCTACTTAACTACATCCAATCAGCTTCCAGTAGAAAAACAAGCCACGCCCACTTTTGTTTAATATGATATTCTGTTTCTCTATGAACTAAATCACAATATAATACTGGTTCATGGGGATAATTTTCTCACGTAGAATATTAGCACAGTTTAGTTGTACCTTTGGGTTTTTAGCGAATATTTATAGGGACTGACATTATTAACTGTTCTGAGGTCAGCTTAAAATGGCAAACCTCATGGTTATCAACTAAATGTGCTGTTGTACCCTATAAAAAAGCAATTAGTTGAATAAAATACTGAGTAAACCCCATGCTTTTAAAGCAATTAGTTGAGTTTACTTGAAAAAAAAATGGAGAAAGCTCATTGCCTTACTATTATGAAGTTAATGAACTATGTGCATAATTCTAAAAATTAAGTTGTCGACTCAGCAGTATTAAGTTCAGGTTTACTCACCTTCTAAAGTACAGTCAACTTGTCGCTTTTGACAGTGTCTGTTTTTTATTTATAGAAAAATGATGTAACACTTTAAATTATGAGACAATTCACACCATTTACTACTGGCTTATTACATGCTGATTAATACGATATTAACTGTATTAGCACTTATTTACATTTACATTTAGACATTTAGCAGACGCTTTTATCCAAAGCGACTTACAAATGAGGACAAGGAAGCAACTTACACAACTATAAGAGCAACAATGAATAAGTGCTATAGGCAAGTTTCAGGTGTGTAAAGTCTTAGAAGGAAAGTATTAGTAATGTAAGATTTTTTTTTTTTTTTTTGAGTACAGTTAGCGGTGGAGCCAGAGAGGCAATTGCAGATTAGGAAGGAGAGTGGAGACTAAATAGTTGAGTTTTTAGTCGTTTCTTGAAGACAGCGAGTGACTCTGCTGTTCTGATGCAGTTAGGGAGTTCATTCCACCAACTGGGCAGATTGAATGCGAGAGTTTGGGAAAGTGATTTCTTCCCTCTTTGGGATGGAACCACGAGGCGACGTTCATTCACAGAACGCAAGTTTCTGGATGGCACATAAATCTGCAGAAGTGAGAGCAGATAAGGAGTAAAGCCAGAGGTCGCTTTGTAAGCAAACATCAGAGCTTTGAATTTGATGCGAGCAGCAACTGGCAGCCAGTGCAAACGGATGAGTAGCGGAGTGACATGTGCTCTTTTAGGTTCATTAAAGACCACTCGTGCTGCTGCGTTCTGAAGCAGCTGAGGAGGTTTGATAGAGTTAGCTGGAAGCCCGGCTAGTAGAGAGTTGCAATAATCCAGTCTGGAGAGAACAAGAGCTTGAACAAGGAGTTGAGCTGCATGCTCAGATAGGAAGGGTCGGACCTTTCTGATGTTATAGAGTGCGAATCTGCAAGATCGAGCAGTTCTAGAAATGTGGTCAGAGAAGTTTAGTTGGTCATCAATCGTTACTCCAAGGCTTTTCACACATCCATCTGGATTGAAAAGTTATGGAGTATTATCTTATTTGACATCTCTAATCAATACCTAAACCCAACTTCTACCTAACAAACTATTAATAAGCAGATTATTAGTAGTTTATTGAGCTAAAAGTCTTAGTTAATGGTTTGTTAATAGTGTGAACTGTACATTAAAATAAGTAACCATCTTCAGGTTACCTCATTAATCCATTACCTCAACAAACAACAGTCTTTTTGCCAACTTCACATTACATTTTGCCAATCTGTGCTGAAATTAGAGGTGCTGCCATGTTCATTACATTTTCACCACACTATATATTGACCCCAGAAAAGCTGTAGTCTCAGAAATGCAAAACGTTATGTTTCTTGTCATTTGACAGAGCGGGAGGTCTGAGGAGATCTTCAGTGCTCTGATTACACCAGGATTATATCCGCAAATATCCCAGAGCACGGACCATCAAGTGGAGTATCTGGTGGTGTCCGACTGTGATGAAGAAATGACTGTGGGCAAAGCTCATTTTGAGATCCATAAGGCAGAAATCTGTCTTATAGACGCTACAGAAAGCAGCAAAGGGAACGGCGTTGTCTTTGGAGAGCCCCAAAAGCCACTTCACCTTAACTGCAGTGTAACAGCTCATGACCGAAACACTGGAATGAGCTCCGAATGCAAATGTGAGCACGTCGACATCACGTCTGCCGGACCTACGGGGTATGTTGAGGTCGACAGAGAGCAACCAGACCAGAAGGACTACAGTGTGGTCAGTGATGTTATAAATGACAATATGCTTGTACTACAAGACAGCATCCCTGTACAGGAACACAAAGAGGTCAAATGTAAAAAAAAATATGTCTTGAATTGAACTGTGTCGTTGAGCTTACTTGGAAACGTTTTCGAGTGGATCTTTGAAAGCTTGAGATTACTTTGACCATTTCCCAGTGATGGGTTGCAGCTGGAAGGGCATCCGCTGTCTAAAACATATGCCGGAATAGCTGGCGGTTTATTTCACTGTGGCGACCCCTTTTAAATAAGGGACTAAGCTGAAGGAAAATGAATGAATGAATAATTTGTCCGGTTTCATTCCATCAAGCACTTTGTTAGTGGAAATACGAGGGTTTTAGCAACTTGGTGTGCATTTCCTATGAAACGATGCAACCTAAAGGGATAGTTCACGCAAAAATTAACATTCTATCATTACTTACTCACCATTTACTTGTTTCTAAGCTTTATGGGTTTTTTTTGTTCTGTTGAACACAAAAGGAGATGTTTTGAAAAATGTTGGAAACCTGTAACCATTGACTTCCATTTGTTTTGTTTTTTACTATGGAAGTTACAGGTTTTCAGCTTTCTTCAAAATATCTTAATTTGTGTTCAACAGGAGACAGAAACTCATAAAGGTTGATAATCAATTGAGGGAAAGTAAATCTGCTTGTTAAGTGGTGACGTGTTTGTGACGTTTGTAATACTGTTTCCGGGTCCAAGCCGCCATTCATTTGAGTGGAGAAATCATTCGTTTATGATCGCGTTTTATTCCTATCACACATTATAGTTAATTTTACATAAAGTCATAGTGTACGCAACAATCTCTGGGCTTGCTGCATAAAAAATACCAAAATTTTAACAATTTATAAAACAATGAATCACTTTCTGGCCATCGGATATTAGGCATGGACATATATATTGCGATCGTGACTTTCGAAAGTATTAAATCGCTTTGTAAACGTTTATTGTTACCATTTCATGAATTTCCCTATTCAGTTGAATAGAGCGCTTGGACCCGGAAGCCGCTCCGCGTGACGTCACACTCAACAAGCGGATAGAGTACACTTTCCGTTTTGGGTAAGTTACGCCTTTAACCACAATACAAAAGAAAGGCTCTTTACTGGCATTTATAGTTACATGAAGGATCTTTAGGGGGCTTTTTGGCATTGGAGGAACATTCTCAGAGTTTCTAAATCTCTTGGTGGAAGAACCTGCTTTTTCGGTGAACTCGGTGTACATTGCAGGAACTGGGAATGAGTTTAGTGATAGAGACCACCTCAACCAGCACAATAACTATTGTACCCTTTATCCACCAAGGGGGTTCAGAGCCTGGGGTTAGTTGCTAGCTCCATCAGTTCTGAACCGGAAAAAAAAAAAAAGATCTTAAATAGCACAAAAGTTATTGCTGGGTTAGAAAAAAGGAATCGCTATATATATATATATATATATATATATATATATATATATATATATATATATATATATATACATACACACATATATATATATATATATATATATATATACAGTTGAAGTCTTAGCCACCTTCAAATTTTTTTCTTCTTTTTTAAATATTTCCCAAATGATGTATAACAGAGCAAGGACATTTTCACAGTATGTCTGATAATATTTTTTCTTCTGGAGAAAGTCTTATTTGTTTTATTTCAGCTAGAATAAAAGCAGTTTTTAATTTTTTAAACACCATTTTAGGGACATAATTATTAGCCCCTTTAAGCAAATTTTTTCTCAATAATTTACAGAACAAACCATTGTTATACAATAACTTGCCTAATTACCCTAACTTGCCTAGTTAACCTAATTAAGCCTTTAAATGTTACTTTAAGCTGTATAGAAGTGTCTTGAAAAATATCTAGTCAAATATTATGTACTGTCATCATGGCAAAGATAAAATAAATCAGTTATTAGAGATGAGTTATTAAAACTATTATGTTTACAAATGTGATGAAAAAAATCTTCTCTCCGTTAAACAGAAATAGAAATTGGGGGTGAAAAAAAAAAACAAGCAGTCTAATAATTCAGGGGGGCTAATAATTCTGACCTCAACTGTATATATACATTCTTTTACGCCCCGAGGGTTCACAATCGTACAAAAATGCTTTTCCTACTTAGATTTTGTCTGATTTCTAGTCCAAATATCTAGGAATTCTTAAATCAAGAAGCATTTTCTAGACAAGAAAAATATTGTCTTGTCTTCAGAAACAATATTTCATAATTGAGTTTTTCAAAATAATCTGAAAAAAAATGACCCTATATCAAGTGAAAATAAGATTATTTGTCTTATCCCATTGTCAGATTATTTAGCTTGTATTATTTCTGAAAGCAAAATGTTTTTTCTTGTCGAGAAAATGCTTCTTGATTTAAGAATCTTTACATATTTAGACTAGAGACAAGACAAAAACTCTATGGGCTCTATTTTAATGATCTAGGCACAAAGTCTAAAGTGCATGGCGCAAAAGCATTAAGGGCCTGTCCAAATCCATTTTGCTGTTTTAAGAACAGAAAAATACGGTGTGCGCCCTGGCGCATGGTTTAAAAGGGTTGTGCTTATTCTATTAATGAGTTATGGGTGTGTTTTGAGAATAACATGCATTAAACCAATCGGAGTCTCATCTCACATTCCCTTTAAGAGTCAGTTATATCATTTGCTATTTATACGGTGGATTTTGTAACATTTTTTTAGAGTGATTCTTTGGTATTCACAAGCTCTTTTTTATTTTGGCAAGCTTACAATACAGATAATCGAAAACGCATTTAATTGGAATTACTTTGGCAGTGTAAAATTTCATTGAATGTTTTCACATATTCAGGAATGACAGACTTTAGGACCATAGGTAATGAGGTTTTCGGGTGACTCACCTCTGTTATGTTCTATCTGTTAATCTGCACAGCTACAGACACAGCTCGAACCCTTTCTGTGGGTCAATCATGCTTAAAACTACAAGAAGCTTCAGTAATGCTTGAAAGGAGTTTGAAAGGCAACGTCTTTCCAAACCATTACACATCGACCAGCCGCAGTTAAAAAATAGCCCTCTGGAAATCACTCTATTAATTGTTAAACCTCTGGAAATGTCTCTTCAACCAGCTACCTCTGGAGTTTCCAACCTGGCACTTTCCTCAACGCTCGCTGCTCTTGATTTTTATAGTTGACTGATTATTAAGCATTGTTCGGAAACTCTGTTTGTTGTATATTTATTCACAATCAATGATACTGTGAATGTAAAAAGTGTGAGATTTCTCTGCTCAAGACGATCACTGATTTAACTGTTTATACTGAACGTGAACTATCATTTTAACATCAAACCGTTCGATTCATACTTTAATCTAGATTTATAACACTGATTTAATGTTGAAATGTGAATCAATATTCACTAGTTATAGTCTGAACAGTCACTATCAACCAAATTCATGAGATTTTTGAGCTTACACTGCAAAATATGTGAGAGTTTGTCTCGTTTCTTGTCCAAATATCTAAAAAGTCTCAAACTATGAAGCATTTTCTTGGCAAGCAAAATATATTGGCTTGTTTTCAGAAATAATAGGTCAAAATTGAGTATTTTTTTAAATTAAAACAAGCTGAATAATCTGCCAATAACATTTATTTTTGGCTTTTAAATAAAATCAGGTTGCTTACACCATTTCGCAGTGTTCAAATGTACTATCGCTTTGTTATGTTCAGGATGAAAACATCCACTGAATTAAACTGCTGTAAAATGCATCAGATACATATTATTTCAAATTTTTTGGCAGAAATCTGTAAACCTCAATTTTGATAAAAACTATGAAATTGTTTGGAAAATTACAGGATTTTAACTCTTTTAATTGCCAAATTCATACATGATGTCACTGATTTAGTAAAAAAAAAACTCACAAAATGACGTATTTTCAATATAGATTGTAATCGTGGACTGAATTCTTTAACCTTTTATCACAGTCTTGGACATGTGAATGATTAACAACAACATTGTCTTTGATGCGTTTTTAGATTTTCATTATTTTTTTCTGCCTAATTTACTGTTAGTGGCTGTTTTTGCCCCATTGACTTCCATTAGAAGCACATTTGATGGTGCAGAAATACACAGTCTTTGTTTTTGTTTACTCCATGTAGTTCTGAGAGCTGAGATGCATATATTGATTTTCTCAGACACATCAAGATAGGTGCGCAAAGCTCACTCTCACACACTCACAGACCCATATACACACACTTTAATTTGCTGTTATTCTACATAGTAAACTTTTATTTTTGCACAGGCCTATCTAAAGGGTTAATGGTCCCAACTGATGATCAACAGTAAAAATTACAAATTCTATCTCTTCCCAAGAGGGAAAACCAGCAACAATCAAAAATGCTTGATTATATGGTGTCATGGTTTTATAATCAAGAAAATGTGGTTATAACAGAAGTCAATGGGGGGAAAGCAGCCACCAACTATAAATTAGGGAGAAAAGAATGAAAATCAAAAACAAGCATCAAAGGCAATGTTGTTTCACATGTCCAAGACTTTGAGAAAAGGTAAAAAATAAAATAAAATCCAGTCCATAATTAGGTTTTATATTGAAAATATGCATCTCAGCTCTCAGAACTACATGGAGTAAACAAAAACAAAGACTGTGTAATTCTGCACTATCAAATGTGGCAATAGTGGAAGTCAATGGGGCAGAAACAGCCACCAACAGTAAATCAGGGAGGAGAAATGAAAATCTTACAATGCATCAAAGACAATGTTGTTATCACTCACGTCCAAGACTTTGATAAAAGGTTAAAAAATCCAGTCCACAATTATTTTTCATCTTGAAAATACGTCAATTTGTGTTTTTCACCACATCAGACATCACTTGTATATTTGGCAATTAAAGAGTTAAAATCCTGTAATGTTTAAGAACATTCAGTAGTTTTGATCAGGACTGAGGCTGATTAACAGATACATGCAAAAATAAATAAATAAATAAATAATAATAATAATAATAATAATTGAAAGAAATATTAATCTGATGCATTTTTACAACAGTTTAATTCAGTGGACATTTTCATTCCGAATATAACAAAATAGTAAATTTGCCCAGAGTGTATAGTTAAGTTTTT